TATTAATTAGGCAAGGCTAGGGTAGGCCTTAAATATAGGCTAAAGTAGGGACCCATGCGCAGAGTATTTAAACCTATATTTACTTTTTAATTAAAAATAGCTTAAGTATAGCTTAAAGGTTTATAAAGGTGGCCTTAAGGCCAGCCTTTATTAAGATTTTTAAGTAACTTTTTTAATATTATTTAACAGGGTTTAGAATACTCCATTTTTATTAGTTAGATTCCTTTATTAATATCTTTATTGTTAGTAGAGATCTTCGAGACTTGTTGGTCTTACAAATATTTTTAATTATAATATTTACATGCATACTAGCCTTTTAATAAATATAAAAACCCGCCTAAGTATTTACTTATTTTTTTATAATTATATTAAAGGCTATAAATTAAAAATAGGAATATTTTATAAAGCACTTATTATAATACTTTATTAAATACTTAATATAATTATTATAGGCAACTTGCCTATCTCTAGGCAAGGTAAATTTAGCTTTACCTTTAAAAAATAGGGTAAAAAAAGCGCAGGCTAAAAAAGTAGTGCTATAGTTAAACTTTAATAATAAAGTACTTTAAAATAAAGGCATGCTAAAATATAAAGTGCTAGAACTAAAACTACAAGTAATTAAATTAAAAAATTAGGTGTTTACTTACTATTAAATTTTTATTAATTTTATATTTTTTATTATAAAATTAGGCACTATAGTAACCTCTAGCAAAAGCTTTTTATTTTTATTTAGGTTTTTAAAATTAAATTTATTAGTGTTAAGGTCCTGTATTATTATATTATTAATAATATATATATTTATAAGTAATATAGCTAAAGCTTTAGTATTAATTTAGATATTTTAATACCAGGAATAGTGGGTATATAAATAAAAAAGTTATATTTAAATATACTTTTAATAAATATAAAAGTCGCGCTTATACTAGTAATAAAAACAAGAATTATTTTTAATATTAAATAAATAAAAAAAATAATATTTACTTTATATAGTAGTAAAAAAAGGGTATTATACACGCGGCTAATATTTTAAAAAAAATAAATAACATAGCTATAGTATTTATATTACTAGCTATGTACTTATATTACCTATACATGCATATATACCTTTACTATTAATATCTTTTTAATTTATATTAAATTAGGGAGCGAAGGTTATAATATAAATATTAGGCTTAAATTAAGGGAATTAATATTATTAAATAAGTATATATTTTTATTTTAATTTTTTATTTTATAGCGCTTGTAAATACCTTTTATTAAGTGTATTTTAAATTAACACTTATTATAATTATTATAGTATTTTATATATTTATTAACAAGGGTGGTTTGGAAACTTATAAGGTATTTATTATTAAATATAAAAAAAGCTAGCTTAGCTAGCAGCTTGGGATCCTAAATATTAATAATAAGGTTTATTTTAATAGTAGGTTTAGGTAAGGTATTACATGGTGTATTAAACATGCTTAAAGTATTTATAATAAATACTTTAAACTAAATAAACTAGTGCTAAGATAATGGCGTTTACATAGGTGCTAAAAATAAGAAAAAACCTAGTATTAAAGTAAAGGGTTTTAGTATTAAAGTAATTAAAAAAAAAGTTATTAGTAAAGAAACTAGTAAAAAAATTCTAGTTAGTAAAACTGCTTTATTACTTATACTTATAAAACTTATTAATTAAAATAATATAAAAGTAGTTAAATAAGCTTTCCTAGTATAATTAATAACTTTATATTTTTTATAAATAATTACTTACTTTTTATAAGCCAAAGCTATTAATTTTATATTTAAACTATAAATATTTTAATAATAAAAGGTAAAAAATTTTTAGAAATAGCTAGCTGCCTGCAAAGCAATTTATTAAATAAAAATTATATAATTTAATAACGCGGTAGTTAATGCTATAAAGTTTAAATAAGTAATAATTAAAAAATTAGGCAAAGCAGCCTTAGTGCTATTATATTTTATTATTATTAATATAAACTAAAGTACTAAAGTAATTTAACTAATTATAGTAAATTAAGCTTTTACAAGCTGCTAAAAAAAAATAAATAAAGTTAATATTTATAATTACTATATAATAAATATATATATAATTAGCTTTATTATATTTTAATATTTTTAGTATATTATAGTTAGCTTTAATATATACCTAGCTAAAATAAACTTTAATATAGGCTTAAGCTTACTATATTACATGTAGGTTTTAATAGCTAAAGTAGCAGGAGGGTTTATAGTAAAAAATACTAAATTAAAAAAATATAAAAAAAATACGTATATTAAGAAAATATAATTATAAAAAAGGTTTATTAATATAATAATTTTATAAAAAAAGGTATAAATAATAAAGGTATAAATAGTAGGGTTATAGTGGTAAGCTTTAAGGGTTATATAAAAAAAGGTAAGCTATTTTAAAGTAAAAAGGCATAAGTACACGTAATATAACTTTGGCTTTAAGCAGTTATTAACGGGATTAGTTAAAGGGGCGGCCAATTAAAACAGCAAAATTTGCTTAGTTAAAATTTGCTAACCCAGTCATTCCCGCAACTGACTTTTAAATTGCAGTCCTAAAGTACTGCAAATAAATCCCAGCCTTGTCCCGTCTGCAGGTCGGCACTCTACCTACACAAGGGCTATTTTCAATGACAACACAGGTTGCAGTTACAATGCCATACACAGAGGCTTCCCGGCGAGCCCATGAGCTGTGATTGACCATGACCTGACTATGTGCAGCGAGTGGTTGTTCGCGGCACAGTCAGGTGCACATGGTGACAGGACAATTTCAAATATGCAAGGCATCAAGCTTTTAAGGTTGATGAGATCTTAGTCAGACTCCATGCACCGAAACAGCGCGCTACACCGGCGCCTAATAATCCCATGCACCTCTTCAATATTGACTGCAGTGAATGCTTCGGCGATCGAGGGGTCGATACTCGATGGAGGGGCACAACCTCCACAGGCCTTGATATGGGACAAGTAAACTAACATCAAGACTCCGAGGTACAACGACGATCTAGATACATAAGCTATTCGTGGAACTCTCCGTCCGGCAGAAGCAAGTAGCACTACTCACCCGACATATCCTTCAATATTGGCATTTGACAAAGCTCACTACCTTAAGGCTCCGTATATCTTATGGCTTTAGCTCCAGGCTAGAAGCCTAGAAGCAGCTTCAAGTCAGGACTTCAAGTTGAGATGATCTCTATCCACTCGATCCACAGAGTCGTGCATCTTTCCCACGAGAGTAGGCTACACTCAGACAAGCTTTTCAGGCCCCTCGGTAGTGGTTAGTTTCGGAATTCGGAAATGCGATATCATTATCGTTGGCCCATGCGTCGTCTTGACTCGTGAGTCGACAATGATCAATAAAGACAGCGTCAATCTTCATCAGAGACTCAGACTACCCGAACTCCGGAGATTACTTCGCTAGTTTGCGGAGTATCTATACAACTTCTAGCTCAATCAGTTCTCTCCACACTCAAGGGCATTGAGCGGACTGGGATTAACCCCGCTCATTAATTGCGTCCCGCGCCTACACTTGGGCGCCACGTGCTTGCGTATGCTACAGAGCGCTATGCTGAACTATTGAGTTGTGAGATTCTGAGGAAGAGATCGATGCTACCCTATCGATTGATCCTTCCGTGCATGATTACGGCCATTGCTAGAGCTCGTCCGATTACGCGGACACCGCATGTCTGTTTTACACGGGAATTCCAGGGGCGATGGCATACATTACACAACGAATAGCTAGGACATGGTACTCCGTATACAAAGTAGTTCCGACAGAGCTTTGTTCGGACTCGAAAATGGCTGAATCGTCTACCTCCAGCCATGGCATACGATGTTCCCCAGTAGCAGCTGCTACCCCACTGCATGCAGGTGTTGGTTTTGTTTCTCAATGCCCTGTACATCTGCTCTGATAGCTGTCTCCATGATCTCATACTTGTGCATTCTTGTAGTCTAGATTATGGTCCTCCGGGCTTTTCTCTTCGAGGAAGGTCGATCGAATATCTATCGGTGGTCTTTCTCTCAGAATATATATATATCGGGCGCGGGTAAGAGCTCCCCACTCAGCGGCAAGCCGCCAGCAGCTGATACAGTCCACATATATAGAAATGGAGTTACAGAACTAGATTTTCATTGACACAAGTATCAGATCCGAATGATAACTGGATCCGTAACCGAAGATCCATGGTGGTCAACAGATGTACAGCAGTCACATGATCCAAGCTACCTGACTAAGCAATTACCAGCAGAAACCTCACCGCCTTCTGAGATCCGACTTTTTTTTTATCGGTCGATATCGCCGATTTCAAGGCAGTCGAAATTGTCTGAAATAGCACAGCACCCTATAAAAGTCAAAATGGGGTCCTCTACAGCCCTCACAACGAAGCCGGCACACGGTACTCCCTACCAATTGGACAAGAACCAGGTACGCCGTTTAATTCCCCTGAAAAATACTCCTATAGTCTCTAACCTCTTCTAGGTATCTAGAGCTTCATCCGCGCTTCTTAAGCACATCAAGTCGAAACAGAGCGAGCGCGAAGCCACTGCGACAAAGAAGACTTTGATTGGCGACAATGACTCCGATTCCGATGCCGAAGATACCCCTCTGCACAACGAAGCCGTATGGCTCGTCCTCACGACGAAGAAGCACGTCGTCGACAAGAACAGACTGAAGCCCGGCAAGATCAGCATCCCACACTCCCTGAATGCGTCGCCGGCGCTTAGCATCTGCCTCATCACCGCGGACCCCCAGCGCTCTGTCAAGAACATTGTCTCCGACCCCTCGTTCCCCGAGCACCTCTCCTCGCGCATCGACAAGGTGATTGGATACTCGAAGCTGAAGGATCGATACAAGAGCTTTGAGAGCCGGAGGCAGCTGCTCTCTGAGCATGACGTCTTCTTGGCCGATGACCGGATTGTCATGCGCCTTGTGAATACGCTGGGCAAGGTGTTCTACAAGTCGGCCAAGCGGCCGATTCCCGTGTCGCTCGCGCAGATCGAGAAGGTTGATGGGAAGAGGGTGAAGAAGGACCCCAAGCAGCAGCCGAAGAAGAAGGATGATGAAGAGACCGTTAGTCTGTTTGCGAGCGCGGCGATTGTTGCCAAGGAGATTGAGAAGGCGCTGAACTCGGCGCCTGTGCACCTTGCTCCGGCTACGACTGCGGCTGTCCGGGTTGGATCGTCGAACTTTACGTCTGAGCAGCTGTCTGAGAACATCGAGGCTGTGGTCAAGGGGTTGACGGATAAGTACATCACCAAAGGGTGGCGGAATATCAAGGCCCTTCATGTTAAGGGTGCCAACACCATGGCTCTGCCGATCTGGTTGGCCAGCGAGCTTTGGGTGGAGGAGGCTGATGTCGTGGAGGCTATTGAGGATGGAGAGGCTGAGGGGCAGAACAAGAAGCGGAAGCAGATTGAGGGTGAGGGTGAGCAGAAGCTGTTAGAAGGAACCAACAAGAAGTCCCGGAAGCAGAAGACTGCCGATGATGACGAGGAGGCCTCATCGCTGGCGGCGCGCAAGGCGAAGCTTGAGAAGCAGAAGGCCCAGGCGCTGAAGGATGGAGAGGCTGCTGCTCTGAAAATATCGGCTGGACCGGCCAAGAAGAAGAAAAAGTCCCTTTCATAGTTCATTGTGTTTACGGAGTTGACTTGAGGTTTCTTGTACTGTTCATACTATAATCCAATATTGCTTGATTCTGGCAAATCCACTACTCCATCTAACAAAGTACCAGTTGCGGTCTTGAAACATACCTAGAAGCATAACCCTCGGCATATCAAGTGCAGAAAATGTAGTTTGCATCATGATAAGCCGAGGGGTTGAGATGGCTACTCTTCCGCCTTATAGCCGAGGCCATCCGCCGATCTGCGGGCACTTGGCGCCCCGACGATAGCCAGAGTCCCGCTACCGGACCTCCAAACTTTCATCACCACCGCAACTCTCTCCACTCATCACCGGACACTACACCACCACTTGCTTGCACCCAGTGCGTCCGAAGCAAGTACACAATCAAAATGGTCTTCGCAGCCCGAACCTCCGTTCTCCGCGCCGCCCGCGCCCAATTCACACCATCCCGGGCCGCTTTCGCCTTCAACCAGTCTGCGCTCGCCCGGCTCCTCTCCACCCTCGCGGTCCTCGAACAGCGCGATGGCAAGCTCCAGAGCTCGTCTGTTTCGGCTATTTCCGCGGCTCTGAAGCTCGGTGGTCCTGTTACGGCGTTTGTGGCCGGTGCGGGCGTGAAGGGCACCTCCGCGGCCGAGGCGGCCAAGTACAAGGGTGTGGAGAATGTTGTTGCGGTCGAGAACGAGGCCTACGAGAAGGTACATGATCAGGAATAAGTATTTGTTTAGAAGGGAGCGCTAACCGAGCGTCCAGGGCCTCCCCGAGAACTACGCTCCCCTCCTCGTCGAGAACATCAAGAAGGGCGAGTACACACACATTATCGCCGGCCACTCTGCCTTCGGCAAAAGTCTGCTCCCCCGCGTCGCTGCCCTCCTCGACGTCCAGCAAGTCTCTGATATTACTGCCATCGAGAGCGAAGATAGTGCGTTGCACCATCGCCACAACCACCACGATGAGCTAGCTAACTAGGGTCCCAGCATTCGTCCGCCCCATCTACGCCGGCAACGCCATCCTAACCGTGCAATCTACCGACCCCATCAAAGTCATCACAGTCCGCGGCACTGCCTTCCAAGACGCCGATGCCACCGGCGGCTCTGCCTCGATCACCGACGGTGCCGACCCTAACGCCCCCGCCCAAACCGAATGGGTCTCCGAGGAGCTTTCCAAGTCCGAGCGCCCCGACCTCGCAACTGCCTCCCGCGTCGTTTCCGGTGGCCGCGGTCTCAAGTCCAAGGAGGAATTCGACCGCCTCATGATCCCTCTCGCTGATTCCCTGGGTGCCGCCATCGGTGCCTCCCGCGCCGCTGTGGACTCCGGGTTCGCCGATAACAGTCTGCAGGTTGGACAAACGGGTAAGAACGTCGCGCCCCAGCTGTATCTGAGTGTGGGTATTAGCGGTGCGATTCAGCACTTGGCTGGTATGAAGGACAGCAAGGTCATCGCGGCGATTAACAAGGATGGTGATGCGCCGATCTTCCAGGTTGCGGACGTTGGCCTTGTTGGCGATCTGTTTGAGAAGGTGCCTGAGTTGACGGAGAAGGTTAAGAGTGCTTAGCTTGACGCTTTTCCAGGCTAGGCATCTTCGTTGGAGTTTTGTTTTATGGTTAATGAGCTCGATTTGATTTGATTTGTATACATACCATGTTTTCGACGCTGTCCGTCGATCTAGAGTTGAAATAAGTCCATTATTCTTCAAGTCCACTTTTCCCCTACCCTGTTAGATTGTCCTGGGCCTTGAAAGACTTCGTGGCACAGCTCGTTTGTCTTTGAGTGATAACAGAATACGAAGTACTCGGTCATCTGTACCTGCCCGTTGTACCACCCCCAGATCTACATCCATCTACTGGTAACTGGACTATCCTTATACGAGACGTCTTCAGGCTTGCATCACCTGCAATATCTGCACGCTGCATTTCAATCGCCAAATTTGATCTATCAAATGCCAAGAGCTGCAACAAGATGCCAGGCCCCACCGAGGGAAGCCAAACCCGACTTCAAGTCATCGTATTTGTCGGATTCCCTTCTCCAACTGCTTTTGCTTTATGCTGTTGGAAAAGTCGATCATTTATCTGGCCATGGCCCCTGGAGCATGCTCGGCACCCCTGCCTCAACCTCAATATCTCACTCAAAGAGTCACAGCTAAGCTCCTGATGCACCATGTCACCCTCAAACACGTACATCCGCTACAAGCGGGACCAGAAACTGCTTGTTTACTGGCTTATACACGCGTCTAACGCCATTATCAAATCATTTCCCGCGGAGACAACAATCCCACTAAACACTAGTGGTGAGATCAAAATCTCGACATTGGTTTCTTTGTCCGAGGTTATTTCGAAACGCATCAGCCCTATCCCCACCAGCATCTACCGTCTATTTCAGTCGGTCATAGGGGCACGACGGCAAACGCACTTGTTCTTTAAGCAGCTTGCGGCCGAGGACCCTGATCCGGAGATCGAAGCAAGCAATGTTTCGCACGAGTACTGGTTAAATGGACTTGTTAAAGCTTTTGCTATCCTCGGCGGAGAGACATGGCTCTCAGAGCGGCAAAATGCCCCAGATGCTGCGGATGAAGGGGATGAGGACGAGATATTCTCTAATAAGTTCGCGGGCCTTAATCTAGACGGAGAGTATGACGAGGATGAGGAGGAAGAAACAAGCGAAACACCAGTCAAAATGCCCCCGCGAGTGCAGAAAAAGGGGACGAAGAAGGGCAAGGGGAAGAAGGGCAAGAAGGCGAAAGGCAAAGGGAAGCGCGCTACCGAGGGAGCAGAGCCTGCCGACATACCGCTGGAGAGCTATTGCATTATTGAAGACCAGACAGGTCTTGTTACGGACTATCTCCTGGCTGCTCATTCGTTGATGATGGAGTGGTCCGATTTACGAAGCTGCATGCAAGAGGCCTGGCGCCGGGTAGCGTATCTAGGTCTGCACAGTGCCATTGCTGGTTCTTTTGGTCATATCGCGGTTGCTATGCTCAGCAAGAGCCAGGTTGAAATCATGGCTGACTTTCCTGGGCACGATTCCTTTGAGACTATTATGCGAACAATCACAAGAGGAAATCCTGACAAAGCGCAGGGTATGCTTCGGATGGTGGCTCCAGACAAATCTTCCTCCGACAACAGCGCCGGGACTGTCCTGGGCGAAGAAGTGGATGTAAGAGAGCATATGATGATACACGCCTATGAAGACCTGGTGGATTTCATCGCCGATTTTCAGAAAACACGGAGCGGGAAGCCGACCAAGTCTATGCTGAAAACCTTGCACTGGGACCCGACTCTTGATCTTAGTCAAGCCAGCAGCGACGTTCGTCTGAAGTGGCGTCGGGCTTACACGATCAACTGGCTATATGATCTTGTAAATGTCTTCTCGTCGGAAGCGGTCGAGAGTCGAAATCTCAAAGGCGAGCCTGCCGATCTTGCGTCTGTCGACTGGTCTATCCATGGGCCCTGGGCTCGCTCCCAACGGATGTTTGGTCTGGGGGAATTTGCAGGCGAGGTCACGAAGCTTGCGATGCAGAAACCTGGGACCGATGTCCGGTCAAAGATTCTTCCGCACCTGGTTTTCCAGCTTCAGTGCATTGTCGATTCCTTTTGTGTGGTGCGCGGATGGATAGGCGACACTATAACAAGTCCCGCAGATGATTTCTGCGCTAGACGAGATATTGACCCATTCCTGGATCGCTCATTGCAGGATGACGGCGTGGGATATCTCAGAGGCTCGGAATTCATGTGGGCCGAGCTCAAAATGGCCGCTATAAGAAACCCTGAGCCCGAATACAACGTAGTGGCTGAACTAGGTGCGCGTGTGGGCGGGGATTTCAAGGACTGGCTAGGGGAGACTCTCTACAAGGATGGCCTCGAGTCTATCCCACCCTCGCGCTTTTCCAACTCAAACGCGAACGGACTCTGGGAATACTCACCTTACTTGTGCGGTACCGGTCTGCTGGAGGCTTTAGAGATTGCACACGGAGCGAGCATGTTTATGTGGGATCGTGTAAGGGAGCCGTCCCTCATCGTGCACTTGCACAATATGCTCGTTAAAAAGGGCTATCTCGACCAGCCCGTCGACCTGATCGATGAATTGACAAACACCTACCGCAACGAATTCTTTTGCAAGGGAAAGATCCCGGAGAGCCGGTTCTTCTCCGCCCTGTATGCCGTTATGCTAAGGGACGCAGGAGCGAAAGACTCCTCAAGCCATGAAATCAAAGTACAGCGCCTAAAGCGCAACGTCAACACTGTACACGATTTCATGGACGAACGCTTCAACAGCGTGTACAGGACAAAGTCGCTGGCAAGGCTGCTGCGCGAGGCTTACTGGGTTCCCGACCGAATCTCGGACGACGAAATCACCGTCCCCTCATCGCTTGCGCTTCTGCGGCTCCGACGCACCAAACGAGTAATAGACCCAGCAACCGGGGCAAAGACCCTGGCGGACACCGTTCTACTTCGACGATACAGGGAAGCTGGATGGAGCGATGAATTAATATCTTGGCTGGTCGGCGCCCTTGATGACGCCCAACCGCTTGACGAACCACCGCAGCCAAACGGCCGTCTATCCGCGCTGCCTCCGGGCTACGGCCATAAGATCCTGGCTGATTCGAAAGCCAGTCTGCATCTCGACAAGGGCAATCTCAGCAACGAAGAGTTCTTCTTTAGGATCCTGAAGACCGACATGCGGAATCAGATCGTGTTAGGGCCATGCCCTATATTGGGGCTCAGCTATATGTGGATCACGCTATACTGCTTTCACATTTTCAGCCGTATCGAGCAGAAACTGAAGGAGTTGAAGCATCCGTACTATGACAGGATCTATTGTGATCCCGAAGAGAGCAAGAACATGGGGCTGACGTTCACTGTTATGGAGGAGGAGGATGGAGCGTGTCTGCGTGTTATTGCTGAATGCTTGCGGGGAAACCCTGCATGCGTCGGGGATTATTTCTACTGGCCTGAGGTGGGGTCTGGAAGTGTATACTCCGAGGAGCCGGAGGATGAGCTCGAAGACAAGCATGAGCATGAGCATGAAAATGGTGATTAGGCGTCATTCTAGATCACGTTGGGTTGATATTGGATCGAAAATTTGTACATGGTAGATACCATCCATGTTTAGCAATACCAAGGTAGAGTACTTCGAAGAACCTTGCTGCTCACATGTTCTTTAATCGAGGTGCCCATTTTCCAGGCTCTCAGGATCAGATGGTCCTGGCAGATGTTGTTTGTCAGAGCAAATGGGCGGGGGCGCTTACCAGGCCAGGGACCAGGGGATGGGGAATCCTTGCCCTAAGTGCCATCAAAAGCATGACTGGCTAGATGCGCATGCATGACTGCACACTCCTTGCTCCTGGATCATCCTTTTGAGGCTGATGTTGGCTTGCCAGATGTCTTTCCCCGCTGCTACACCTCTCGTCGCTGCGTTGATCTCCGGGATTTCCTGAGATTCTTTCCAGGGAGGCGCAGGTGTCTCCGGTGTCTCAGGCTGCCTGACGGCGCATCTCTAGCCGCCCAAGCTGTATCCAGCTCACAGGCAACGAGACAACTTGGGAGAATGGAGCAGAGAACAAGAGGCGTTAGACAACCAGGACATGTTCACAAACAATGTTACGGACATTTCCCCCCCAAAGTGTCCTCGTCACGACGTTTCGTCCTTTACCCCAGTTGAAATCTTCTCACATCGGACCTTTTCGCTACCTCAACGAGACCAGAAGCTTTCAAGTTCGACTTTCCCAATATACGATCAATCACCAAGATGGCTGCTCGACCTGCATCTCTACTTAAAGCCCCACCTCTGGACAAATTCCACGATCATTTCGTAGTGATCGCAACGTTGCCTGGCCCAGAGCATACTCTCTCCTGGAATACGCCTCCCGTTATTGGGTCTCCCATGTACAAGAATTGCCGGCAAGCTCGCGCCTGGAGTTGGAGGGTCAGATGTTCAAGCTATACACACACAAATCCACAGAGTGATATTCCTGGTTCTGGGTGGCAGTGGTTGCCGAAGCTGTTCGTGCTGGCGACGGTGAGGTTACCAAGCTTCTCCTAGACGACGGCGCAGACCCGGATGCAGGCTTTCCGCTTCATATTGCTGCTCGTGAGGACTTCCGACAAATCGCGAAGATGCTCATCGAGGACGGCGCCAATGTGCACTTGGAGCAAGATGGCAAGAACCCCCTCGAGATCGCCATTGATTGGAAGAACGGGACCATCATGCGTTGTATCTTTGCCACCGGAGAGAATGTTAGACATCCTCCGTAATATTAGAATACGTGACAGAACATGGTCTGATATCGAGTGCTCGTAGTGCGGATTGGGAACGGTGTAAAGTCCAGGTCTTCGTGTTATTAATCCATGAAGAAAGAGGGCATCGAGGGGGTTAGCGCAGAGTGAAGGCCTAAAAGTTAAGTGGAATTGCACCTGGCCTGTGTTCACTGCTAACCACAACCATCCTGTCCAGTTGCATGAGTAGACCTCGGGACCATGTCCGTAATTGGTATCTTGTTTGAATTGAAACCTGGACATGGTCCATACATACGTACTATGCGATTGCTATGCTACTACACAAGCCACAAAGTGCACAGAAGAGATATGAAATTCATAGGATCGTAACCTCTATAACATGAAGTAAGCTAAACATGCAATATTAAGCCAAACCCATGGCAGTCGTCAGATTAAGCCACTAGGTCTAGTTGGACATCTAAAAGTCCTCCTCGTCGTCAACATCCTCTCCACGCTTCTTCTTTGCGAGACGCGCCTTTTTCTGTTTGCGCTTGTCACTGGAAGATAGCTTGACCTTCTTCTCAACCACAATCTATCAAATGACAGTTAGTACATGGTACAAATTGGTTAAGAAGGGCTGAAGCCTTGCGTACCTTATTACCCATGGCGTCGAAAACCTCCTCAGCCTCCTCCTTTTCCTTCAATCTCTCACCAGTTCCTTGCCCCTGTACCCAGTTGTGTCTGTTCGCAGCGAGTTAGCGATGTTTTATTCATGGAAAGATGTTTGTTGTTGAGGGTTGGTTGTAGGGGGGTTGGGGATGAGGAGGGAGCTTACCCGGAAGGAGTCATCTTTCCGTCCATGACAGCCCAGACTTCGTCGGTAAGGTCCTTAGTGAACTCAGCAGAGTGGGTGATGATGACAACACCACCCTCGAAAGCCTTGATGGCCTTGGAGAGAGCACCAAGGGAGTCACGGTCGAGGTAGTTAGTGGGTTCGTCGAGAACGATCACGTGGGGGAGCTGCCATGAGCAAGCGGCAAGGACAACCTTGACACGCTGACCACCGGAGAGACCACGCATCTGGGAGTGGGAGACAAGTTCGGAATCGAGACCGAAATTGGCGCAGTGCTTCTCAATCTCCGTGCGGACCAATGGACGGACGTCAGCGCTTTCCGCGGCAACTCTCGCGTCAACCTCGGCGACCTTCTTGGCGTGAGACTCGATGATCTCGTTACGAGGAATCCAGGCATTGTCCACGGACATCATTGGCGTCCACTTCTCGCTCTTCATGCCAAGGTTCTCACCGAGCAAGAAGGTACACTCGTACTCGTAGGTGTTCTTGTACTTGCGACGGCTAAGGACACTGGCAACACGACGGGGGGTACCTTCGATGTTGTAGACCTTCAACTCCGCCTTCTCGTCTTCCGCGGTCATGTGCTTGTTCTCACGGTCCAAGGTCTCGCGGTCCTCGCCAGTCTGGAATCGCCATTGGATGTACTCGGAGGGAGTCTTATCGAGGTGGTGATCAATGTGGGCGAAAGCGTGCTGCTTAATGTAGGCAATACGGATGTTCTCGTGCTGGTAGACCTCACCGGCGGTGGCGACCTTCTCTCCAGCCAGGACGTCCACAAGAGTAGACTTACCTGCACCGTTAGGACCAATGACAGCGATACGAGAACTCAGAGAAACCTGGAAGGTGATGTCCTTGATCTGATCCTCTTCCGCAGAAGGATAACGGTAGCACATGTTGTTGACACGGATAATGGCCTTGGACTTGGTTTTGACACCATCGAGAAGACCAGGCGCGGGGAACTTGAACTCCAAGTCACTAGCACCGAGCTCGTAGTAAGAGCGAGCAGAGGGAACACGCTTGACGAACTCGCTCAGGGTACCACGGTAACGCTTGAGCTTGAAGCGCTCGTAGTGGATAACGTGCTGGAGAACATTGTCGAGGAACTTGCTGTCGTGGGAAACGATGATGGAGGTGCAAGGAGAGGTGCGGAGGTAGTTCTCCAACCAAGCGACGTTCTTGACGTCCAAGTGGTTGGTGGGCTCGTCAAGGAGGAGGATATCCGGGTTCTCGAAAACGGCACGGCAAAGAGCGAGCTTCATCTTCCAACCACCAGACAGGGCGGTGATGGGACCCTCGAATTGAGCACGAAGGAAACCGAACTCCTCAAGCTTAGCCTCGACCTCCGCCTGGACGGGTTCAAGGCCAACCTCACGAAGCTTCTTCATGGTCCAGCCAACAACGGTCTGCTCAGTGTCGGCAGAGTCCAAGTCGTGCTCGACGTAGACGGTCTTGACCTCGTCCTTCTTGGGGAAACCCTCGAGCTGCTCGTTGTTGATGGCACGCATGAGTGTGGTCTTTCCAGAACCGTTAGGTCCAAGCAGACCGTAACGCTGGCCACGCTTCAAGCGGAGGGATGTCTGGTTGAGAAGGGTCTTGGCACCATAGGCAAGCGAGAAGGTACAGTTGCAAAGATCCTCACCCTCCTCTTCATCGGATTCAACCGCTTCCTCTTCGGCGGCCAGGGGAGAAGCGCGTTTGCGGAGAGTATCCACAATGGCCGAGGCCTCACCTTCACCAATAATGGCGGTGATGTAAGGAAGAACATTGCGGGTCCAGTCAGCAGACTCGCCAATCTTCTCGTCAACGAGCTGACCGGCGATAGCAGAAACGTAGTCGACAACGGCCTCGGACTTCTCAGCCTCGGACTTGAACTTGGCGGCGAGGATATCCTTCAAGATGTCTCGAATAGTGCCAATGTCGCCGGCAGTCGAGATCTCGGGGTTTTTCGGATCCTTCGGATCCTTGACACCACCAACACGCAGGAGAGTTTTCAATGCCTGCCCAGTCTTGTCACGGGCTTCATTGTCGGCGATCTCGTTGTAGTTCTTCTCGAGCTTGGGCCTCAAAATAGGCATGAAGGGCGCAACAATCTGAGGATCATCCACGAGTTTACACATGTTGTCGATGATAACAGCAGCCTTGCGCTTGATGGGCGTGGGCTGATCATGAGCGAGACCACGCTCAAGCAGGGGAGTCATGATGGCGAGTGTCGGGCCGGTGACTTCGGAAACGAAAGTGGTAGCGCCGAGCAGATGAATAGTCTCGGGAACTTTCTTTTCGGGAAAAGCGATACACTGGACGAGCTCGGGAATGAATTTTTCAATATCCTTGTTGATGATCAGGCCGCAAACGATCTCAAGAGTACCGATCCTCGCTGGCTCTGCCGGTTGCTCGGGCTTATTGCCCTTCGCGGGCTTAGCAGGAATGTAATCATTCCCACGAATCTTTTTCGTGGCGTCCTTGCTGGAGTCTCCCATAGCCGCCGAAAGAGGGGGAATCATGTCAGGAACACGGAACGCCATCTGAACAGGGGATGACTTGACGAGCTCTTCAATGCAGTCGAGCGCTGCGATAATCTCTCCCTCATTCTTCGTCCTGTCAAGAGAGTCCAGAAGAATAGGAATGACGGCCTTGACAGCGTTGCCGTTGATGTTCCTGACAATGGCTAGAGCAGCCTGATCAGCCTCTTCCTTCGTGGGATTGGGCTTATTCTTGATTGTCTTGGTGCCGCTGACCGCAAGGACGGACCGAAGCAAAGTAAGAAGATGGGGCTCAACACCAGGGGCGATGGTGGGGTGAGAAGCGATGGCACGAACTGCCTGGGCGGCGCGCAGTTGAGCATTGGGGTCTTTCTTCTTGGCAAGCTGGGCTGTAAGCGCTTCAACGGCCCTATACAAAAGTCATGGTTAGTCGATCAATTACCAAAAACCAAAAGGCGCGGCTAGGACGTCGACCATGACCCAGGGACATAAACCTACTTGAGAGGAAGCACCTGCTCGGGAATAGGACCAGAGAGCATCTGCGTCAGGCTGGTAGTGATGGTGTTTACCTCAGCCTGCTCAGAGGCCAGGTTGAGGTTCTTGAGAGCGCCCTCGAGCAGAGAGACGGACTCAGCAATCTCCTTGCTGGAGACAGCGGGAACGGAGGCGAGATCAACGGCAGGCATTTTGTGTGTTGATGAAATAAAATGGAACTTTTATAAGGGAAAACGGATGGAGAATAAAAGATTCAAAGAACCGAGAACGGGCAGAGACGTTCTATAAGGGGTATCTTGAAGATGATGACGGTAAGAGAACTGCGACAAACAGACGCAGACCGACCAAGTAAATCTATGATCCTTTGTCTAAGACAAGAAGACAAGAAGAGAGAAAAGTAAAGAGAGGACCAGACCTCTATCGAAGAGATAAGGGATGTATGGGAGGGAGGAGGGAGATGGAGCGAGGAAAGGAGGGGTGAGACTTATTTATCTCAAATTTGTGTGGGCGGGCTGCAGACTTTTTCTCCCAGCGCCTTTTGCCGCCCGAAAAATCTGGCTCCGTTTAAAAAAATGTTTTTTTTTTCGGGTTAAAAAAAGTCTGATAGTCCCGCGCTAACCATATTTGGCACTCTTTGCCTCAGGCCGCTTGTCATCGCCCTCAACGACCCATAATCTTGTCTTGATCATTGCATTAGTCTACCTCCTTTTGCTGGTACCTCCGTGACATTTTCATAGTATTCATTCATGATCTGTTCTACGGAAGCATCGTGATGCTTGGAGATTAGAATACTGCTCTGAGTCACCTCCCTCAAGCTTCAGCACATGAGTCCAGGGCACCGAACACGCATGCTATGCTCTGCTTTGACTTTTCCTAGACTCTACCGTGACTCTATTCTGAGTCCTTGCCTTGTATCGCAGTTCTATTCCTGTCGCCACCCTCAGATTCCTCTCTGGACGTGGGTGGCGCAGCCAAGTCCATATAATTTACGGATGCTTTGTTCTTTTGTCCGCCAAAAAAAGGCATCTCATTCGTCGACATCAGGGGCTAAAGTTAGGTCCCTGAGCCGTGCAGCCATCACCCTCCATTCAGAGTCAGCCGTCATTTCTTTGACAAGGCAGCCTTAGCCTCTCATGAATCTCCTTTGGCCAAGGATCAGATGTACCGAGTAGAAAAACATGGGGTATTGTTTGGCCGACACTAAGTAAATCTCTCCCTTGACTCTTCGGCTAGCTGAAGCTCAGGGGAACTGAAGCCTTGCTGACGCGGCTAAGTTCCCAATCTCCCTGAAATCAAAACAAGAGGATGCAAACGCATTCGGACTCGGACTGCGAGGATCCCTGACACCTGAAACGATGGGCTGAGTTGGACGACAGACACAACGCCGCCATTTGTCGATATGCTCACCGCATCGTCGAGACGAACTGACTACAGGTGATCATGGCTTGGTGAGGGCTGAATCTAGATCGTTTATTTGATGTACACTCATTACTCATGTTCTTTCGACGCCCCATAATCCTTATCGATTGTTCTCCGGATCTTCCTCCTTATCCCCCGCAACACAGCCGGATGGAGTCTGTGGCACAGATCGTCTCAACAGAAAAAAGTAACAAATCCCCAATAGTATCTCCACCCAGAACCTTATCCTTTCATGATCACGCACTACTATCATTTTTCAACTTTTTTCCTTATCTATTCCGAGCCTATCGGGTACAAATCCTCCGGGTATGACTATGCGCAGAACACAGAAACGGGTGCCAAAAACCATCCACGGGTCAGCCAAAGTAAGACTGAAATAAGATATAAATGACCTAATCTTAGAAGAGCCACCCAGAAAATTTTCCATCACTATTATTCTTAGCCTGCCTGTCTAGGATTAGGAAATACTACATGAGTTCCAATGATCCATGGATTCCCCAGCCTTGCCGGGACCGGCCTTTGACTCTCTCCCTGCCACAGCGCCACATGCCCGACACTTCTACCGAATGAGCCCTCCGGCCCCCTTGTCTCGCTCATCGAGTTCCCCTTGCATGATATCCTTTATGACCCTTAACGCCTCACAGAACCTCTTTGTTCTATTATCTCTGTCTTTTTCTAGGCACATGATCACAACTCGTTCAGAGGACAAGACCCCAAGTTAGCATCACAGGGAAGTAGAATAGACGGTATGTATCAGGCCATAGTCCGAGCCAACTCCGCCCAATGCGCTTCAAGGCTCTTGTCGCCACCATTTACGTCTGCACGAAGTAAGCTAGTTGAAGTATTCAATGTGTAATCTGGAAGTATCCAATTGTTCTTGAAAGCTTATTAAAAGTGGATCACGACGGCCCCATGGCTCTAGGTTAAGTACAATCCGATTCATCCTCCGTAGTCCTCGCCTCATCTACGGCATGGCGAACGTACTAGACCGTGGTAGAGAGCTCCGGCAGGTGTCGCCACTCCTATCATTCACGATTCTTGGGGATCCGGGTAGTTTAGCCGCCCTGTAGCTACACAGATGTGGGTAGCCTAGTACTCTCTCAAAACCTTGTGGCGAGTCGTTCCGGGTTGACAAGATCATTTGGTCACCCGGTCCTATGCAGGTACGCCGTTGTGCTCAGCAGGGCTCACGGAGTACTATTTCCTACAGATAATACTCTCATAGCAGCGCTCTGAAGGAAGATGCATTCATTCATTTAAGGATATCAAACACGTAGCAGCGACGCAAATTAGAGTCCCCATCCAGTTTCGCGACTACAAAAACAGCGTGATTTTCAATAGTGTTATCGCGCCCCGACCAAAGCGCATACGAAATACAGGGCCTGCCTTCAAGAAAACTGTTCAGGAGCTGCTAGAGCTGGAACTAGAGGAGCTCGATGAGCTGGAGCTGCCGGAGCGCTTGCGGCCATGTTTCTTCTTCTTATGCTTCTTGTGCCTGTTCACAACATTAGTATGATTTTGCATAGGCCAAGGGACATTGAGCCTACATTTTAGAAGCGACGTTCATTCCCACTGCTCCTGCGACAGCGCCTCCAACAGTGCCTAATGCACCGCCGCCCATTTTGTGCCCTAAGAAGCTGCCCGCGGCGCCTCCGAGTAAGGTCGAGCCCAGCCCTCTTTCACCTTCAGCACCGACCGGCACTTGGGCGTGTCCCTGCTGCGGAGCTGAGTGCTCTGCCTGGTGACCGCCGTAATAAGAAGAGTTCGCGCCGCCTTGGGGTTGGTGGTATTGTTGCTGCTGTTGAGGAGGGTATGGGGAGTGGCCGCGATCATGGCCGTAGTTCATATTAGGGTCTTGCCCATAATGTCCGGGGTATTGTTGGCCGTGCTGCGGTTGTCCGTGCTGAGGTTGCCCGTATGCGCCTTGCTGAGGTTGTTGATGGTATTGTTGACCTTGTTGGTATGAGGGAGGACCCGGAGAGTACGCCGTATCGTGGGGGTGCTGACCATAAGGCTGCTGTTGCTGCTGCTATACCATTGAACAGGTTAACAACATGTAGTGCAATGACGGAATCTCAAATGCGCGGCTATTGCGAAGTAAGAATGCGTGTTATGTGAGACTAACCTGAGGCGGGTAATAGCCTTGCTGCTGTGGTTGCCCACCATATTGCTGCTGAGGATAGTTGCCCTGGCTGCCGTATCCAGCTCCTCCATAGTAGCCCTGGTCGGGCGGGCCGCCGTACTGATTGTGGTTATACGACATTTGGGCGATATCCGCGCGAAACCGTTGATGAAAAGTGTATAGTTAATGAAATCCGAACGGATGCTGAGCAGAAAGAGGCCGAAATAAGCAGCGGGAGGAGCGGGATTTATAGAGAATGGCAGACGGGGAAAGGACAATCAACGGCTCAGCGGGTCGTCAGGAGGGATGAGAAGAGGCGCAGCAGTCGTGTCCCCGCTAGGATAAAGCACTATCGTCCATTTACGAAACACACCTCGTGTGGCTGAGCTTGTGTATGTTCAGCTCTCATCTCTTTGTCGGCGGGATTCCAAGGTTTCGTTTTGCTGATGACGGCGACAATTGAGGTTGGTTTGATGAGGATGAGGGGTAACCCAAGCCGACTCAGGCTCACTTTCCCTCCGCCCTACGCCATCCCACCAACATCGGGGCGTATCTAATTCGTACACTTTGAGAAATTTTCCGACGTTGCATTTCATTGCAAACTGAATCCTTGATGCTCCTATATGACTTGCAGCGCGCTGGGGAAATTAAGCTCGTGCCTAGACCCTGAATCTGCAGATTGTTGCTGTGGGGACTCCCAACTCCGTAGTCCGTACTGTGCCCAGCATGAGGCTCCTGCTTGCTGCGTCAAGAAGTCGTTGCAAACTTGCAATGCTCGTTTGTTCGACCATGCAGATCCGACTACTAGGCCAAGGCAGTCGCAGACTCGCATCTGTTCGGGCTTGACGGAAAAAGGAACACATTCAACGAGACCGTACTTTTGGAAAGCCGGCCCCGTCAGTTCAACCCAAGAGAGCTATACCATTTTCAATGCAATCAAAGATGACAAATATCCTTGACCGGTAGCATGCCTCTCCGTAGTAGGTACAAATCCTAGGGCCCTATCTGTCGAAGCCTTGTCAAAAGAGATCTCGAGCGCGGCAGTGTTTCGCCCCGGAGTACACCAGATAAGCCAAAGATCCCCATGATCACCGAGATAGAAGCAGGTCCTCCCTCGGAGATGAGACAGGAAAATACTTGGAACACAAGGAGGACGGCTGAGTGATTCGACGAGGGATCGTGGGGTCCCCCATAAGGGCAGTTAACAGCACTACTCTTCTCCGTAGGCATTTCACATCGTTTCCCGCAGGGCGAAGGGCTATCACCAGTGCAGAACAATTGCCTGTAGACTAGGCCCCGGCCGTGTTGTACAATAACCAAAATCAAGTACCAAACGTTCTCCAACGTTATTGACGAGTAGAAGAAACCTCGTCGTACAGTATGAACAAGCAGATGTGTGGATGATAAATCACTGACATCTCGTCTATCGTGTTCTCTTTCTCCATGGGTATACCTGCATTGCGAGACCCGAGAATGCAGATGGGAGTAGGGAGTACTAGCTATAGCTACGTGATGCGGTGTCAGTCGCGGAGCTTGGGAAACTGCTCCCGAAATAGCCATCTCATCGCCATTGGGTGGAGGGCCTCTAGGGACGTGGTCTAGCTGCCTTCCATGTAGCACCGTACTAGATCAAGTACCTAGGCCGCCAAGACCCGCGCAACCAACAGCTGCTGATGTCGAGATTTTGGCCGAATTACGACGACTTCGACTCCTCCGCGTGTCTGTCTCTATTCAACTCCACTTCCACGCTCACTCGTTGCGCTGCTTCAAACCTGTCTCCATCATCTTTCTTCTCCCCCATTGTCGTGTGCCGCCCACGTATTCGGTCGGCCCGCCGCTCGTTACCCCGTTCGGAGGACGCCTACTAAGGGCCACTTGAGTTTTCTATCGTCAACCGCAAAATAACATAGAACCCAGGGGTTGACCTGGCTCTCTTATTTCCTAATCGCACTGTGGATTCGACCCCAGATTTGATGAGCAAGCGCATTCCTGAGCCGACTCCCCTGTACCCCTTACCGTTTCCGTCGACAACCAACCACCGAATTGGTTTGCGATCACTAATTTCCTCTCGACGGCCCCGTGCGTGCTGGATGTATCCTGTCCCCTCCAATGCACAGGACATCTGCGGATGAGGACAATTTTTTGTCGCGAACTACCGAGAGCCATGGGCCTGATTCAGAGAAGCCGCACCCGGTAGCCAGAACTGGGACGAGCATCGACCTAGACAACTCGACACCACGCTCAAGAAATTCCAGCACCTGGAGGTCGCTTTCTACGAACAACGCGATCTGGACATCGCCCGATCCGATGCCGTTAACGCCGCGCCTCGCTATCGAGGCTTCGCCCGACTCTCCGCAAAGATCCCGAGTAGCCCGCTTTCGCAGCCCTTGGTCGTGTTCTATTCTCACAGCTCTTACTACGATCCTCGCTTGTGTCTTTCTCTTCTCGATCGTTCGTTCATTCTCTGCCCTCCAAACAGGCAGCGATGGATGTGGTGTACCAGTGATGACCCCGACGTTCCTGCGGATGGTGGGATTTGACACGGAGCATACGCGGTTTGCGAGCAAGTACAATCTCTTTTTGTATAGAGAGGAAGGTGTTGATCCGTACGGTCAGGAGAACTTGGGGGTAAGCTGCTCATTCTCAGCCAGTTCCTTCAATGCTAACTCTGGTGTCCAATTAGCTGAATGGCGCACCCGTCCTGTTCTTACCCGGCAATGCAGGAAGCTACCGCCAGGTCCGATCGTTAGCCGCCGAAGCTTCGAGACATTACGCGCAAGTGATTCAGCATGACCAGGAACGATTGCGAGCCGGAGCCCGAAGCCTGGATTTCTTCATGATTGATTTCAACGAAGATATGGCAGCTTTCCATGGACAGACCTTGCTCGATCAAGCCGAATACGTGAATGAAGCCGTGGCATATATACTCTCGTTATATCATGATCCTCGCCGTACTCGACGAGATTCGGAACTTCCGGATCCCAGCTCTGTGATACTAATTGGACACTCGATGGGAGGAATAGTCGCACGTACCGCATTAACAATGGCGAACTACCAGGAAAACTCGGTAAACACGATTATCACCATGTCGGCACCCCACGCCAAGGCCCCGGTATCGTTTGATTCGGACATTGTCCACACATACAAGCAGATAAATGATTACTGGCGCGAGGCATACTCGCAGACGTGGGCCAACAATAACCCTCTATGGCATGTGACGCTTATTTCCATCGCCGGTGGCTCTAGGGATACTGTTGTTCCGTCCGATTACGCCAGTATCTCGTCCCTTGTCCCGGACACTCACGGTTTCACGGTGTTCACCTCGACGATACCTGATGTTTGGATTGGAGTGGATCATCTGTCGATAACGTGGTGCGACCAATTCCGCAAGGCTATCATAAAATCTTTGTTTGATGTCGTGGATGTGCGGCGGGCCAGCCAGACCAAACCCAGGGCGGAGCGGATGCGAATCTTCAAGCAATGGTACCTGACAGGGTTGGAGCCGGTTTCTGAGAGGTTGCTCGGACGAAATGGTAATTACTATCGTTAGAATCTCAGCTTTGAATGTTACTAACTAGTTTGCAGAGCCGAGCACCATAGTGACCCTGGAAGATGACACCAATACTATTCTTGCGCAAGGCCAGCGGCTCGTGCTTCGCGAACTTGGCCACCACTCAGGCCCTAACGTGCACCTTCTGCCTGTTCCCCCTCAGGGGGTTTCGGGCAAGAAATTCACGCTCCTCACAGACCAGCGCTTGGATAGGACTGGTGAGCAGGGGAACTTGGAAGTGTTGTTCTGCAGCGTTCTCCCTATGAGCAATGGAAAGGTTTCATCGGTGCTTGCACTCAACATAGACTTGTCTGATAGCAGTGGCTCAACGCGCCTTGCGTGCAAGAACGCCGCAGTCGACGAGATCCATCTTCCCGCATCGACCCGCTCATCAAAGAATGCGTATGATCGCGTCAGGCCGTTCTCTTATCTTCAGTACGACCTTGAGGATCTCGCAGAACACCAGTTTGTGGCAGTTGTTGATAAAGCCCGTGTACCAACCAAAGGTTGGGCCATTGCGGAGTTTTCAGACAGCTCTGATGCACTCATCAAAGCTCGGATAGGCTTGGGTGGACTTCTGAGTGCCGGATTAAAAGTACGCCTGCCGGCCAACAGGCCTATGCTCACCGAGGTGAGAATCCCAGCCCTATACTCGAGCTTGTTGGACTATAAACTCCGCGTCGTTCGCCACCGTCATGCCGGTGACCCGCAAGAACTCTTCGCTCCCCTCTTGCGCCAGTCAATTGCGGATCCTCACGAGTCCAAGTTCTTTGTCAATGTCGACAGAGTAAATGTGAATTTGCACGGACTGGCGCCGTACATGCCTCCTCCGCTTCGGCAAACAAGCCAAAACGGCGTTTCATTTCAGCTATGGACTGATCCGACGTGTGATTCCACGGTCGACATCACTTTGACGGTTGACATCGTCAGCAGTTTAGGAGAGCTGGTGATGCGGTACAGGACCGTGTTTGCTGCGTTTCCTCTCCTAGTTGTTGCTTTGACTCTGAGAAAGCAGTTTCAAGTTTATGACGAGACCGGATTCTTCATTACCTTCGCTGAGGGCTTAGACAGCGCTTTGCGTTCATCTATGCCGATCTTATTACTAGCAATGTCGCTGCTGGCATCTTCTCTTGCCACCTCGACCAAACTCCCACCGGGAGACGATACGTTCCACTGGGCAACGAATTCGACTGAGACGCCTATTGATTTCACTAAGAATGATCTCCTTTTAGGCTCTCAGGACGCATTCTTCTGGTTTCTGGTACCACTTTTCGGCCTCATCTGCGTTGGAGTTTGCGTTCTGCTCAATTATGTTGCTCTCCTTCTCCTACAGATTTTCTCTTTCGTCTATGGCCTTTGGAACAGCAAATCTGGATATATTAGGCGTGATGACAAGGGGTGAGTAGTCTGGCTGCTGATTTTTGAGGATTTACTAATCGGTTAGATGGCTTCCCGTCTTCCCTGCACCTTCTCCAAGAAGACGATTGATCAAGATGGGTGTTCTCTTGGTCCTCGTATCGACTGCGATTCCCTACCAATTCGCATACTTGGTGGCATGTATCGTGCAATTGGCGACTTGTGTGCGGGCGCAGTGGCATGCCAAAGAGACCGTATGTGCTTTGATCTCTTTTATAGATTGTACTAACAGCAACAGAGGTCGACCGCCCACTATAACTTTTCAAACTACGCATACTCGATATTCATTCTAATGCTCTGGATTCTTCCAATTAATATACTTGTCCTCCTGGTTTGGGCGCATAACCTTGTTGTGCACTGGTTCATGCCATTCTCATCGCATCACAATGTGTTGTCCATCATGCCGTTTATCATTCTGGTGGAGACCATGACCACTGGGTCTATGATCCCCAGGGTCCCCACACGGTATGTACCTTCGCTCGTCTAGTCAAATTGCCACTAAATTAAACAGGTTAAAACACATCACCTCGGCCCTCCTATTCTGCATCGCGGTTTACTCCGCGGTGTACGGAGTATCGTATGCCTATATTTCCCATCACCTCGTCAATATTCTTGCAAGCTGGCTCGTCAGCATCTACCTCTTCCGCAGTGGCTTTTCTCTTCGCCGCTTTTGGAAGATGGTTGAAGGGGACGAGTCACCCACCACGCCTGAACCGGGAAGCCACACGAAGAAAAAACCATGACCATGACGCCTTGCATCTCTTCCCACAGCACTTTCATTTCCTTTCCCAGCACGTACACGGAGTTCATCGGAGCGTTTCTACTAATAGTCTTTTTTCTTTTGCTGCCCAACTGTATAGCTCATTTCCGCCGTGCTGCGACCGAAGTGCATAGACTTGCGGCAGCCATTAATAGGCCAGGGTTGATTGTATATACTGTTGGATCTGGATATAGATGGCTGGATCGATGCTAGAGGGCATGAATACATACCTCGCTTGACTACACTTTGACTGGAGATAGGACGATGTAACCCCGGATGGAGCTAGGACTAACTAGGCAGGTCCGGGCTTCGACGGTTCGACCTACGGGACGGGACCTCCCTCGGGACGCGAGAAGGTCCCCGCGAGGCTTGGGCCGGAATTCGGCCGAATGTCGATGAAGAACTGAAAGCCAGGGTTGCTTGCTTGAATTCGGGACTCGAGGTATGGTACTAACCAGTAATCCAGTTCAAGAATAGTAAATCTGGGACCGTTGATGCTGGCAAAGTACAAAACAGACTGCTTCCACTGCTATAACCAGTCACGATGTCTGCCTGTCTGGCCAAAAAGGGAAGGAGCAGTGCACGGCCGGGGGGAAAGATGATTCCTCCCATGCCGGGTTAAGATAACTTCTCCATCTCCTCATTCCCTCCACTCTTTTTATCAATTTCAGTCTATTGTGCACCATTTTCATCAAGATCCAGCACGGCAGGTAAGTATTCTGACCCAAACTATCAATAAAGAGGCTTTTTATTAATATTCCTAGTCCTAAGCCGAATCCCGGGTGGGACTACCTAGCCTGCCCTCGCATTGACAACCTTGTTGAGCTTCTTGATCAACTATCTCTTAATGCAGACAACAATAAACTGGACGAAGAACTGGGCGAAGAACCAGTTATATGCGATGACCACAAGAAAATCAACCTCCTTCTACTATTCCTTGGGAAGCCCGAAACCGGGATCGATCTGAACGACCTTGTCATGCTGCGCGGATGTTTTGAATACTTCCTACTGGACATCTGATCAGCATACCGATCGAGAAGTCTGACAACTTGACAAATTAATGGAAATTATTTCCGATTTTGTATCAACAGCAAAGCAATCAGGATTCCCCAAGGACAAGGGGCTTGCCCCCTCAGTTAGCATTGTCCTAAAAAGATCCACCCCAGACTTTCTTTTTAAGAAGTATATCAAGGCTATGATGCTATCAGCAAGGCCGTGCAAGATATTGCTTGCAAAAAGGGTCCCATTACTGAGAATGATTTTAAGGGGCTGAAATAGGCAGACCAAGATCCCCGCCAGGGGATTTATGTTAATGTGGTCAATGGGGCCATTTATATTGGGTCTGCAACTACCTTTTGGGTTCGCATAGCCCAGCATAAGAAGATCCAGGGGCGCTATACCATTACAACACTTCCACCAAAGTTTACTACTAGCCTCCACTATATACAACCTGTCAACAGCCATCAGAGTTCTACATCCTGGCTGCATTTGAACCAGGAGAGGAAGTGGATCCTGCCTATCTTTTAATAGTTGAGGCAATTCTTATAGTGATCTTGGATCCTATCAAAGAAAAGCAGCCAAGAAATATGGCAGGTGGAACCCTGTTACAACATACCGGCTGGTGGAAAGCCTTCAAATATCTGCCAATTTACAACATTTCAAATACAAAGGGCTAAATCTTGCATGGCCAGCATGGCAAGAAGTCAAGCTACCTGACAGCAATCTTCCACAACAATGCAAGATTGCAAGCGTGTTACCTATATGCAGAAGGATCGTCCTGCAAATTGCTTGACTGGCATCAGGCAGCTACTCCACCCAGATGGGGACCAGCAAGAAGACCCTCTAAGCCTAGAGTATCTTTGTGGGCCCTGCTCCTATTACATGATCAAAACTGGAGACATGCCCAATACCGCAACTATGGATCATGTGTATAAGACAAAGCAGAATCAACATGATCTTCACCAAAAATTGGGAAGGATGCTGCCTGCACTGCGTGTGGCTTGCTCGAATCCCAGCAGCCATTATAGGATGATGAACAGCGCAATATCCAACTCAGACGCCACAGAAAGGATTCCAAATACCCTGGAGCCCTGTTATGCCAACCATGCTTTGACCATACTAAACGGCATAACAAATTGCCTGATGCTGAGGCCATCTCTAAGCAGATTCGGAGGGAGCACATAAGGCATGCTCGAGTACTTGGCATGCCTATTCACTGTGATAATTGTGGTATTGAAGAGGGCCGTAGATGGCTACGCAATCCACACAAAAATGCCTTTAACAGATATGGTATTGTGCGATCACTGCAAGAGTTACTCTCAAAGAAATCAGCAGCAGGCACAACCACAGGAAAAGATAAAGCACAGCTGGGCAACTTTCCAGCTGCAAGAAGATTTAGAGACTGGGAAGCCCATTATTTGCCAGACTTGTGGTGGTCAAGAGGGCAAAGTCAGGAACAAACAACATTTTCTCATAAAAAAGAGGGCACCCACTTCCAGCAGTGCAGGACCTGTGAGCAACGCCAACTTGACGACAAAAGAGGTCCAAAAGGACCAAAACGCAAAGCTGATGCAGATGGGAAAGGCCCAGCACCAAAGAAAGTGAAGAAGTAATTGCTTTGAGGATGACATGGTTCTATGTGATCACTGCAAGGCCTATTACATAGGTACAAGAACTGCACCCATAGGCACAAATCAAGCATTATTGCAAAGTCAAACTCGTACCAGCAGAGAGTCTAAAAATGCAAGGTGTTTGTAGGAAAGAAATGTAGACTGCTTGAAGCCTCGAGTCAAATGTCCGTCGAGGCGAAGCTTTGGGTGGAGCTTGGCCGGGGAGCCAAGATGCGTCAAGGCGGCTGGGCATCGTCAGCAAGCCTGCTCGGCGTGTTAGGTAGACCTTGTAAAGTGGTACAGACTGGAGACTATGCAATTAATAATGCACCCATACCAGTCCGCATCGTTTATCGACCTTGTTTTGGCAATCTCGGGGTAGAATCACGCAGACCCTTCATGACTGGAGACGGCCCACCCGATGCCGGACTCTGGGGATGCGGAGTCTGGAGAATTCCCACACAAACACTCTCCATCTCATCTCCATCTCATCTCCATCTCCACAAATCCCCCATGAGAACAGTTCGGATAACCGACAACCCGACATGGATCCCTAGCGACGAAGACGAACTCCGGAATGCCGTCCTTGCGTCGGTCTGAGACGCTGTCTCAGCTTTGTCTGTTGCGAAATAAACCGGGACCACGAACTGATCGGCGCACGGTACTTCGTCCCTACGTCGTATCGGACAGTCGGGCCTCCAGCTCGCTGGACTGGACCTGCGGGGCTGCTGCTTATCTCCACGCCTATAAATCCCTGCTTCTTGCTCCTCTTTCTCCAGCCTTTCCCACATCTCCTCCTCTTCTTTCCCTCAGCCATTTCTTCCCACGATGGCTGATGACCAGGGAAAGGCCCATGCGGGCCACTTTGAAGCCGCCGAGGCGCCCAAGTCCCTCAGCTTCAGCACCTGCATCCAGTACCTTAAGGACCGAGTCCCCACGCTAAAGCCTCCTATGCGCAAAGCTCCCAACCCATTCAAGGCCTTGGCGTTGCTCAACAGACAGCAGTGGCTTTTTTTCGCGGTCCGTTTTACCTACCTACCTATGTTTGCATTTCATTCTCTGACTTTAACAGGTCGCCTTCCTAGGCTGGACCCTCGACGCCCTCGATTTCTTCACCGTCTCCCTTACGACCTCTGAACTTGCCGAGGAGTTTGATAAAGAGATCAGCGACATCACCTGGGGAATCACCCTCGTCCTGATGCTCCGCAGCGTTGGCGCAATCACCTTCGGTATTGCCTCTGACCGATGGGGCCGCAAGTGGCCCTTTATCATCAACAATCTGCTCTTCATCGCGCTGGAAATCGGCACCGGTTTCACGCAGACGTACAAGCAGTTTCTGGCATGCCGTGCCCTCTTCGGCATTGCCATGGGCGGACTGTACGGGAATGTTGCGGCGACAGCGCTGGAAGATTGTCCCAAGGAAGCGCGCGGTATCATCTCCGGTCTGCTGCAGCAGGGCTATGCGTTTGGGTATCTTCTCGCCGCGGCCTTTGCGCGGGCCCTTGTTGGTACGACCTCGCACGGCTGGAGGCCGTTCTACTGGTTCGCGGGCTGTCTGCCCGTCCTGGCTATTGTCTTCCGCCTGTTCTTGCCTGAGACGAATGCCTATCGCCAGCGTCAGGAGCTTCGCGCCGAGATGCCGGGGAATGTCACCTCTGCTTTCATCTCCGAGGGCAAGGTCGCGCTCAAGCGGCACTGGTTGCTTCTCATCTATCTCGTCCTACTCATGGCAGGATTCAACTTCATGGTACGTCAACCCTACCCTACCCTTTCTCGTACGTAAACGCTAACAAACCAAAGTCCCACGGCTCCCAAGACCTCTACCCAACCCTCATCCAACGCCAATTCGGCTTCTCCCGCGACGCCGTAACAGTAACCCAAGTCGTCTCGAACCTAGGCGCCCTAACCGGCGGCACGCTCTGCGGCTGGGGGTCCCAAATCTTCGGGCGCCGTTTCTCCATCATCGTAATCAGCATCGTCGGCGGCGCGCTCCTGTACCCCTACACCTTCGTCTCCAACCACAAGATCATGGCCGCCGCCTTCTTCGAGCAGTTCTGCGTCCAGGGCGCGTGGGGCGTGATCCCCATCCACCTGATGGAGCTGTCGCCCGGCTCGATCCGCACCTTCACCGTCGGCACGGCGTACCAGCTCGGTAACCTTGTGTCGTCTGCGAGCTCGACGATCGAGTCGACGATCGGCGAGCGGTTCCCGTTGCCGCCGACGGAGGAGGGCGTTGAGCGGTACGAGTACGGCAAGGTGATTTGTATCTTTATGGGGTGTGTCTTTGCTTATGTTATTGTGATTACGTTCTTTGGGCCCGAGCGGTTGGGGAGGGACTTTGATGTGGAGAATGATGAGGATGTTGGGGAGGTTAGGGCTGAGAGGGGGGGTGATGTGGAGAAGGGGCGGGAGTAGTGTGTTGGTATATTATGTCTGATATACTTTTGGTGATGGGCACGATTTTGGCATGATGTGGGTTTGGGTTCTTTGGGTATGAGGCTACGCTGATGGATCTTGATGACTTATGACGGCATGAATGGATATGGATTTGACGCGATGACTTCCCTGGCAGATTGCGTATTGATCCAGGTGTTGTAGAAAAGATCTGTATTTGAGCCGGACCACGTATCGCTTGAACCAGCAGCGACTCGGTAGTCCAAAGTGCTCATGTTATATATGTCCTTGCGACTAACTCATCCTATTAGACCCTCCCTTCCCCAGACACTCCAAATCCCAAGCACGCTCCGAGCCGCGGTGACCGGATACACCTGGTGCTCAAGAAACCCCATGCCCAATGACAGAACGCATAACCGTCAGACACAGACACAGCCAGTCGTTCATGCCCTCCAGCTTCACTCATCCCCACACACCACCCCAGAAGACCAAAACCATGCTCTCCCCTTACATATCACGCCCTGCGAGCCGTTAGTCCCAGATACAAACGGCAAAACCTTGCCAGGTCGAAACCCACAATATCCGCACCGTGAAATCCCCCTTGATCTTCGCCCGGATCTGCACCTCCCGCGGCATGTCGATGCTGAACACGGTCTTCAGCAGCTCGTCTGGCTTGAGGTTGCTGCCGTCTTCGTCTTCGCCTTCGTCTTCTTCGGCGTCGGAGTCGGCGTCGCTTCGTAGACGGCTGATTCTGTAGCTTATCGCGCCTGGATTCGGGCTAGGGCTTGGATCTGGGCTGTTTTCCTTGGTGGTGGGGGTGTCTGCTTGGTCTTGTTTTTGTTCTGGTTCTTGGTCTTGTTTCTCTGGTGAATTTGGTTGGGTTGGTTCTGGCTTGTTTGAACTGGATCTGGGCCTGGAGGTCTCTGTCTCTGCATCCTGGTCCTGGTCCTCTTGTGATAGGGAGAGGCGCGCTAGGGGGTCCTGGATGACGAGGCCTGGGGTTGAGGGGCTGGTGTTTTCGTTTGTATGGGATTGATCTTGGTCTTGGTTTTGGTCTTTTGCGCTGCTGGATTCCATGTTGTATTTGTATCTGAAGTAGATACAGACCGGTGATCCGGTTGGCGACTGTACATTGGATTCGAGAGGGGTGGGTGGGATGACGTCAGTGGTGGCTTGATCTAGGTACTCCGTATAGCAGACTGTTTATGTTTACCACCTTATACCTCTATATCTACGCCGAGTACACTTATGCCAGCTGCTTTCACCATTTTATCGCGTATTAGTGGTGAAGTGTACTTTTGCTGTTGGGAAGAACCGAGATGGCTCGTTTCGTCTTTGCTGGTCATGCTGTGGTGTAGCAGGTCAGATATCCTACTCGAACATGACAGAACCCGGACATTCCAGTCCACGTTAGGGCAGAGATACCAGGGGCATACTGTCATAAGCATGGGCAGTTTTAGACTCTCGCGAATACCGGGAGATTGCAGATGACGCGGTAGGTTGGCCAGTTAGGGCTAGCTAGCCCCATTGGGATGGGTATTCTTAGTGAGGATGATAAGGGGGCGGTTTTCAGGAAAGTGTGGGGGATTTTAAGATGGAGAGAAAGAAGATGGAGTTGTGTTTGTGGGATATCGACTCTGCGCGGGGCGCATTGTCTTACCAGACTCATCATGCTGAGGTCAAGAAAGCTATCTGTTTCAGAACAGGGTCAGGAAGTGGCATTGGGTATAGTCCTCATCGCCCTCTTTATTCCCGGTTTAGCATTATCTATGAGCCACGAGCAGTTCAAGTACTTTTACAAGGATAAAAAAGCTGCCCTGATGCTGTGTACAAAACAACCTATATGCGCCAATCTTATGAAAACATGTATAGTACAATGAGAGGCATGCGCTCACATCAAGCCTCAACGGGCCCAACCCTAACCTCACCTCTCTTCCGTAGCTCCTCAATATTCTTGATCTTCTCATCATGCTTCGCGCGCTGCTTCCTCGTCGCCGCAAACCTCTTCTTTGAGCCAAACCTCAACTTGGTGATGATATCCGTCGCCTGGCCGCGTGTAAGATCGCCATTCTGAATCTCCCCCTGGCGAATCTTCGCCGCATTCAGGAACTTCACCTGAGAGGGAGATGCAGGGTAGCTTCGCCACTGCTGCCGGGTGGAAATGTAGTGGTTTGCAAAGTGGGACGCCGCGAATGTATCGGCTGCGCGGACGGCGGATTCAAAGTCCTCTGCCTTGGCAATGAGCCGAGGACGTGTGTATTGCTTTGTGTCCTCGGTGGGTTTGAATGTCATTACGTGGTAGACTAGGTACTGGGTTGATGGCTCGTCGGGCTCCGTTGAGTCTTGTTGTTCGAGGGTTAGCCAGCCGGAGCCGCCTGAGAGGATATATTTCTTTTCGCCAATACGAACCCAGGCATAGTGGCTGATGGAGCGGATGTGTCTTTCTGATTTCATGTCGTGAATGAGGTCGTAGATGGTGTCGTACTTGGTGAAAGTAAGTTTCACGTCATTGGGCATGTGCGCTTCGCTTTCAGCAAGAGATGTATTATTTGATCCGCTGCCCTCTTCTTCTGCAGTTCTTTTCTCTTTCATGTCCTTTGCCGTTGCTTTTTCTAGTACCTCATCGGGATGTAATCCGAAGAGGGTAGGGGTAGAGATGACGCCTGTATCGAGGGTAGCTACCATATCAATTATATGACAGTCTTTCTTGCCGGGGTATAAGCGCAAGCCTCGTCCAATCATCTGAATTAGTAGGTTGCGAGATCGAGTGGGCCGGGCAAGTAAGACACAGTCGACGTTGGGCATATCGGTACCCTCCGTGAACAGGCCGCAGTTGACCAGAACAGGAAATTCCCTGGCTCGGAACTTATCGAGCTGTTCATCTCTCGTATTCTTTGATGTGGTGCCTGTGATGTACCGAGCGTCGATGCCATACTGTCGGAAAGTCTCGGTCAGCCCCTTTGTGTGTTCAATGTCAACGCAGAAAACCAGAGTAGATTTCCTCTCCGCTGCATTAGCCATCCACGCGCGGATAGTGATTTCATTTGTTTGGATGGTATTGACAGCTTTAGACAGTGACCCCACAGCGAAGTCTCCAAATTTGTCTTTCCTAACGCCTGTCAAGTTCGCCTGAGATCGTACAGTGGTGAACACAGCATTGGCAAGCCATTGGTCGTTGATCATGTCCGTATAGTCCTTATGATACACGATATGGTCAATGGCAGCACCCAGCTTCAGCCCATCAAAGCGCGAGAATGTGGCAGACACGCCAACCAGAATTGGAGAGTCCGGCGATTTTTCGTTGAGGCCGAAGTACCCCAATGCGGTGCGGTATGTTGGGGCAACGATGTGGTGCGCCTCATCCACCAAAACTAACTTGAAGCGCTTGGGATCAAACTTTGCAAGCCGATCCCCGGATGTAAGGCTCCTTACAGAGGCAATGATAATATCACCGGAGCCCGAGGCGACGCGGTTGCCCATCTCAATCTCCACGGTTTTCTCCGGGTATGCGAGGAGACAATGCCGGTATGCTTGCTCAGCCAGCTCTCTCCGATGAACAATAATCAGCGACTTATCTCCGACCGCATTCCTCGGCTGTATCTTGCCTATAAGCTGAGTAAATATGACCTAAGGAGCCACGGAGAGTCAGTATATGTGATGTCCAACTGCAATGATTCTCGACTGACCGTTTTCCCGGCGCCTGTAGCTAGGGATATACCCAGCCGTTTGTGTCCTTGATCGACATGATCCAAGACCGATTGAATGCATTCTTCCTGGTAGTCTCGAAGCTTGATCGCTGGTCTTTCCGGGGGAGTAGCTGTGGCTAGCGCGGAGTTCCATCGCTGAGGTCGCTGCAGGATCGTGTTTGGCCGCGTCCAAAAGGGCCTAGCAGGCCTCAAGAGATACCGGAGCGGCAATCTGAGCTTCACTCTTCGGTAGATCAATTCCATATAGAATCCATAGGAGTGCAAGATGTTGGGATTTGATCCTCGCCTGAGACGTCACGCGGCGATAAGAAGAACAAACACTGCAAACATGCTCTTATCAGCGATAACCAACTTTTTCCCTTGCGACACTTTTCTCGTTGCGCGCTCTCAAGAGCAGTCTTCCTTACGTTTTGGATTTCCTCTATCTTGGTAGGCCATGAAGGACCCAGCCTGCCGAAGCTCATGTCTACGCCACCAAAACGCACCCGACCCCCGATAGCTCGACCATGAGCAGCTCCGACGTATACTCGGAGGACGATGACGAACTATCGGATACTCCTTCTATAACACCAAGAGCAGCGAGAGGCACGCGCGCTGTGGCGCTAAAGAATCTACGCGCATCGCTGCCTGAAGAGTCGGTCGAATCGTACACCAAGCTCTTCGACGAGACATTCCAAGACAAGCCGATAGCCAAGGAAGACAACTTCAACACTACCCAAGATGGAATTGTTATCTGGACTCCACAGGAGAAACGGATATTCTTCGAGGCCTTGGATAGAAATGGTCAGAGTGGCATCCGGGAGATTGCCGCGGCAGTCCAGACAAAATCAGAGCTTGAGGTCCAGGAGTTTATAAGGCTCCTACAGAAAGGTGTGCGACGGCAGCATCTCAACGATTCCCATGCCAGGATAGCGATTCTTGGGGACATTCCAGCCGCGGCGGAGATAAGCGGGGGATGTTGCGAAACGCTAGACAGCCATGCCGAGTTACTCCGCTTGGAAGAGCAGAGGCGGGAAGACAACGCTGGGAAGACCAAATATGGTAGTCTATGGATCATCAATGAAGAGGCAGCGGATGCACTGGAAAGAAATATCCCAGACGACGAGAAATTTTCGTCAGATAGTGACCAAGATATCACAGTCCAGGCGAACGAGCGTCGTGATGGGAAGGCACTGGCTAGACGCGATGTCAATGATGCGGCTACACTCTTCAAGATGACCAATTGGGTCCTGCTCTCAGAACGCCTATTCATGAACTCTGGGGGCGCCAGACTGGAAGATAACTGGGTCAATGTAGCCTTCAAAGGCGAGACTCCATCCATGACAGCTGACGTCTTAACCAATTTCTACGAAATTGCGCTGAGTGTCACTCGCCGCCTAGTCCATGCAACACACTTCTTCGCCTCGTCACGAGTACGAAGAAACGGGAAGGCAAGCCGCCCATCAGCAACGGTTGTAAGGGCATCCGACGTCAGAAGGGCGACACGCACGCTGAACATGAGGAGTGATGCCTCTGAGTACTGGATCGGAGTCGCGCGACGATGCAGCCTCGAAGTGGAGGACAGACGTCATCGGAAGGGCTGGAACCCAATTCCTCTAGAGCATGACGAGGTCGAAGCTCTACTGTCTCAAAAGTCACTCCCCGCCGAACCCTATGAAACGGCAACGCCAAGACCAACATCGCGCGAACGCTCCAACAGTATCGTCAGCGATATGTCTCTGGACTCGCTCGTTGCAGAGTCAAATGGTTCCGAAGACGAACATGCTGAAGCAGTTGACCAACAGTATAGCGCTGCCGAAGAACTGCTATGCTGGTCAAGGTTAGGACAACCACCTCCAAGCCCACTCTCAAACGCCGAAGTCAAAATCCCTCCCAAGCCATCTGGAAAACGCAAAACAGTTGAAGAGCTTGTCGACTGGCGAGATTGGACACTCCACCGCAGCGAGTGGGAAGAATACGGCTACGAGGTTGACAATTTAGACAGCGAGTTCTCAGAAAGCGCGCACAAAAAGCGCCGATTAACGATGGCCTCGTTCCAACCTCTTTCCGAGTCGAGCGTCCGCGCCGCTACTGAGATCTCGGAGTCAGGTTTGAATACCCAAGATGAGCATGTAAATGCAAAGGCGAAAGCGAAAGCGAAAGCAAAAGCAAAAGCGGCGCCAGGGGCGGGATTCGTTGAATATCAAACTGACGACTCGGATCCTGAGTTCCAGCCTGCATTTCCGGGCCGTCCACCGATGTCGAAATCCAAGTCCAAGTCGAAGTCTGTGACGACGCCGAAGTCAAGGACGAGTTCGCGCAAGCGCACGCCTGTTTCATATGCCCTCCCTCCAGCCCTTGACTTTGATCTGGAGATGGACGTTGACTCAGAGTCAGATGCGGAGTTAGGGCTTGGAGAATTGGCCGACGGAAACAATGACGAAGGACAAGAGAACGATGATATCTCCAAATCTGGGGATTCTGAATCCAACAGCCAAGAAGACGAAAACCCAGAAGAAGGTCTGGTCTCTGGCTCCGATGATCATGATCACCCATCCGGCCCACGAGAAGAAAGCCCCGTGTGGAATGAGGAAGCTGACGACGAAAATGACGAAAATGACACAAAAGAGGGCTATGTATTATCATCACCGCATGATACTCATCTATATTAAGCGGACCTTGCTGTCCACTTTGTGTTCGGTATATATGTACGTTATTGGAGACTTTAGTCCTGGAAATGTCTGCATTGGCGTTGACCACTCGATATCTGGAACCTCACCAGGGAAGAGGAGAGAAAGCAAGTGGAAACCGGAATCCATGGGACTTTATTGTATAGCAAAGCATCGCATAGCATATGTAGCATAAGAGAAACAAACACATAAACTCCAAAAATGAGGGAAAGAAAAAGCGCCTTAAGTTTTCCTGGTACTCGTATGAATAGAACGGCATTGCATCGCATCGCATCGCATCACCCAGATAGACCCAGATGGAACCCCGCCTTGACCCTGGAGGACAAAAAGAAGATTTTCAAGTTCGACAGTCCTCGCCCTCTCTGCTCTTTAACTCTTTCTTTCCGTCCCTGTACCCCTCGCCCTTAGCCAAACTGTTGTACAAAAAGCGAATAGCGAATAAATTATAGGATCGATTAAGAATCCAGAAAGGTACTTCATTGCTTACTCCGACCATAAAATAACTCCATGCACTAACTCACAGATCCAAGGTCTTGAAGTCTGTGCCCGCCGTCGCGCTCAATGGCTGCGGAGCCCCTGCAGCATGAGGGCCAGGTTGAAAGTTATACCTGTTGTTGATGCCAGCAGTAGCGGCATCAGCGAGAAGATCATTACTGGGGGCACCGGGTCCCCTGAGGCTGATGTTCTGAAGCGTATCTTGGACCTCCTTCACGCGCTTTTTGAAGGCGAGACGGTCAAGGAAGAGTTGTTGACGGGCGAGTTCGAGCTCGCGACGCTCGGCTTCAATAATCTCTTCCATCTCGTTGAATTGTTGCAGCTTGATTTCGAACTTCTGCAGGCTAACGTTGACGGCCGCAGAGACGAGGCGGGTCATTTCGCGTTCCTCGTGAGATGCGAGGGCGCCGGCGCGCGCGGCTGCAGCGCCGAGGGCAACAGTGGCCAGGGATGCCTTGGGCTGCTTCTCGGACGATTCTGTCGACGTAGATGGCTCCTCACGAGCGGTGTCAACGTCCATGGAATCTTCGCTCTTGACTGCGGCAGCGGAGCCCTCCTTCTCCTTGCCCTTGTCTTGGGACTTGTCTGCGGTGGGTGCCTTGTCAAGTTGTCTTTTGAGCTCCTTTCGGATCTCATCCACGGATCGGCCGGCAGCGGCAGCGGCTACTGAGGGCTCTGCCATTTGCGCCAGGAATGCTACCACGGACAAGACCGGGTTTTCCACGTGGCTGACAGGCTCACGGCCAGGGCCTGCTCGCAGCTCCTGGCCATCATCAAGGTATTGGTCTTCAATTTCCAGCTGGAGGAATTTCATTACACACTCTTCCCTCGTCCTTGTACCGACGTGGTTGGCAATCTGTTCCCAGTTTTCGTCGAAGTTCTCCAAACCCTCGAGAAGGAGCAAGAGTTCGGAATCTGACCAAGGAGCTTCCCGGTCAGAGACTCTCGAATATGACGAGTCCTCAAGTTTAACAAAGTCGGAAGCGTTATGGCTCGATGGCATCCGGCCTTGTAAGAAGCAGTTGGGGCAGAGATCGTACTTCGAGTCCGGAGCAGCAGCGCCGGTGGCCGGTGTGGATTTGGCGTAATGGAAGCGGAGGCGTGTGCAGTCGATACCACATGAAAAGCACTGGAACTTCTTCTTGGGTTCTTGTGACGCAGACTCGAGAGCCTTAGTAGCGTCACCGGTGCCATTGGCAGCTGGTTCGCCGTTGGCCTGTTTGTCTTTATCCTCGACAGCGGGCGTTACCTCCTTACCCTTGTCATCATAAATATTGCGACGGATCTCGAGATTCAAGTCAGCCTTGGTGGCGGGAGTAGCAGAAGCCGCGCGCTCAGTGGCGGGTAGAGGCTTGCCGGGTTTGACGAAATGGTTCGGGCCAGGTTGGAAGGGCTGCAGTCCTCGAGGTGTATCGGCAACTACTCGGAAATGGCCTGTGAAAGGTGGACCGATGTTCGAAGGTCGAGTTTGAGGATCCACCTAAATACATCAGCGGTTGCGTCGGTTGCCGCTGAACATAACTCACTTGGTAGTTAATCAGACCCCACTGCTCCAGAAAAGAATGGACTCGCATAATAGCACACACGTCTCCCGCAAGGTTACGGCGGCATGCTGTGACAGTAAGGTACTCAATAGGGTTTAGTCGGTAGGTGTTGATCATGAAGTCTCTGTAATCCTTGTAGACAGCGGGCGTCTTGCTGCGATTCCTGCCGTTGAAAAACTCGGCCAGGGCCTTTTTCTCGATCGGATGAATTGTGTGCATATCGAACCATGTCGAATAGCTGGGGAGGATTATGGCGTGTGTTTGGGAGACGAGGTGAGATCGGGCTGACGCTTCGAGGGATGATTTGGCCTGCACAGTCTGCTCTTCAGAGCCGCCCTCTGCGCCTGATTGTGCGGCAACGTCTGCGAGCTCCTCGCTGCCTTCGCTTTCCTTCTTCGTCTCGTTCTCTGTACCGCCCATCTCCTCGTCTTCCTCTCCGGTGGTCCTAGGCTTGGGCGATGCGGGGCCATCTAGCGGATTATCAGTCCCCAGTATGTTCTCTATGCGCGTCACAAAATCTGCTTTGTGCAGTCGCGATATTGACAAGATCACAGCTGCCAGAGGGGAACATGCGCTAACGGTATGCTCTCCCTCAGGGGATGGAAGTGAAGCTACTCACCAGAAGCATTGACCACATCGCCCGGAGCATCCTGACCAGAGGTCATGTGAGTATCATCGCCAACGCGGCCTAGATTGACCGTGTTCTCGTCCATAATTGTAGTTGATGGTTGTCGAAATGGATTCACGTCGCGAGCACGAGGCAAGGGTTCTCGTTGTCCTCAAAAATCGACGGACTATATGGATTGTGGGCGCATGCAGCGCTGGCGTGGATATTCTGAATGCGACGCGAGACCAAGGGATGGATATTGGAATAAGCGGGATTAATTCGAAGGCTTGTTGTAGTAGTCGATCTACTGGGATCTGATGGCTGGAGACTTTGACGCTTTGTCGCGACTTCGCGCCAAGACCGATACCGCGCTAGCCCAATCGGGAGATTATGTAATGCAGAATTATGCCCGGCACGGCAGCACCATCCATAGACAGTGGTCAAGGGATACATTATATTAGCACAGTCGGTGTCAACTCAGGCGGGCAGTCTCTACTGGTACGGTAGAACGTGCAGCAGAGACTTACAGCATATAAGTACGCTGGCGATAGTACTTTACGTCACATTGCAGGCTTGTACGGCGGTTACCAAGTCCGAATAACTGCAAATCGGTAGTAAAGACACGATTACGGTCAAACACAAAAAATGCTAAGATTTATGAACGGTACCTACAGACCAAGACGGTCAAAAAGTATGAAGATTTTAATACATAATGAGACAAAACCCAGGTTGCGGCCTGGGCCGATGCGCTAGCAGAAATAGTTACGAAACTCCAAACTCAGCAACTCAGAGAAGGAGTTCCAGAGGGTTCTCGACAACCTTCTTGAGCTCCTTGATCCACTCAGCACCGACAGCACCATCGACAACACGGTGGTCGAAGCTGGCGGTGACGATGATCTGGTCATCGAACTCAACTGAGGAGCCCTCCTCGGTCTCAGCGGGAACGGCAACCTTGCGGGTAGTGCCAACGGCGAGGATACCGGCCTGAGGGGGGTTGATGATAGCAGTGAATCGCTCAACAGCGGGGTTCATGCCCATGTTGCTGATGGTGAAAGTACCACCCTGGAACTCCTCAGGCTTGAGCTTGTTGTCGCGAGCGCGCTTGCCAAGGTCCTTGACCTGGTTAGAGATGCTGGCCAGACCAAGACCCTGGGCGTTCTTGACGATAGGAGTGATCAGACCAACGGGAGTGGCAACAGCAACGCTGATGTCAACGTTGTTGTGCTGGCGGATGACAACCTGGCCGTTCTCCTCAGTCCAGCTGGAGTTGACCTGAGGAACCTTGCGAAGAGCGGCAGCGCAAGCCTTGACGAGGAAGTCGTTGACGGAGAGTTTGTACTTGCCCTCAGAAGAGGCGTTAAGGGCCTGGCGGAGCTTCAGAAGCTTGGTGACGGACAGAGTGGTGGAAACAAAGAAGTGAGGGTTCTGGTTCCAAGACTGCTGGAGACGGCTGGCAATCGTCTTGCGCATCGACGTGAGAGGAATGTCCTCAGAGGCAGGACCAGCGGCCGCAGCGGAAGCGCTGGGCTTGTACTTCTCGACATCCTCCTTGGTGATCTGGCCACCACGGCCAGTACCCTTCAGGGCCTTGACGGGAACACCCTTCTCAAGGGCCAGAGCCTTAGCAGCGGGGCTGATGGCAGGCTCGCGGTCCAGACTGGGCTGGAGCTTCTCGCCGGAAGTATCGGGCTCATAAGCCTCAGCTGAGGGCTGGGGTGCGGATGGCTCTGAAGGCTTGGGAGCTTCCTTAGGCGCCTCCTCCTTGGCGGGAGCAGCACCTGCACCCTCGCCAGCATCTTCCAGGCTGAATGATTCGAAAGCCGCGACGTCAGTACCCTCCTCAACGAGGACGGCGATAGGCTGAAACCTCATAATTAGCAAACGCAACTCGGCGCATTCAAAGGTAATGAAAGCCTACAGAGCCAACGGAGACATCCTTCTCGCCAGACTCCTTCAGGACCTTAGCCAGAACACCCTCCTCCTGGAACTCAAAGTCCATCTGTGCCTTATCGGTCTCGATCTCGACCAGAACGTCACCAGGTTGCAGGCCATCACCAGCCTTCTTCTGCCACGCTCCAATGTTTCCTGCCGTCATTGTTGGCGACAGAGCAGGCATGCTGATGATAGTGTGGGGAGGGAAAGCTATAGTTTTTGCGCTTGTCAGACATATTCAGGTATGAAGGAGATATGAGATAAGCGTACACTTGGAGGCGTAGTAGCGGGAAAGGGCAGAGAGGGCGGGCAATTGATGTCTATAGACAGAGATATCGAGTTAGTTCATTCCGACGTATTCCAGGATGCTTTGCGCGAAATGACGGCGAGACGTACTGGATGGCGGCCGTGAACTTGTAAGAGGCCTGCGGTCGCCTCAAGGAGCAGGCGCCTTTTGAGAGGAATGAAGCGCTGGGGACGCGCATTCTGACAGCAGAGGCGACCATGATGCCGGGGTTCTGTTTTGTGATACAGATAGAGGCCCGCGGCGCTATAGAAAACAGTGAGTGTAAGATGGAAGGAGGAGATTGAATCTGGCTGCAAGCTCGGAGCTGTTCTCAACAATTCTCTCGCTCGGTGAAGGCCGGGGGCGCTAAGCCCTGATAGGTATAGCTGTGTACGCACGTGATGCTGACCACCCAGCGCTATGTATCCAACGGGCCACGCATACTCCGGACTATCACAAGCTCCTGGGCCCCGAATTCCATACACGCGCCTCAAAATTTGTTCTGACTTTCTCCTTCACATGTGGGACTTCCGTCTCTCTGGTCCCGGATACTCCAGACGGAGTCTTGCATAATGGCGGAAGCTGAGAACGGCTCTACTAATGAGCTGAACCAAACATCAGTCGCCCAGGCAGACAAGCAGAATGATGTTGATGTTGTTGCAGAACCGCACACCCCGGAGGAAAGCGCGGAGTCAAAACCCACATTACCAGACTCATCAGATCGACGGGAAATTCAATTAAGCGAAGCAAATGATGACAGCCCATCACAAGAGCGATCGGAGGACAGCGAGAATAGCCTGCCCGAGGAGCCCTCCGCAACATCTCCGAAGACCACGACTGAACCCCACGAACCCACCGAGGATCCGGAACAACCACATACGAGAGATGGTCAGGTCGAAAGTCCGCACGAAGATCAATCTCCTGTTTCCGAGGAGCAGTCCAGTGAAGTTCCCGATACGCAGTCAATTCGCGATGAGCAGCTTGCCCGGGACATGCGACAGCGCTCGGACTCACGGTCGACTACCGCGACTTTTGCTACCAATCGATCATCAGTAGTCAGCTCTACTGTCTTTATAGTAACAGCCTTGGATACAATTGGTGCTTCACGGGAAGCTCGGAAGAGCAAAGAGCTGGAGGACGCTGTGAAGAATGCGCTCGCCAACGTCAAACAGTCGGACCGTCAGCCTATTGACCCAGAAGTCTTGTTTCATCCTTTACTACTTGCGAGTAGGACCCTTAGTATTCCGCTGCAAGTAACGGCGCTCGATTGCATCGGCAAGCTGATCACCTACTCCTACTTTGCGTTCCCATCGTCCCAAGAAACCAAGCCGTCGGAATCAGAGACCACGAACGAGCAGCCTCCTCTCATAGAAAGAGCCATTGACGCGATCTGCGATTGCTTCGAGAATGAAGCCACCCCGATTGAGATTCAACAGCAAATCATAAAGTCACTTCTGGCGGCGGTGCTAAACGACAAAATTGTGGTGCATGGAGCGGGTCTTCTGAAAGCTGTCCGACAAATATATAATATGTTTATATACTCCAAATCTAGCCAGAACCAGCAAATCGCCCAAGGTTCTCTCACGCAGATGGTCAGCACAGTCTTTGACAGGCTCCGCGTCAGACTTGACCTACGAGAACTACGCATTCGCGAAGGAGAGAAGGCGCAGGCGGGATCTTCGGATAGTGTGACTATTGAGCCTGCCGATAGCCCGCAGATTCCTGAGGATGATCAGGTATCAGATGTTGCTTCTGTACCGCAAGATCAACCGGTGTCTAAAGAGCCAACCGAGAAGCTCACTTTGGAGAGTTTCGAATCGAACAAGGATGTTACAACGGTCAATGATAACGTACCGACAATGGTCACCCGGGCCAACCTCAACCTAAAAAGAGCACAGTCATCCTCTGGAACTGCTGATGAGAAAGAGGGTGAAGATGCTTCCAGTGACGAAGACGATGTAGATGAAATCTACGTCAAAGATGCTTTCCTGGTATTCCGAGCTCTCTGCAAACTGAGTCACAAAGTCCTCAGCCATGAGCAGCAACAGGACCTCAAATCCCAGAACATGAGATCCAAATTGCTATCTCTGCACCTAATCCACTACCTCATCAACAACCACGTTATTGTGTTCACCACGCCCCTTCTCACAATTAAGAACAGTTCCGGTAACTCGGAGCCTATGACTTTTCTTCAAGCTATTAGGCCTCATCTGTGTTTGAGTCTCAGTCGAAATGGCGCCAGCTCAGTACCCAAAGTATTTGAGGTCTGCTGCGAAATTTTCTGGCTCATGCTAAAGCATATGAGAGTTATGATGAAGGTCTGTGTTTCTCATGCCTTTGTTTTCATATGTCTAATTATTAGCAGAAAGAGTTAGAGGTTTTCATGAAGGAGATCTACCTAGCCACACTCGAAAAGCGAAACGCACCGGCCTTCCAGAAGCAGTATTTCATGGAGGTATTAGAGAGACTGGCAGATGAGCCGCGGGCCTTGGTTGAGATGTATCTCAACTACGACTGTGACCGCACAGCATTGGAGAATATATTCCAAAAGTTTGCTCCCAATGCAAATCCTTGATAGACTATATACTGACAGGATATGCAGCATCATCGAACAACTATCACGATATGCGAGCATCCCGGCAGCTGTAACCCCTGTTCAACAACAACAATATCATGAACAGCATGTGAAGGCCTCCAGTGTGGGGAACGAATGGCACCAGCGTGGAACCCTTCCCCCAAATCTTACCAGCGCCAGTATTGGAAACGGCCAGCAGCCACCTACACATAGTGCGCCCCCGGAGTACATTTTGAAACACCAAGCTGTCGAATGCCTTGTTCAGATTCTGGAGTCATTGGACAACTGGGCTTCGCAGCGCAGTGTTGACCCGTCAGCTGCCCGAACTTTCTCTCAAAAATCAGTCGAAAACCCACGAGAGTCTATGGATAGCGGCGCCCCTGCATTCCTAGCGTCGCCGAGGGTTGATGGCGCCGACGGAAGCACCGGTCGGTCTACACCAGTTCCGGATGACGACCCGAGTCAGGTAGAGAAGGTAAAGCAAAGAAAGATTGCGCTCACAAATGCAATCCAACAATTTAACTTCAAGCCTAAGCGTGGTATCAAGCTCTCTCTCCAGGAAGGCTTCATACGATCCGATTCTCCCGAGGACATTGCATCTTTCATATTTCGCAACGAGCGGCTGGACAAGGCTATGATTGGAGAGTATCTCGGTGAGGGTGAGCCCGAGAACATTGCTATCATGCATGCTTTTGTTGATCTGATGGACTTTTCCAAACGACGCTTCGTCGATGCTCTCCGCTCATTCTTGCAACATTTCCGCTTGCCAGGCGAAGCCCAGAAGATCGACCGTTTCATGCTGAAGTTCTCTGAGCGATACGTTACGCAAAATCCGAATGCTTTTGCCAATGCTGATACAGCATATGTGCTAGCGTATTCTGTCATCTTGCTAAACACTGATCAGCATAGCTCCAAGATGAAGGGTCGTCGCATGACCAAGGAAGACTTCATCAAGAATAACCGTGGTATCAATGACAATCAGGACTTGCCTGATGAGTATCTTGTTTCGATATTCGATGAAATCGCTAATAACGAGATCGTTCTGGACACGGAAAGAGAGCAGGCGGCAAACCAAGCCCCTCCTGCGCCCATTCCAAGCGGCCTCGCATCTAGGGCTGGACAGGTCTTTGCAACGGTCGGGAGAGACCTACAGGGCGAGAGGTATACACAGGCATCTGAGGAAATGGCCAACAAAACTGAACAACTGTATCGAAGCCTAATTCGAGCTCAGCGGAAAACCGCTGTCAAAGAGGCACTTTCTCGCTTCATCTTTGCAACCTCCGTCCAGCATGCTGGCTCCATGTTCAACGTTACCTGGATGTCATTCCTCTCCGGGTTGTCTGCTCCCATGCAGGATACGCAGAACCTTAAGACCATCAAGCTTTGTATGGAAGGTATGAAGCTAGCAATACGCATCAGCTGCTCGTTTGATCTAGAAACCCCACGGGTTGCTTTTGTCACTGCCTTGGCGAAATTCACAAACCTGGGCAATGTCAGAGAGATGGTCGCAAAGAATGTTGAAGCACTCAAAATATTACTCGATGTGGCGCTTTCGGAAGGGAACCACCTGAAGAGCTCTTGGAGGGAGATTCTCACATGTGTCAGCCAATTGGACAGGCTTCAGCTACTTAGTGACGGAGTCGATGAAGGTTCTTTGCCAGATGTGTCGCGGGCTCGTGTTGTGCCACCGTCAGCGTCCGACGGTTCCAGAAGGTCAATGCAAGCACCGAGGCGCCCTCGCCCTAAATCTATCACCAACCCTACACCATTCCGAGCGGAAATCGCAATGGAAAGCCGCTCAACCGAGATGGTCAAGGGTGTGGACCGGATCTTTACCAATACCGCTAATTTGTCCCACGAAGCGATAATAGATTTTGTTAGAGCGCTTAGTGAAGTGAGTTGGCAAGAGATCCAGTCTTCTGGGCAGACAGACTCTCCTCGCACCTATAGTCTGCAGAAGCTGGTCGAAATCAGTTACTACAATATGACGCGGGTCAGGATCGAATGGTCGAAAATCTGGGAAGTCCTTGGGCAACACTTTAACCAAGTTGGATGTCACTCCAATACAACTGTGGTTTTCTTTGCCCTAGATTCGCTCCGCCAGCTCTCGATGCGCTTTATGGAAATCGAAGAACTACCTGGATTTAAATTCCAGAAGGATTTCCTTAAGCCATTCGAGCATGTCATGGCTAACAGTAATGCTGTTACCGTCAAGGATATGATTCTTCGGTGCCTCATCCAGATGATTCAGGCGCGTGGAGACAATATTCGCTCTGGATGGAAAACGATGTTTGGCGTGTTCTCGTTCGCAGCTCGAGAGCCTTACGGTAGGTTTTAACTATATCTGCACTTGGTAGAGCTATGTTGGCTAACCCTGAACAGAGGGCATCGTGAATATGGCATTTGAGCACGTCACACAAATCTACAACACCCGCTTTGGCGTCGTTATCACACAAGGAGCATTCCCTGACCTTATTGTATGTCTCACGGAATTCTCTAAGAACATGAGGTTCCAGAAAAAGTCACTGCAGGCAATCGAGCTTCTAAAGTCGACGGTGGCAAAAATGCTGAGGACTCCGGAATGCCCTCTATCTCACCGTGGCTCGTCGGAGGCTTTCCACGAGGACTCCACGAACCTCACCCAGCAACTCACAAAACAGTCCAAAGAAGAGCAGTTCTGGTATCCGATCTTGATTGCGTTTCAAGATATTCTCATGACTGGCGATGACCTTGAGGCTCGGTCACGGTAAGCCAGCTCCATTACCCTCTAACAACCTTTTTTCTCTAATCCGGATCAACAGGGCCTTGACTTACCTTTTCGATACCTTAATACGATACGGGGGTAGTTTCCCCCAAGAGTTCTGGGATGTTCTCTGGAGGCAACTCCTGTACCCCATCTTCGTTGTTTTGCAATCCAAATCGGAGATGTCCAAGGTACCTAATCATGAAGAGCTCTCGGTGTGGCTCTCAACTACAATGATCCAGGCATTGCGACACATGATCACGTTGTTTACACATTATTTCGATGCGCTTGAATATATGCTTGGGCGCGTTCTCGAACTCCTCACACTATGCATATGTCAGGAAAACGACACCATTGCGCGAATCGGTAGCAACTGCTTGCAACAGCTGATTCTGCAAAATGTTGAGAAGTTCGAGAAAGAGCACTGGAGCAAGACTGTTGGTGCATTCATTGAGCTTTTCAACAAGACAACTGCATATGAATTATTCACGGCTGCAACAACTGTGGCGACCGCGACGCCGAAGACACACTTGCCTCAGGCTGCAAATGGGCAGGCTGCGGACATCCATGATGCAGCCCAGGAACCCGCCGAGTCGTCGTCGACTCAAGAGACTCCCATTGAATCCTCCAAGCCCAATGGGACACAAGACACAACACCCGAGCACGAAGATGGAGATATGCCGGCGGCTTCGAATACTGAGTTGGAGGACTACAGGCCGCAATCAGATACCCAGCAGCAACCAGCCGCAGTTACCGCTGCACGCCGCCGCTATTTCAACCGCATTATCACGAACTGTGTGCTTCAGCTACTCATGATTGAAACGGTCCATGAGCTCTTCTCCAATGACAAGGTCTACGCACAAATACCTAGCCACGAACTTCTACGGCTTATGGGTCTTCTCAAGAAGAGCTACCAATTTGCCAAGAAGTTCAACGAGGATAAGGACTTGCGAATGCAACTCTGGCGACAAGGATTCATGAAATCGCCGCCTAATCTCCTCAAGCAGGAGAGCGGCAGTGCTGCTACCTACGTTCACATTCTGTTCAGGATGTACCATGATGAGCGGGAAGAGAGGAAGAGCAGCCGCACGGAAACAGAAGCAGCATTAATCCCGTAAGTACCCGAGCAGTTTTCGTGTGACCAAGGAGGCACAGTTGACTAACTTTACTCCAGTCTTTGCGCGGATATCATTAGTGGTTTCGTTCGCCTCGATGAAGAATCGCAACACCGTAACATTGTAGCATGGCGTCCTGTTGTTGTGGACGTCATTGAAGGCTACACCAACTTCCCCGCTGAGGGCTTCGGCAAGCACATTGTGACATTCTATCCCCTTGCTGTCGACCTGCTCGGCCGCGATCTGAATCCCGAGATTCGTCTTGCGATTCAGTCCCTGTTCCAGCGTATTGGAGAGGCAAGTCTAGGTCTCCCTGCTCGGCCAACGCGCGTACCTGTGAGCCCACGGCATTCCGTATCAGAGCATCCATCTCGCAAGCATAGCGTCGGCCGGCGCTGAGTGTTTTCCTCTTTCCCGTTTTCGGTTTAGACGGGTCGTGTTTCATTGTTGCTTTATATCATTTCCCTTTTGGATATCCTGGTTTCCTCTCTGTGAGAGTTTTCTGCCCATTTCTCAAGAGTATTGAGTGTAAAATTAGCCATACCGGAATGTTGTCTTTTTATTTTTCTTGTTGACCCCCTGGGATTTCCAGAAGCTGGCTTTTATACATAGCTTTACATACACAATTCTTAAAACTATCAAGTCTTCCATTACATCATGCTGACTCTCAATCAGTGGAGGCAGGGAGGCTTGAGCGCACGTCACCAAGAGAAGGGATCCCGCCAGCCTGGTAATGTGTCAGTAGGGTCTCCATATCCTCCTCTGTCATTTGGACCAAGTCCTCCAGCCTCCACGATTCACAAATGGCAGACATCCTAGATATTCGTTAGTTTGAACCACAGGCAGCGTAATTAGAACCGAGACGCACCATTTCATCCGCTTAGGCCCTTCCTGTGGACTAGGTGCCACCCCCCGCAACTTCTGCCGCAGCTTTCCAACATTCTCAATAGCAGCCCCCATATTGGCAGGCAGGGTATCGGCAATCTTCTTCCGTACCATACTCGCAAGCTTCGGTCCGTTCCCATTCGTACTGACCATGACCTGCAGCGGGCCATCCCGGTGTACGCTGCCAAAGTAAAAGTCACACTCGGAAGGTACATCGGCTATGTTGGCTGGTATGCGCTTCTCCTTGCAGAGTTTCCACACACGGGTCGAAGCTTCTGGATCATCAATGGCACAGAGCACCATATCAGCGCCTTCCAAGTCGGAGGGCTCGAAGTTCCGGTCAATGTGCGTAACTTGGTCTACAAGTACTCGGTGGGCCACTTCTTCGTTGAGTCCTGAGGCCGGACAAACAACAGTGACCTTCGCATCTGCATTGAGCGCGTGAAGGATACGCCCGGCAGCTACCTGCGGTTATGGTGAGACAGCTGCTGCAAATATATAGTGCGGCAGAGAAGGAGAATACTGACTTCACCGCCACCAACTACTAAGATATTCTTCTGCTTTACTTGCCAGGCAATGATCAAGGAGCCTCCTCCTTGAACCTCTGGGAATTTTGACGCCATCTCGATAGAATGTGTCTATTGACTTTGTGACGGTCGATGTGGTGGGGGAGATGGCCTGTGAGGGCAGCGCTACGGGCAACCGCAGCGACCCGAAGCGTCAGGCCTTCAGCGAGAAAATCGCAGTGGGGCGCACTTAGCTTTCTTCTCTTCCCTTTCGCCCATTTTTTCCCTTTTCCCTCTTCAACCTCCGCTTGAAATGTCACTCATCTCTTGACCTGCTCAAAACTCTTCAGCTTGATGTCTACGATCGTTTGATTTGCTCGATTCAGAAATGAGGGGTGTCCAGATTTTCTCCGGCAATTCGCATCCGCTTCTCACTGAGACTGTCTGCGAAAGGCTCGGTACTTCGCCGGCCAAGGTAGACCTTGGAAAATTCAGCAATGGCGAGACCAACGTGAATGTTGGTGTCTCGGTGCGAAACCAAGATGTCTACATCATCCAGAGTGGCAGCGAGAAGATCAATGACAGCGTCATGGAGCTGCTAATCATGATCTCAGCCTGCAAGGGCGGCTCTGCAAAGTCTATCACAGGTATGACACTCATATTTCATTCACAATACGTGGAATTTGTTCTGGATGCTGATATTTTCCTTTAGCGGTTATGCCGTATGGATCCTAGTTGGGCTGATTGCTACACATGATGCTGACGCAGACGAGGTACTTCCCATATTCCCGCCAATCCAAGAAGAAAAGCCATCGTGGATCTATCACCGCACGTATGCTTGCAAATCTCCTCACAGTTGCTGGAGTTGACCATGTGATCACCTTGGATCTCCATGTGAGTGTTGGCACGATGGATTTGTTGCACCGGGTTCTCTGCCACATTGGAGCTGAATCATGTTCTAATCAAACTCTTCTTCACTCAGGCATCGCAGATGCAAGGCTTCTTCGCTAAACCCGTCGACAACCTCTTCGCCGAACCTTTCATTGCACGCTGGATTCGTAACAATGTTCATGGGTGGAGAGAGGCTGTCGTCGTGAGCAAGAACGCCGGAGGCACAAAGCGTGTAACATCGCTGGCAGACACGCTCAAGCTCAATTTCGGTATCGTCACAACAGACCGACGTCGCCAAAAGCCGGGACCGACGCTGGCTGATAGCACGGTGTTCTTTGAGGCTTTGGATCACGAGCCTACACCACTGCCCAAAGACCAAGACCCGTTTGTCACCTCACAACCAGAGGAAACGCAGGCTCTGGACTTCAATGACATCCCATCGTTGCGTCCCGAAACACCGTCGGGTGCTCGGCGTCCTTCGGAGTTGGAAGCCGTAAATGAGTACACAGATGTTCGCGTGCGCGATGTGGTCACCGGGCGGTTGGTACAAGGCCACCTGGTTGACGATGATTATCCGCCATCTGGTCCTACCTCCATGCCTGCATCCGGTGACGCAACTCCTGGACAACCATCCTACCAGGATAGCGAAGCCATCCCTGATTCAATGGCAGCCTCTGTCATCTCGACCACATCATCTCTTCCAGGCGATCACGCTTTAGGCGGATCATTCGATGCTGCTGACTCTTCTGACGACGAAGAAGGAAGCATTGGGCGGAGCGTCGAACAAGAGAAGACCATCACTCTGGTCGGAGACGTCCGAGATAGGACCGTCTTCCTTGTTGACGACATGATCGACAAGTCCGGATCATGGATCGCGGCCGCAGAAACTGTAGTGAAGCGCGGCGGAGCCAAGAAGGTCTACTGCATTGCCACTCACGGGCTCTTCGGAGACTCATCCCTTGAACAAATGGAGGCTTGCGAGTCTATCAATTACATTGTCGTCACTAACACCTTCCCCATATCACCGCAAGTGGCGAGAAAGTCTAAGAAACTGATCGTCATTGACATTTCAAGCCTCCTATCGGAGAGCATAAGACGCCATCACTATGGTGAAAGGTTAGTCCCGAATTCAATTCACTCCTAACCCCGGCCGATGACCATCGAGAAGCTAACGATTGCGCAAGTGTTTCCGCGTTGTTCCATCTCAATGACTGATTGATTTCAAAAGCGACTAACTGTGTGCAATGTCATCTTCATGGTTTTCATTTGCTTATACACATACGCGCACCTTGATGAAGCGTTCATGATACCACTACTGATAGTACGTTGGTAAGATTATGAAGAAAGATGATAATGACAAAGAATCATGATGATGTCTCAGATATCCATACGGAGTAGAAACTCCCGTTTCTTTTTCTCACTTGATATCGCAGGTTCCGTGAAGATTTCGCCACTTTGGCCAGGGGAAGTAAGTCTGTGTGATGAGACTGAACCTGTTGCATGCGCAGCTGGTCTTGGTCTTGCCCCTGATGCTCGGTGAGGGTATGGTGGTTGAGAATGCGATATCCACCTACCCCTTCGCACTACATGAGATGAGCGTCGAGCTGTACTAGGCCAGGTTACTTCGCCACTTGCTGCCCTCTCCCCTTACCTTCCCCTTACTCATTCGTAGGCAAACCGGCCTCTCCTTTCAGTGAGGCAAAAAACAAGCTGAAGACGTGTTAAACGTCACAGCGACAACCAGCGGTGCAGTCCACTCTGGGTACTGCAGGGGCGTCTTGTTTCAAGTCCACAAGATCGTCCTTAACGGAGCGTTGGGAGAGCAAATCGAAGCCTACTGAGCGCATCTAATCCTTCCATGGCTTTGCCGTGTGGAGGGTAGGTGTGCGAGGTAGGCTTCTCGAGGAATGAAGGCATCAGCTTCTGAAGTTCGTCTTCGCACCTTTTTGGTCGTGGGGCTGATGCAAGAGAACATCTCGAACATCCACTTTGTTACCTATCTACATTCTTTAGATAGCTGCTGTAGACAATCTACCGTATATGTTAGCGTAGGCTTCTCAATGTCACTATTTTCTTGGACTCTTCTTGTTTGTTTCAAGACTAGCAGTTTGGGTAACCGGGATTCTCGGAGCACCACCTGAACTATCGGTGTAGACCTGCACCCGGGATCGCCAGAGCAGGGCAAAGAATGATTGGAGGTCGCGTGAGCAGACAGTTTGACCGTTGACCGTTGACCGTCAAAGAGCTCGGAGTCTGCATGCATGCAAATGATGTCCAACTTGGCTTGGCCGTCAGCCCGGCGCGATAGCAGACAGTTTGACCGTTGACCGTTGTCCGTCAAAGAGCTCGGAGTCCGCATGCATGCAACTGATGTCCAGCTTGGCTTGGCCGTCAGTCCGTCGCGAACTGGACTGACCCGGGACCCGGCAGCGTACAGCCGGCTCATGCTGCCACTGCCGCGGCCGCCACTGCCGCCAACGCTGCCCATGCCGGCAGCCACAACAGAACGAGACCCGGCTTCGTGACACATTGATCGGTCTGCCGGGTTCGTGACAGGAGATGTGCATGGGAAATTAGACGGCAAATGGCAAAGGGATTGTAGCGGTGTGCGCGGACCCGACAGAGAGGAAGCAGTATGGAATATTCCTTCTGACGGATCCCCAAAAACCCCTGTTTTGCGGCGAATTTGCAGTTTCGCACCGGTTAGTATGTGGTACGAAGTCGATTAGTATGACATCAGACTGAGGACCTTACGTTGGCCTATCGGCGTATGTTCTGCGTGACCATATGCTGTACTTTATTTTTGAGAACACTGCATATATCCGCTCATGCAGGACTTTTGGCCCATTTCACGAGGCCCTATGAAAAATGGTTTGCTGACGCAAATGGACTCGATCAGTCGGCGCGAGTCGTAGACGAAACGCCATGGGTTGCACCGCCTGCCACCCGACGAGATGGGATTTTCGGAAAATAAAAAGCTTGTGGGGATTATCCAACCATAGTTCGTTGACATTTGTCAATCGAGGCTCGCTATTCGGAGTAATCGCGCAAAGCCGACGAAGGAGCAAAATACCTGTCAAAAAGTCAAAAGTACCTAATATAAGAAAAAGTAATTCTTGAACTCTGTACCCGAAGCATGGCTTGCGCTGCCGCTGCGAAAGCAGACTTAATCGAAATCTCTCGATAGGTAGCGCCAGGGCCAATTATGATTTGAACCAGTCAGAAACATGATTTGCATCTGTCGCGGAAGCGTTTCCGGTAGATCAACTGGGTGGAGAACAAAGGTTCAAGATCCGACTTGTCATCCTTGCCAGGCGTTCACTCTCACAAGAGTCAACTCCTATAACTGTCCTGAGGTCAATCCCCCTCTCGCGGGATCAAAAGTCCTTGGCAAGCAATGTTTTATAGTCTACACACTTGTAGTATGAAGGTGTTTCGCGGAAGGACAGGTTTAGGACGGACTGGTCCGCTCCAGGATCAGATTTATGAAGTGCTGATGACTGCGGTAAAGACCATGTTGGTACTTTAGCAACAGCCGAGCCTCCGACGACTTAATTTGAATTTCGATTTTCGACCGTGTTTGTGGCCGGAGATCCATGACCAAGCCTCTAAGAAAGCTGTGCCAAGCCGGTATCGGACTACCGATGCTTGTGTACTGACGTTCGTGGAATATTCCGTGTGCAATTGGGGTCTAGAACATCTGTAAGTTTTTCGTGGATAGAAACTCAGCAACGGCGCATGCTCGTTGTCCGTGAACAAAGAAAGGATCTCGGAAAGCGCACTGTCAAGGCTCGAATGCTGTCGGGGAAATGTCAGGAGGTGCCTGACACTGGGCGATGATTTGCGGCTGATATCTCGATCTACTCTTTTAGCGCCGCTTGTTTCTGAGCCGAACCAAGCCATCTCGGGTTTAGTTTCTCTCTTGTATGGGGCAGACCCCTGGGTAGGCAATCATTTCGTTTTTCAAGACAATCACCAGCCAAAACTGAAGAAAGGGACTTTCGCGGAATGTCCATGGTCCACTATCACATCTTGGCTTGACGCAAGAGCTTGCTCGAAGCCTTGGAAGGGAGGACCCCTGCTCGAGCAGGTCCTTCTAGGCTTCTAGGGTTGACACCAGTCGGTTCGTCCTACTCCGTAAATGGAAGCTGGTGGCTGAAGCTGGAGGAAGCTAAGGAGCTAGCTTAGATTAATCCACTGCGCGGCTGGCTTAGTAGCTCCTGGAACGAACCTGGTTGACGGGTCTGCCAAAAGTACACAAATCTCCGCCAGCCTCCAAGATCGGCCATGAATCATGATACGCTCCATGTTGAAAGAAAAGAGGAAGACGCCGATGCGTAATTATGTCGATCGTCCGATTATAATTCGGTATTTGAAAGCACCCCTCCTATAAAGCTCCATATGAGCCTAGCTTGCGGATGCGACCTGCGTAGTGATTGCGAATAATCATATGGCACGTCGAAAAAGCGTCATGTCATGGTCGATCGTTGCCTCTGGTCTAGAGTACTCTGGCCAAGGCTCTTCCGCAGGGCTGGAGGCTTGGTGTTCCCCTGCCTCTGGCGGTGGTCCATACCCACATTCAAGGAAAATTATTCCTACTATAGGAGCATAGCTGCATAGGTCGTGGGAGAGTTCGGAATGGCGTCAGTTGAGCAACTCGAGAATGGCGTTCGACGCGGTGGGCCCGCAGGATGCGAGGGAGAATTGCTTGCAAATGATGACGGGAGTGATCGGGGACCACATGACCAAGACAGCGAGGAGGTACTATGAGTCTATGACGACTGACGGCTGGCGATTGGCGATGGCGATTGGCGATAGAATTTGAAGGATGATCGTGGGGGACGGAGGGTTGCTAGTCGAGTGGGATGATGGAGAAGAATGTAGGGAGACGAGGAGCCGGACTTTGGTTTGGTTCCGCTGGATTGGGAAAATGAAAAACACCATCAAGTCACGGCTTCCTCCCTCTTCGCTCTCCAAGTACTCTCGACAGTATCAGCGTCAATTTGAAACTCGTATTCCCTCGTACTTTTGTGCCGATAGATGAACTTCCGCTTGATGCAGAACCAGACGCACCTTTATTTCCATACAGATCCATGATCTGCACGCCAAAGGAGATCCTGCACCACAGCGCTGGGAGCGCTCAGAGCAGTGGAGAGTGGGATCAGCATCCATCGATCCTTCGTCGATCCGGCGCAAGTCATGCCTATTTGCTGAATCTGGTAAAGGAATCTCTGCCCAGGCCCTGTCTTCTCGGGCCTCAACCTTGTTGCTAACCTTCGGGGAAGTGCGTTCCAATTCCAAACCTTAAGAACCGACGAGACTATTGCCAGTCTTTGGCCGTCCGCGGAGGCGTTTACCCACCAGCCTGGCCCACTGAAGAAGGATATATCATCTGCGTACGGTTCCAGAAAGTCTCCAATCTTCCTCCGGACGCTTCGTTGATCCTATTATTAAACTGCCAAACCTTCGGTCTTTCCAGTCAGCCCCCATCGCAAACAAAAGTTTCGTATACAACATCATTTGGCAATCGGGCAGGTCTAGTCCAACCTGACGATTATTTTCTCCGGTGATTTTCAGATCAGAATTGAATTTCTCCCTGTTGCTCCACCTGCTCAATGGTCCGTGAGTAGTCGGGTACATGCATCGTTGTTTCCTATCCGATCAAGAGAACTTCCATGCAGCAAGCCTGCTAATGGCCTGGACTCGCACAGCTACCGGGATACCTTGCTGAATAGCTGCTCTGGACTGATTGCACCCGTCGCGTCCTTGATGCCTTCTTTCTCCGGTCATATCTAAAGCGCCCTATTTATACCTACCATGGAGCCCCAGTCTAGAGTTCTCTTCTTCAACAATTATTGCTCCTGCTCGTCCAGCTCTCTTGAACCAATCTCCACCCGGCACCTTATCTGAGAAACATTCCTCTTCCTTACCTTCTGCTTCTCGAAACTATCCCACCAAGCCAAACTTCATCTATCATCTATCGTGTTTCATCTCCCCTTGCTCGAGATCCTAGACAGTCTTTCTCGACTGCTTCACCCAACGACTTTGGTTTGAGCTGGTCATTTATACTCGCACAACACTGCCATTTACCCTTGGTAGTTACCAAGATCTTCCAGACCCGATATCCACAAGAGGTATGTCGTCGCCGATACCGACCTACCGGTACTGGAGGTTGGTTGCTGATCATGCGAAGTTAATAGACAAGGGTAGCATCAACAATGGCCAACCAGTGCTCGGGCCATGTCTTTGCCATTGTGCAGGCCACAAACGGCAACATCCTTACCTGGCGGTGCTCTGACTGCAACTCCGGGCCTTTTGTCGCTATCTGGCGCTGCAAGATCTGTGGCCATTGCCGTTGCAATGCCTGCCACACCGCTAAAGCATAAGTAACAGTTACATTTCGGCTGTTCCCTGGTCTAACATTCTGATGACATGGTATGAGAAACAATATGCTTGATTATATTTCCCTTTAGCTTTGCGCCTTTGTGCACCTTGCAAATCTTGAGCTGACTTCTTTGGTTGATCTAGAATTCGACAGCTTCCACAGAAACGTCCCCGCTGCAGCAATACCTGCCTTAGTCCCACAGCCTCAGCTCGCCACTAGCTGTGGGGTTGCTTTCATTTCTTCCTTTGTCTAAATCTCAGCTCCAAGATGTGTCCTTGAATCTTGCCTCATAATTCTGGCAATCCAACGAATCAGCTTTTGCATACGCTGGTCGATGGCCGGCCCTCCAATCGGATCAACTATCGGGACCCGTTGGGATCAGATTACCGTTGCCCTGGCCAGTATCACAACGAAGGTGCCAGCCAGAATTTGGGCTAAGCAAGCAAACACCGGAACTGCAGACACGGGCTGGAACAGCTCTTTCACAAGGATCCAGTTTCGTTTTCGCGGCATTCGACTTACTTCAATTCTCCGTTTTCTTAACCGCAATTAATCCTCTTAATGGAGCACTAACGGCCGAACCTATGCTATGCCCCAATATACATTTTCTGTTGAGAACGACGCATTGCCATGGTGTTCAAGGGCGGGAGCAAAAGCAAAGTTTAATTTTTTTTTTCTCTTTTTTCTTTTTTGGATTATTCTGGGTTTCTCATTTGATTTTTGTCGTCGAGTATCCTCGTCTCTTTCCACTCCGCCAACGGCTTGCTTGCATGTCTGATTGGCGGATCCGACTGTGCCCTTTATTGCATCGCATTGTGAAGCGTGGATTGTGATACCTGCCCATAGATTGTGACTTTTCTCTAGTCCTCGATAGAAAATTCAACATACCGCGGCGACGCAACTGAGATCAACAGCACTTTGTCATTCTATGCAACTCATGTTCCACAGCTCATCAACAATAGCTATACATAACCAGAAGCTGCCCACCCTGAGGTCAGACCACGTTTGGTACCCTTTGGTATGGTATGACCGCGCACCTGACCGAGCCAACTGTACGACTCCACGACCGAGCTGTGCTGCTGCACTTTCGCTGCCCTAAGAACAGACAAACCTTACTGATAGTGCCTGAAGCTCAACCATAGACCTATTTCTCCCTTCACCACCCGTTATGGCCCCTCGCCATCCCCTTTCCCATCTTCCACCTTAAGCGGTTGGCAAACCAGAAACCCCACGGCGTTATACCAGCACCTACCTATACCTATCTCTCTCAAACTACACCAGCCACCACCCATCACCATCAAACCTCAAACAAACTACCCAGCCCAAGCACCAGACCGGAGAGATTCTAGAAGCCGCTAGAAAGCCCAAGCCCAAGCTTGTGTCCTGTCCTGTTCGCCTTGCCCTGTCTTGTCCAATATTGTAGTGGCAGCGTCCGTGCGTGCTTGTCCTCCAGGCCCGACTGCCCGTACCGGTACTTACGTCGCACGATCATCTAGGTGCTGACCTCACCGGCCGGATTGCATGGTACGTACCGAGCTAAGGTTTGGCCTGGTCGCACCGCTTGTCGGCGCAGAGGGCGTGCGTGTCATACCTCCCTAGGGCCTACGGACACGGTACCTTGGGCGCTGCAGCGCTCCAGCGTGGCTTTTCTGAGTGCTCGGCCAATGTGCGCCGTTGCTTTGCGGATGGAATTGGAATTGTAGGGGGTATCGGTATGGAGGGTGGTAGATAGGGTATCACTGGCGCTCGGACTCGGGGTCGGGTCGGGTTATTGGCATTGCTGTGGCCTGTACTTGCCTAAGGGAGCGTAGTCTAGCTGCTGCTGCTGGGTACCTGCGATGCGGATGGGCAGTACGTAGACTATTACTTCGGAGGACTCCGTGATTGTGGCCGTGGTGAGCTTGACCCCTGATCCCTGCATTTGGGGTTGGGCGTGGTCGAGCGGGTTAAGTTGGCGCCGTGGTTCGTCGGCTGCTGACTTGTTTGTTTGCTTGGGTCGTTGTTGACTGGTGGAGAGGTACTGCTACCCATCCGGCCGGTGAGGGTTGTGAGGGTTGGATAATAACAGAAGGGTGATCTTTTGATGTGCTGCTTTGTTGGATGAGAGGACGTGAGGAGCAAAAAGGCAAGATAGGATTAGATGATTTTATTGAGTAAGTCCAAACGATTTGTTGAGGCATTCAATCATAAGTACAGTGCATGGCGGTGGGTATTGCTATTATTAGGTATGGGGTATTCCAACATCGAACAAGCGGAGACCAAGAGATCATTATACGAGATCATTATACATATCATAAATGAGGCGACATTAGACGTAACATCGGAAAAGAACTCCGAGCTGGAGGCGGTCTATGCTTCGAATTCGGACACATCAGGTGTAGATACTCTTTTGGACGAACGGTCAGTATGCATGCATCCCAATATTGCAGGGAAAGGGCTCTACGAGAAAGGAGGGGTAAGAATCTTACTTCCGTATACTGGTTGACTTGCAGTCCAGGCTCCGCCATTTCAGCATCCTTCAAGAAATCCAGAGGCATCCAGACGAGATGACCCTTAATTTTGTCGAGCTTCTCGCGGACTTCCTGAACCGGTATGTACGGATCGTACAAGTGGCCTAGCTTATATCCGTTCTTGGAGCGGTATTGGTCATATTCTTCGAACGTGCGAATGTTGTCGTCGGGATCTGTGCGGAAGAGTTGTCGGTAGAGGTCGGTATTTACGGTAGCCTGGTCGGTCCACGTCCTCCACAGGTCGTCGTTCAAGGGGTCCGTGACAAAGTCGTTTTCTGGGCCCTCGATGATCTCGTTCATGCAGATCGTGGGCGGCTGGGCGTTGGGGTGCTCGGAAGCATCGTAGTCTTGCGCTGGGAGGAGACCGAGATGTTCCCGCCACAGCTGTCTTCGAAGGGTTGCTGCAAGGCGAGCAGCCTTGTATGGCTTTCCGTCCATGGTGCTGTCGATGAAGTCTTGGTCTTCGACAACGATGGCGAGTTCGCTGTCGTGGTATCCAAGTTGTGACTGGATCATATTGTTAGTTTACACTGTCTTCGGAGCGGTAAGGGGGTCCCTTACTCGGTCGTTGATGTTGGCACTGCCGCAGATTGCCACCCTGTCGTCCACTATGCACACCTTGCCGTGCACATACAGCTCTTCCTGAACAAAGTTCTCTTTCTCCGCTTCAGGGTTACCCTCCCATACCTCGTCGGACATTTTGCCGCCGTTGAGCATTGTGGTATGGGAAACAGTGTCCTTGTTGCCAGCGGTAGGTTGGGATTTGTGAGCTTCGTTTTTTGCTTCATACTTCTGCAGCTTGGCGATTTGCTCTTCTTTCTCCTTGTCGGCATCCCCGTAGTTAACCTCATTTTTGTCACCCTCCTGACCTACTGACGGGTGAACGCTCTCGCTCGCAAGTGTCACGGCAACTCCACGTTGAATGTCATTGAACGTTACTCCTGCTTCTTTTTCTAGTTCCTCTAGCGCGGGGGTCTTGTTGATACGGTCGTACGCGCGCAAGTTGAAGACGAAAATATGATCTATAGCTGTTAGTCAGGTGCCGGTCTACGGACGGAACACACTTACTCGTCGGGTCAATACCCTGGGCCGCTATCTGGCCGAAGATGGAGTGCTCTCCCCGGTTGATTGACTTGTACTGGTAGTCCATGATAGCCCGTGTCCCCGTCGCCGCATTCTGTCGAAGGTCTCCCGCAAATCCAGGAATGGCGGGTATGACAATGATTACTCGAAACTTTCTTCCTTCTTTGCCCGCTCGGACGCAGGCATCAACGATAGACCGTCCTATCGTGTTGAGGATAGGGCCTTGCTGATCACCAGTGGCGGTGACTAGGTATGTTAGCGCAACAATACTGACGCGTGGGACAATCACGAAAGCTTACTGAAGAACTGATTCTCAATGTAGACAAAGTGTTCCGCTTTATCAATAATCTCCTTGTAAGCGTTTTGAATGCTGTGCTCAACCAGAATACCGCTGCTCCAATCAGCACTGCTGCGTACAATCTGTGCTGTAGAAGATCCTTGCACGCCGCGGATCTTGGAGCTCAGAGGCGTGTAAGGGTGCTGCACATAGTCACCGACTGGAAACTTTGGGCGCTGGACGCCGACGAGGTCCTCGTCCTGCCCAGTGCGACCCTCGAGCAGAAGCCAATCAACGGTTGGATCTCGCTTATACTTGTCACGCTTGATAAAGTTCCAACGGAGGACAAAGTGCTCAGCAATGTCGTAGACACAATCACCCATCACACCCATAGCGACATCATGCCACGGCATTCGACCGTACTCGGCTTTGCTGAGCTCGTTGGACTGCCACTCCCCTACGCTCTGGAAGTCCATGATCCGGTTGTTATTGAACTCTTGTCCAGGGAATATCTCCGACCTGAGGTGTGACGGATGAACGTCAGCAAGCGGATGCTGATGCGCGTCCCATCGGCCGAAGCATAGGTCAATGCCTCCAATGAAAGCCAGATTGTAGTCAATGACAATGAATTTTTCGTGATGAGCCTAGAATCGTTAGTTCAAGACAGGACTATGTTCGAACTTGAGCAAGGGCCTACCCAGTATAGAGTCATATCGGCGGCATTTTCAAAAATGTTATGATCCGGATGACGAAGTAGCTTGATGTTGCCATGTCCGGGGCTTCCTTCTGGGCAAAGTGCCCTAAGAGCGTATTTTGTGTGAGCAGAATTACACGTCAGGGCTTGGTTGACCTGGAAAGGTCAGCAGGTGTAGACCGTGCGCGATGAGGATCTGCCAACCTCCTTGTATACGATCACATAAATCTTAACGCCAGCCTCAGCTTTGCGCTTGAGAATCTGATCTAACCGCCACTCTTGGGCTTCGACAGGAGGTCGCCGCAAGAACAGTTCCGGCGAAAGCCACCAGTCTTCGATGTAGATTACCTCCTTCGCCTGCTCCAGAGCTATGGAGACAGCCCACATGTAGTCGAGAGCGTCGACATACCATTTGACTTTGTTTCCCTGACGGACCGGAGCAAAGGACCCAAAGCGATTTGACTCGGAAACGGCAGTCCTCTTTCTGTCTGTCTCCTTCTCGTGCTCTTCATCGTGGCGGTGGTTTGGGTTCACGATGTTAAAGAACTTGCCGACCCTATGCTTCAGGTGGTGGGCCTTCTCATTGATATGGCTGTCTGTGCTAGTATGTTAGCAGTGACTTCCGGGGAAAGACGAGAGCTCTGACCTTTGAAGTGCTCCTCGAGGTCATGAATCTTGTCCTTGAAATGGGACATGGTGGCACCGTCTGGACGAGAGAAATTGACAGAGGCCCTGGGGAGATAGAACGCTGGAGCCTGCAGTAAATACCGCCAGCCTTACGATGAGGGGCCGGCGGGGGCGTGACGTCGTGCACGTCATCGACTCCAGACTCTTCCGCTTCATCCCACGATCGCTCTCGTTTCTCCTTCTCCATCTTGGCAACCTTCCCTGCTTTGGAGTAGAATCGAGATCGGTCCATAGGGCTGCTTTTGATGCTCAAACCGATTGGTGAGTCCGCCTGCCAGCCACCTGGTTCCTGGCCAACCCCTCCGCACCATCTTCCCCACCATACCTACTACTAACGCTACAAGTATCCGCACGGAGGAACTAACAGCACCTTCCAAGGTCCAACAAGACCACCCAAACGCTCTTTGGAAAGTCCCCTGCTGCTGTCGCATTGCACTATGGCCCGCGATCTCTACAAGGACGGCGTGGACTTCGCGTCGCTCGCCCTCCAGTCGGCCGAATTCGCTAAGTTGTCCGTACAACCTAAGACAATCCAAGCAGCTTGGTAACTAAAATTAGAACAGCCTGAAGCCAAATAACCAATTGGATTTCACGAACCCAGACGCTGTTAGGTAAATGACGACAAGTGGGCGTTATCGGACCGCTCCGACTGACGCACGGCTATCAGACAACTGACCGTGAGCCTACTCAAACGCGATTTCGGCCTGACCGTTGACATCCCAGAAGCTCGATTGTGTCCCCCGGTATGTCGGCCTGACCTGGCTACTGCAGGAACTGGGCTAATTGATTGATTGCTAGATCCCCAATAGGTGAACTGGGCTTGAGTCCACAAATATGCATTCGCTAATAACAGTAGATTAATTTATATCATCTGGTTGCAAGATCTGCTAGACACAACGGGAGATGGATACCGGGATGCCTATGATCCTGACAGGGTCGTTACAGGCCTTGATATGTGCGTCTTCTCAACCCCTTGAGAGAAGCGTCTTGTCTAATTCTAGCAGTGGCACAGGATGCTGTAGCATATATCCTCTCTTGGGCGTAAAGTCCAGATCGAACTGGAATTTCGTCGCATCTGGTGAGACAAGCATCAAACCATGCATCGTACGCAGCTAATCATGAAGACATTGACGATGATAATATCAAGACTTCTACGCAGACGATTCAAGCAAACAATCTTGACTCGCGCATCCGGATTGTGAAAACCAGCCCAGATGGCGATCTCATCTCTCTGGGCACCCTAGGAGTTGAAAGGTATGGTACTCTACTTCTTTATCCCTAAGGAAGGCTAACAGCCAGACTCGATTTCACCATGTGCAACCCGCCATTCTACGCTTCCCAAGACGAAATGGTGGTCTCAGCAGAGGAAAAAGATAGACCCCCATTCTCGGTATGATTTCAATTCCGGCCACATCTCATTATACCCAGCGCTTACAACCACAAAGGCATGCACCGGCGCAGAAGTTGAAATGGTCACGCCCGGCGGCGAAGTCTCCTTCGTATCCCGCATGATCACCGAGAGTATCGCCCTTAGAGACAAGGTTCTTTGGTACACGTCCATGCTCGGCAAACTCAGCAGCGTCTCTGCGCTCATTGAGAAACTCAACGACCTTGGAAACACCAACTACGCCGTTACGGAATTCGTGCAGGGTAATAAGACTCGCCGGTGGGCAATTGCTTGGTCATGGACGGATCGTCGGCCGGCCGTGGTACGTACACTACCATCATGAAAGTGAGGTACTCGGAATCTGAACGGTGTAATGCAGAGCGTCGCCCGCGGTATTCAAAGCCCTAACTACCCAAAGCACCTCCTTCCCTTCCCATCGGAATACACCTTCACCCTCTCGGGCCGCTCCATCGATGACATCAGCAGTGCCGTCAATGCAGAATTCTCATCTCTGCATATTGACTGGACGTGGCATAGTGGTCTTACCCTGGGTATCGGCTTCGCGGCGACGAATGTATGGTCGCGACAGTATAGGAGGATGATGAAGCTGTCTCCCAATGCTGCTAGTGGTAGTGAGGTTGATCCTGACACGGCGGCGCTAGGGTTTAGGGTTCAGTTGGCTATGGAACCAAGTGCGGGTGAGACAGGAGAAAGAAGTGTCAAGGTTCTGATTCGGTGGCTCAAGGGGATGGATTCGGTACTGTTTGAGAGCTTTTGTGGGATGGTTAAGAGGAAGTTGGAGGGGCGGTAGGTGCTTACCTAGGTGTCAACTACGGTGTCAACTATTAAGAAGGGTTGGCCGTCTAATCTTTCGCATATACTCAGTGGAGTGTAGAACGAAGAATTGAAGATAGCTTCTATGTGTATATATGCATCAAGGCTTTTCTCTAATCCAGACAAATGCGCATAAAACAAAAGGATGAAACAGGTCGCAAGGATGAGTGCAAGTAAATTCAAATCCACCATCATTTCAATAACCCTACTACCTCCCCCCCGAAACCTCCTCCTGCAACTCCTTCAACCTCGCCCACCCCTCCGAATCCCCCCAAAACTCCTTCCCCTTCCCCATAACTCCCCTAACCGCACTCCGCGCCTTAAACCGCCAATCCTTCGCAACAAGCTCCTTCTCCTCCACCTCCTCACCCTGATCCTCCCGATCCAACATCCCGTACTTCGCGTACCCCCTGCGCACCAGGCGCTCGGTGGAACTCACAATCTCCATCCACCGCTTCTCATCGCCCATCTGGAACGCACCCTGGCTCGCCGACGCAACGGTCGCACGCCATGCTTTCTCATGTGCCTCCAGGGCCTTGGACGGTCTGTTGCGGAACCGCTCGACCGTCGCGACGAGGAGCCACAGGGGCGCGGAGTGCGTGATCAGCGGGACGATGGAGGACTCGATGAGGCTGAGGATCGAGCCGGGGATTGTGCCGCTGCGGACGATCTTCGTCGTTCCCTCGCCGTCTTCGGCGTGGGATGTGGTGATGAGAAGATCGTCGTAGTTATAGTCGGTCACGAGGTGGTCGACGAGCATGCCGAGGATTGGAAGGTCGACGGCTTTCTCGCCCTGCTTGGGGCCCAGGAGCTCGATGACTTTGCGCTGGGCGGTGATGACGTCGCGCCAGGGTGTTAGGGGCGGTGGGATGGACGCGGACACGGTAAGCAGGTTATCCCAGATGCGGGCGTCTGTGTTCTTCAGCTGTGCGGCGCGGTGGAGAGCGTTGATGGCCTCGCGTTTGCGCTTGTACGGGTCTCGAGCGGGTTTCTTGGCTGGCTCGGATTCTTCCTCGTCGTCTGCAGGTGGTTCGGATACTTGTTGTTCTTGCTGGTCTTCTGCGATGTCGTCGACTTCTGAGGGCTTCGAGGTGCGCAGCATTGCGGCTGCGAGGTTGCTCCATGCCTCGGCGTCGTTGTCTTCGAGTTGCACGGTCCGCGTGAAGGACTCGACTGCTTCGTCCCAGCGTTGCAGCTCGAGCTGAACGCAGCCGAGCGCGAACCATGCGCTGTTGTTGAGGCGATTGATGTGTAGACTCTTCTGGTAGGCTTCGGCGGCTTTTTCGAGGGCGGGGGGCTTGAGGGTGAGGAAGTGGCGGGCGAGGGAGCGCTGGGCGCGCGCGTACCGCTTGTTCGAGACCTCCCAGGCGCGGTCGTACAGGGTTGGGTCGCTTTGGATGTCACCAAGGATGCAGAAGAGGCGGGGGGCGTCGGCGGGGAGGGGGGAGAGTTCGGGGCCCTCGAACCGTTCGTTTTCGTCGTCGGGGGAGCCGGTTGGTGCGTAGAGTTGGCGGCGGACGGTGACGCGCGCCTTGTCTTCTTTCTCCGTGGCGGCGTAGCAGAGCGCAACCTCGGCCCACATTTGTAGGCGCTCGTAGATGTCGAGGGCTGTTCGGAGACCACCAAGGTTGACCCAGCGGTTGGCGAGCTCGGATTCGAGATCCCAGCGGGTAGAGAAGCTCAGGAGCCAGATGTACCTGAGACGGTCTGCGGCTGATGCGGACTCGTCTTTTTCTGGTCGCGGAAGGAAGGTTGACGGCTCTTGCTGGGTTTCGGTTGTTTGGGTGTCTTGTGTGGCCGTGTCTGCAAGGACTTGGTCGACGAGAGCCTGCATCTGCAGGACGGATCTCTCCACGGTTCGGGTTCTGTACCCTTCAATTCGGCTTCGTAGAAGCAAGCCTTGTGTATAGATTTGCCAGTTTGAGCTACCGCCGTCAAGAACACGAGTAGCATACGGAGCGGTTTCTTCTCGCGTAAGTCCGTCCTCAGGTCGAGTGTTGGTGATGGCTGCGGCGAAGGAAAGAAGAATAGCAGAGTCAACTGGGTCCAGCATTGGCTGGTCTCCAGGGTCAAGAGATGCCAATGCAGGCGGGAGCGTTGACTCCTCCTGCACAGTCACAGGCTTTGCCTGCGGCTCTTGATCCTCCGGTTTCGTGAAAGAGATGGACTCCAACAGAGTGTCATCGTTGAGATCCAATTTCTTCGGCGCAAGTGCATCGCCGTTCGTCCCCACCGAGGCCTCAGCACCATCAGTCTTGCTCGCATCCGCTGCACTCTTCGCCAAAATGACAAGCTGACTGATATCCCTTTGCTGGAATTTGGTCCGCTTTCCGAGCCTACCAGTAAGCGCAAACTCGAACTTGCGCTCCGCAGCAGCCCGTTCAAGGTCCGTCCTCGCCTTCGCATCGAAGCCGTGGTGAATATGGATGGTGGCACGTTCCAGCAAGAACTTGCCCTTGTCTTGACCAGAGGTCTTCTCGCCCAACAGGAGCTCGCTCATCACATCCAAATCCTTGTAGATAACATCCTGCAGCGTGCTCGTAACCTCAGACAGCATCTTCTGGTGTAGGAAATTGACGCGCATCCGTGTAGTCCTGGCCACCAATGGGCCGTTCTCAACAAGAACATCGGCATCAACCAGAATAGCCTTAGCCACAGCAAAAAGCTCCACGTTCGGTGTCAACTTATACGCCGCCTCTCCATCCACAGAGAGATCCCGAATGACCTTATCACAAATCGCGCGGACGGTAGCGGGGTTCGAGCGCAGCGCCTCGGGCACAATGACATCCGCGGACTTGAATTGGAGCGGAGGACCAGTGACGTTGGACTGAAGGAAGGCAAAAAGCGCAGCCGATCCAATGTGCAGCAGCTGCGACTTCTGCTGCTCCGCACTCAGGCCATCGATAGGCGCAGAAACGACCGCTTTCGTTTTCTCCGACACGAACTGGGTATATGAGATCTCGCCTCGGGATACGCGCTCGAGGCTTCCCTCGTCGGAGTTGTGGCCGAAAACTTCCTTTGCCAGTGGCAGCTCGAGAAGCGGCGCTGTCTGGCTGTCTTCAAGGGTTATCAAGTCATATTGGTCGTTTAGCGAGGGCTCGCTGAACAGGGCGTTCAGGGACTCCGGGTAGTTCGGGCTCGAGGGGTCGGCCATTTTGGAGGTTCAAAGCCTAGCGGGCTTTCTCATAGTCAGTATGAGACATATATAGAGAGCGGAGCACCGTGGAAAGGGTCATAACCCACCGTGGTGAGCGGTTCAGATGAGAGTTTGGACTAGCACACGATACAATCACCGGTGCATACCGGAGACCTAAAAGAACCGAGAAACCCAGGAAGCTACCGAGAGAACTGGAGAACAGGACAACCAAAGGTCAACAGATACCGAGCAAGAATGACTGAACGAGGGGATCCATCATCCGATCAACCCCGCCATCTTTTTTCCGCTCCAACTTTTTTCGCCGCCTTATCGATAAGGCACACTGGTGGGACGTGGCATTACGTGTGTGCCTGCCAATACCACCCTATCCAACAGTATGTACACGCACTATATACTCCAGTTCAGTCATCAAACCAAGGAATCAATCCTTCGATCCCAGGTTTGCCTTCCGCACTACAGCAGCGACAACTGTCATCAAGCTCGTTCCTTGTCTCGATCACGAAAGGTTGGTCGCCGCCAACAACAGATTCATCCAACTCGCACCTCGAGGGTACCTGGACTCGAAACCTCGTTGCCCTCACTTTTCTCAATGGAGTAATTAGAATGACCAGAGTGGTCGCTGGTAACGGTCTTGTTATCCGCAAGGTCCTGAAAAGGTTGATCGTGTGATAACCCAGCGCAACGCAGAGGTCCTCCAAGCCTTCCAAACCTGCTAAGGTGGCGCATACTTCCTGCCACGAAGATCGAATATTGCGGTCTATACGGTAGTCTCGAAAGACACTGGTTTGAAAGTACAGGGAGCGGATCAGCCTGAGCCGGCGCGCGGGAATAGCGCGCGGTAGAGCGAGTAGTGTGTAATGGTCATCGACAAGGAGCTTATTTCTGGTGTATAGTAGGCTAACGCTTTCAGAGTATCTAGAATGCAATCAGCTCGAGTTCCCATTATCACGATCAGGGTGCGAGAACCAACATTCGCCTACAGCTGGAGAGCAAACCCAGAAACCTGGCTTTATGCACTGGCTCGCCATCACCAGCAGATCGTCGCTGGACACTCCCATCCCTCGCCATGGAAGGCCGACACTCGTCATGCAAGGAGCAGGCATGATCCTCCCAAGCAGGTGAAGGATCAGCTCTGCAAGGCCTACTGCATAGTCTTCGATAGGTTCGCCAGACATGGAGAGGAGCTGCAGATACCAGAACCTCCTCATAGACCATGTGCCGGAGTTCGGGCGGTAACTTGAAGTATAATGACTGTGTCTGGGCATTCGTGGTTTCTGTTTCTGATAGCGAGCGACGACGTCGTGGAAGGGGCGTTGGCGCGTTAGCCCGACGTTCAAGCCAGTATGAGACCCGGCGAAACCGAGATTTAGCCCATGCATAGGCGACCAAGTACGGGGCGATAAAGACCAAGGCAAGGACTGTCTTGATGGTTTCCAGGCTTGCCATGATTTGACGGTCAGGCTGTAGGTCAAAGGTTGTTATTGTGGGCTTTTATATGAGTGGCTGGGCACATGTCAGATCTGGCTTGATTGGCTATCACTAAGTAACCTTAGTAGGCATGGCGTAGTCGGCTACCTATAGCTGCTTTGCTAGTAAGTACATCTAATGAAGCCTCAGCAGTCGAGAACATGACTGGCCCGTTACAGATCGTTTTCCCCCAAAGGATCCTGTTCCACTCAAGTCCGATATGTAGCATTGTAGATTCTAGTCTCTAGTGAATATATCATCCGCATTATGCCAATCAATAAACACCAACAGCTCTTGAAGTTTGCGCGTGCAGTGGCAACCCTACTGGGCTTTGGATATCAAATAAGGCTGGTTTTTATTCTCTCTAGACGGTACCCCCATCAATCCATAACCTATATAAGTGCATATACTCGATTAATCTCTAGTTCCCTGCCACATTCGCATGCCCTCTAAGAATCTCATTAAGGCCCTCCCGCTGCACACACTCCTCAAACGCAAAGCTCCTCGCCAACTCCTCCAAAGCTCTCTCATCCAACCCCGCAAACAACCCCGCAAACTCATCCGCAAACGAACCCGCCAAAAACGTCTGAAATACAGCGCGAAGCAAATGCCTCTCCGTATTCCACGGCGTCGGATACGTCTCCTTCGCGCTCGGACTGACCTTATCAATCCACTCCACAAGCGGCCTCAGCACACCCTCCGCTTCACTTGCAACAGCAGAATCCCGTCCCCAGTGATCCAGCATAAGCGCTTTCTTCTTCTCCAAAAACGGCTGGATGAGTTTGTTCCAGGCGCTGTCCGGGCTCGTGTGGATCATCCCCTGCAGCCCGATGTCCTTGTACAGCCAAATGGACCAGTGGATCTTGTACTTGTCGTAGATGCGCAGTTGCTCGCCGAGGAGGTTATAGCGGGATTGGTTTATCGATGTGGCGTCAGCGTCGGCACTTGGGTTTGCGTAGACGGGACCGAATTCGCCGTTCCAGATCGGCGTGTTGTTGCTCTTCATGAACTCTGCTTTGCGCAGGAATTGCCGCTCCAGGTAGTCGTTTTGCTCGGGGGTTGCGTTGTACCGTGGGCCCGTTGGGAAACCCATGGACTATCAGGTGCATCTGTCAGTACGAACTATGCGGGATTTTAGGGAAGAGGTGGGCAAAGCGCACCGCATAGTCATGCATGGCATAGACGCAATTCGGCAACACTTTATCGAACCCCCTCCACTCCATCGCAAAGGTATTCCCATCCAGCCACAGGATATGGTCCGGATCCACAGCCCGAATCGCCTTCTCGACACGCTCATAGAACGCCGGGAGCCGAACATGTTCAGGATCACATGGCTCATTGAGCGGATTATACCCCGCAACCCAGGGATTGCCCTTATACCGCGCTGCAATCTGCTCCCACAGCCAAACGGTGCGGTCCTGATGATCCTTGTAGTCCCAGAACGCGGCGTGATTCGTGCGGTTATCGGAATGCCAATCGGGGTTCTGGCCGCCGGGGGTCGTGTGCATATCGAGGATCGTGTAGATCTTTTGTTTGGCGCACTAGATACACTGAATTAATTCCTATACATTCCCTCCTATGTACGCAGCGTGTTAGCCTACCAACTCCACCACCCGATCCAAGTGCTTGAACCCTCTTTCCTTAAGCACACGCGGGTTCATATCATCCTCGAAATGGCGGTAGTTGAACGGGATCCGGATGCAGTTTAGCCCTAAGCCCGCGAAGAATTTCGCGTCTGCCTCGGTGAAAAAATACTCGAGCCACTTGTCGAAGAAGAACTCGTACTTCTCGGGCCCGAGGACCTTGAGCATGGCTGCGCGGTGCTGAGACTCGTGCGCTGGGTACCCGGTGATGAAGTTTTCCATGCTGGTAGGTAACATCTTATTAACTATCGTATACGGTAGACATTTAGACGTAAATAGGATAAGACATGAGTTCTTACTTCATCCAACCTCCAATGGCCGCTCCACGCAGGATAACCTCATTGCCATCAGCGTCTACGACTTCATTGCCGTCGACACGGAGGATGCCAGTTGCCATTTTGACTGAGGTTCAGGTTGGTGCTTCTCGGTATAGCGCGATTTCGAGGTCTAACAAGGTTCTGGGTCGTCGATGCGAAAATTGTCTAACATTGCAGACGAGGGAGGGGATGAGGCCTATTTAAGAGCGCGCAGGGCTGTGGCAGCCGGCGAATAGGTGAGAAGGCCGAGCGAGACGCCCTTGGCGATTCTAGTGGCAACCGGCATTGTTCGAGCTGGGCGGGGTAATGAGTCGTGTCAAGTCCTTCGTTGCAGAGAATCGTGAGATGTTTCTTGGAGGTGCAGCGGATAAACAACTTGGGAAGCATTTAGCCTGATTGCAGTGCGGGCTCGGATCCTTACCCGCTTGTTCGAGTGTACTCGATAGGATCGGACACTGCAGGCCGGTAGAAGCATCCGTTCACTGTGGACTCAAAGACGTTATGCCATATTAGGATTCGTAAGTGCCGTAGGGTATCCAGTAAATACTGACATATATACATGAACACAAATGTGAGAACAACCGACTCAGCCGAAACACCCGACTAGAAGAGAAGAACGCTCACGAAAATGAATCGTACGAGTATCGAAGAGATGTACAGCAGTCACCCAGTGGGCCACAGCCTGCCTATGCAGTTCGTATGTACTCACGTAAGTCCAGTACGTCCATCGGATATAAAAAGCCATCACCAGTCCTGGCCACGGTCTCTCATTAAGATCTCGATGGCCTCATCTTCCGGAACTGGATTATCATTCAGCTCTTTGACGCATTGCGTTAAACCTTCAGCAGCCTCATCCACTTGTTCGGCCGACCAGCCCGTACAAGCCATGACCATCCGGCGATAGTTTTGGCCAAGCACCACGTTCTTGGATCGGAGAGCTTCAACTTCATCCAAAGTCTCTTTGTTTGATTCCCGATAGCAACCAACCCTTTGCTGGAGGATCTCAGGAGACGGTAACTTGCGAAGGTACGCAATCTGTGCTTCAGAGAACCCGGACGCTGGATCGAACGTTTCTGGGAAAAGAAACTCGAATCCGGCAATTTCAACCCCAGATTCCTGGTCAGCATCACCAAGCGATACATGTTTCGAGCTGTCGCCGAAATCTGAAGGCATTCCCTTGAGGACTGCAAGCAGTTCCATCGACGACTTCTCCAGGTTCTTCAACCGTCTATTTGTCTCTGTCCTGTCAATAGACCTCCGTTTCAGCTCATCTAATTGCTTCTGCTCGATCTGTCGAGCTTTCGCAGACTCGCGGATTTTAGCATGCCAGTGGTCAAACTTTTCTTGTTTCGTCGTTAAGCTGGACGCCAACTCTTTGTCAAACGATCCTAATGCATCTTGGACAATGGTTGTGACTTGAGCCGTAGTTGCTAGGGTGAAGTCAGTGGGATGATGCATATGTGGGTTGATGAGTATACCTTCTAAAATTTCCTTCCTTGTCTTTTCCAATTGAGCGGCAAATGTGTCACTCCGACTCCCAGCTTGCTGAGAACTGCCATTTACCATGTCCACGCCAACGCCATAATCCGCCGGTCGAAGACCGGTATGATTAGGAATGTGAGGGTCTGCGCCCACCTCTAACAGCTGCGGAACGAGAACGGAGCGTGCACGCCCCGCCAGGTTGAGTGCGGTATCACCTTGGTCATCCCGGAGATTGACAATATCTGAGATAAACCGGCCGAGAGTGATAACCTCATTAGGGAGCGGGGTTCCAGGTTGACTTGTGGTACCATTGGGCGTCTGTCGACTCAGTGTTGTGCCGCCATGACGAACTATAAACTCAAGTAGAGCCTCAAGGTAATGCTTTGCGGACACATGACCACCGTGACCGGTAGCCGCCATGACTGCGATATGATGCAAAATTGTTCTCCCACTTCGGTCGACCATGTCAATTGTCGGAGCCAAGACCTGCAACAAACGCGGAAAGCTTCTGTAGTCAAGATTGTTCCGTGTGCCGACAGCTTTCTGCAGGGCTGTCTCACCCGCCCCATTCAGTCGGGAGATACTGACGCCCTTTCTGACTAGCGCATATACAAGTGGCATACGAGCAAGCATAGCCGCCCAATGTAAAGCATTGTTTCGATATTCATCAAGTGGGACTTCCAAGTCTTCGCCTGATAGCTGAATTAACGCCGGATGTGTCGAGAAATCCTTGGTCATTTTATCTAAGAACAGTGTCATGATAAGCTTCATCTTCTGGAACCTTTCGGGCGTTGTGGCTGGAGGAAGAGGATCAAGACCATGTCTGCCTTCCTCAACGATAGGATGTAATGGCTCCATGTCCTGGTAGAAAGAGTCATTTGGCTCCGTGGGTGTGGGTTCATTGAGTGTCATGGACGCATCAACGGGAAGACTGAATGCCTGTGAGGAACGAACGCGCTTGCGGGGTGGCTCCATGGACTCCTCCTGCTCGAAGCTCATAGCATCTTGTGGTGCGTATCGACCATTAGTTGGAATATTACTCGCGAAGCCGCTATCAGAGGCGGCACTGTACATGCTCTGTTGGCTACCAAAAGTAGGTAGGGCGTCTTGACTGCCCGTCTGCTGCGGCGGTTTCCGTATAACGCTCGACCGTCTGCTGTCGCCGCCTTTCGCCGCAGGCGACTCAAAGCGAGCCTTGCTCATGGCATTGACTGCGGTAGCGGCGGTGCGGGAAATGTTCTGAAAGAAAGTCCCCTGCTGAGGCTGAGACACACTCCGGTTTTCCATCCCACTGTAAAGCCTTTTCCTCTGTGCCGCCATTGCCTGCTCCTTTGTCGGAGTATCCAAAGAGTCCTGACCCGAAGCAGCCGTACCATTAGGATTCATGTCGTATTCCAACAGAGGCCGCAACAACTCTTCGACATGGTATTCGCGGCACAGCTCCACCCCTCTTTGGTAATTCACCCATGTTCCCTGATATTTACCATAGCCTCCTTGGACCTTCTCATGTTCACCCGCCGCAATTTCCTTCTCCAAAGTCTTTGTTCTCCGCGCCTTGACCACACCGGCAACTTTGAGGATCTGAGTAGCATTTAGCCAAGCATCAGAGCGTCGCTTCATCACTGCGACTCCGTTCACTTCCATCTCATACACCGAAACGTTGGAATAAACGGCCTAGAAACCAGCCAGCATTAGTGTCCGGACAGCGAAGTCAGGGAGAAGCCCCGTAGGCTAGGGATAAACCGACCCTGTAGATCTGAGGCTTGAATTCCTCGTGATACATCATTGTTCCGTAGCCATTCATATCCTCAAATCCATTGAAACTCGCCCTCGTGCCGTTCGGGAATCCGTTGGTATAATTGAAAGACATCGCCGACTGCTGAGAGCTCTTCGGGGGAGGAGTAGCGCGCGGTGTGGAGGCCACTGATTGCGAAGCGTTGAATGAGCCCAGTTGGGATTGAGAGAAAGACATGGCATTCGCCGACCCGATGCTCCCTTGTGAGTAGGACATAGAGAGGCTTGGGCGTGTTGGATGGTGATTGCTGGTCGTCATGGTCGAGAACCCTCAGCCCTGATCTACCACGAACCTATGAAGTCAGGACGCTGTTTAAGGATTAGCGGACTTGTCGATTCCGTCTAGAAACCAATAGCATGATCTCTAAGAACACAGCAAATAAAACAAAATATAAAATAAGGTAACAACACGTAGAGTAAGATAGACCGGTAAGAGACAAAGGACATGTGTGGGGAAATTGCACCTTGAGGATCAACCGCCCAACGGCCAGGGTCGCTCGAATTAATTGCGAGTCAACTCGCGACAAGGGTAGCGCGTATCAAGTAACCCGGCGTAGATAACGACAAACAATACCATCCAGACCACAAAAGAAGATCAATAACCAAAAGCGTCAAACCATGTACATTTCCGAGGATCCGACGTCTGCTCCGTGAATCATGCAGGCATCCACATGGAAGGGAAGACGAAGCTGAAGAACCGAAAGCGTGCAGCAGCGGAAGTCGCGTTTTGGCGCCATTTTCGCGTCTCCCGGGGAATTTTGTCGTTCCGGACCCTCAATTATTCCGCCAAGCATCCGCCGACACATGATCTCAAGCCCAACAGCAAAGTCCTAGGTGTCTTCCAAATAACCACTCATGCCGCCTCGTCACTTGATTCAACCCTCACAAGAAGAATGGCGGGGCATGCTCCGCAATCTTCTGCGCGAATGCTCCTACCTCCCTGACCCTATTGCCCGATCGACCTGCCACGACCAGATTATACAACGATTCCGCCGGTACCATTTCGACCCTAAAAGGCGCGAGGAAAATGTTGAGAAGCTCAAAGTCGTCGGCAAGCAATACGGCAAATGGCATGCCGACGCAAAAGGCGAGGAGAAGTACCTTGAGAAGATGATGAGGAACCACAAAGAAGCCCGAAAGTCGTTATCACTCCTGCGACGGGCAAATGAGGGATACATAAAACCTCTGGAAAAGGTGCTGAAAAACGCCTACGGACGCTCGGGGAAGAAAAGGGCCGAGCTGGTCACTAAACTACTCGAAGAACACAGCGCTGTGAACTCGGACGATGTCAACGCCCTTATCGCGTCCGCGGATCGGTTCGAAAAGAAATGGGAAGTCCCAAAAATCATCACCGATCTCCTGAAATCGCAACTCAGCAACGCCTATGCTATGCAACACGGCGATCGTCCTATGCCTATCAAGAGGGGCAATCCGCCTGGTGACATGAAAAACGCCTGGGAAAGAAGGATGCCTATAAAACGGGGGTCGCAATATCGTCGGAGGTGGTATCATAGTGTGCTTGAAGCTCTGCTTCCTCCATTGCCTGACGCCGATTTGCGGATGCTGGAGGGTCTAATGTCGGGCGCTGTTCCATGGAGCCCGCCTAAACGCAGGTCAACCGGACAGACTACCCCCTCTACAGCTACTGATAATCAGTACCCGAAGGGCGCGATTATTCGAACTGTTTTGACCGATGGACCTCCCAAAGGGGAAACATTTGCTCTGTATAGGAGGGGTCGACCTCATATTATCACGAGACGGTTCATGTGCCGGCTCTGGAAGCGAGTTTCGTGCCTGGTCCCACGTTACCGATGGGATGAGGCGCATAACATGCATAAATTTGAATGGGATACGGCGTCGTTCCCACCAATCGCCCTCTCTGCGAAGGAAGGAAGTTCATCAGATATCTTCGGTGGCATTGATGTCGCACCGAAGACATTCAAGAAACCTAAGGAGCCTACTCCGTACCAAAACAGCCTCTACATAAATCCTTAGGCGCTCTCGAGCTTGCTGTGTATTATAGAGATATCCATCATGTTTCCGTGTGCATTCTAGACTAGCGTTCTTGATTTTTCGTGGTTGGTCCTGGTTTATCCTATGCTTCGGCCAGTGTTCTTAAGAGACCAACTGTTTGCATACGTCCAACCGCCAATGCAAGGAGGACGACAAAGGGATGTATATTACATTAATGCTTGCAAGTAGTTTCTAGCGAATATAGTCGGTCTTCGCTACTACTGCTAGCAAGCATACAGCAACAAGCGCCCACGCCATTACTTGCGATCAACGCGAGATGTGTTCGGCGTTAACTCACCGGGTAGGGAAATCAGTCCAATTGAAAGCGGTACTCCGTACTATCTAGGGACAATATCCGACTTTTCTCGTTCCAAGGTTGTCTGATCTCGCGGAGTGGTTGGTTGCCGGGTTCCTTGGCAGAAATGACATCACCGTTGTCCTCCAGTTAAATAGTCCCATGACGCATGTCCTGAGCTCGTGAACCAACACTTCTATCCCTCCAAATTTCACATCCTACACCTTCCGAGACACTCTTCGCGACTTTAATTTCTATAACCGACATCATGAGTTACGCCGAAGCTGCCGCAAAGGGACCCAAGCAATCCCCCGAAGAGGTACGTCACTCGAATCAACCAGCTGACTCCTACCTTGCTAACCATGACCGCAGGCGTAAGTTAAGACACTAAGCAATTCGATACCAGCATCGAGCACTAGCTGACTTGATCTTGTGACAGTCGCGCCCCCGATATCAACCACGTTTACAGAGACGAAGGCGACAGCACAGCGTCCTTGATCGATGTCGACGGCCCACATGTGCAATCAGTTGAGCCCGACTTCCTGCAGCAGGAAGTCAAGACCACTACCCAGGCTGAGAGGATAGAGCGCGAGGAAGAGGAGTCGCAAGAGGCCGAAGAGAAGAAAGAGAAGGCCAAGGCTAAGGCGAAGGCGAAGGCCGAGCGCGCTCGCGAGAACAAAGGCAACCCTGTGTTCATCGGAAACGCTGCCATTATGGCCCTCGTTGGAGCGGGTCTCGGCTTCGGTGCCTACAAGAAGCACACACAAGGCAAGCTTTCGTGGGAGCTTGTTGGGCTGTGGACAGGAGCTGTGGGAGCCTTTGGTGCCATTGACTACTTCGTCAGCAAGTAAGTTTCACCTTCATAGCTAATCGTGGCATTCGGTTGCTAATCTGCTTCTCGGCAGATGGCTCCTCCAGAATAAGTACCCTCCTAAGCACTAGACTGAGGGTTCGTGGATTTTCTTTTGTTTCATCTTAATACCAGGGGTTCCGGCTGTTTGAAGGGGATACATTTCTGAGCATGGGCGTCTTTTCGATGCAATTTTCGATATAGTTCTAGGGCTTTTCCTAATAAATCTTGCTCGCGAAGACTTATTCTAATAGCCAGCATGGTGTTTCTTTCCAGTTCGTAAGCAATTCGGAGATCGTGCAATTTGATACGCATCGTAGGTGCAACCCGACGTCAAATTGCGCTTTGTTGCGTCAGGGGATGCTCTGCGATCTAGAAAAGTTGAGATACCATACCTAGCTGAATGGGAGTTCGAATCTTTCAGAGCTGCATATATATATACTTTTGACCTCGGTCTAGATTGAGCCACGCGTACCCGACATAATCAGGCTTCGTGTAAAGGCGGTGGCCCAATCACCTACCGTCTGTCCAACGTCAATATGTGGCATCATCTATAGCTTCAAAGAGAACCTTGCAGAATATTGATTTTGAACTCACCGAGTTTCCCGGAGAGCCGGCCAATATATTGAGTCCATTGTTTTCGCGGACTGAAACCCGGTTTGCGCCCGCCACTTTCATCTACTACGTATCCTTGTTGACCGGCGGTTTGCTGAACAACAACCCCAAACAAGATGGTGAGAAGACTGCTCACTGGCACTTACAAGGCACGGCTGACTGAGACTGCTCTTGGATGTAGAACTCATTGTTCAATTCTGCCCTCAAGCAGTCATCTGCTATTCGCCGTGACCTAGACACATTCGCACAATCTCCTGCGACGACACCTGCAGCATTACAAGGTAGGTCTCCGGATTGAAGCCCGCTTGGTCACTTGACGTTCGAGCGTACTCGCCCCGACCATGCGCAGGTTTTGACGTTTGAACTAGGCCAGGTCGCAGCGTCATTAGCGTCTCTATCACGAACGATTGACGACTATTCAGCATTGTCGAAGCGGGAATTGATACCGGAGAAACAAGAGAAGGCATTTGAGCGAGTGAAGAATTTCAGGGCAGAGCTACAAGATTACCGTCAACATTTCGATCAATTACGCAAGGAGAGAGAGGATGCCGTAAGTACTTCTGCTTGGGACATTGGTATTTCGACTAGCTACTAAATCACCTGGTCAATAGCAATCCGTAACAAACCGCCACGAGCTTCTTGGTCGCCGCCCGCATCACACAGCCACTCCAGAGAACCCATATGCCCAATCCTCACTACCCCAAGCTTCGCCCTTTGCGCCTTCATCATCACGATCGGGTACTGGTTTTGGGGGGTCAGACTATACCCGAGAATCTCATGCGCTGAGGGAGCAGTCCTTCCTGTCAAATACAAGCTCTCAGATTGACGATTTCCTTGACCGAGGCCGTGCGGTACTGGTTGATCTTGGTCAGCAGCGAGAAGTACTCAAGGGCACGCAGCGCCGTCTCTACAGCGTCGCGAATACTTTGGGAGTGAGTGGGGAAACAATTAGAAAGGTCGAACGACGAGCGAAACAGGACAAGTGGATCTTCTGGGCAGGAGTTATGCTCTTCCTCTTGTTCTGCTGGGCAGTATTGCACTTCTTGAGATAGCCCCTTGTCTTTCCTACTTTCGATTCAATTGTAAATACCGCAGTTGCTTGTACCGTCGGATGTCGGCTGGCTTGACAGTTCCACTAGCGCCGGCGTTATCTGGGGTTTTGGGTTGCGATTTTAGCTATGGATTATTGAGCATTGGCGAAAAGTGCTACACGAGCTTGATCGTACACATGGTGCAATTGGTGTAGCAGCGTCATGCCAAAATATATCAGCCAAAAGCGCCATGCCGTGTAGCTCCTCTTCTCCGGTTGCCATGTGACCGGAACGGGACCGATTTAAACCGAAAGGTTGGCTCACCGGGCAACCGGCTCCTCTCGTCTGTCAACGGCTTTCTTCCTCTTCTTTTCTTCTTCACTGCGATTGTCTTCCCCCACCCTCTTCATCTTCTTTTGATATTCCAAGTCCTGTATTTAGGCGCCAGATACCATGTTCGCTGCTCGCCAGTCTTTCGGTTTCCTCCAGAAGCGTGCCTTCTCGGCCTCTGCTAGCCAGGTACGTGGACTTGTCGCAGCTCGGGCTTCCGCAGCTCTACCTCGAATCCATCTATACAGACAGCTAACTCGTCCTCTTGCGCATTATCTAGGCCTCCAAGGTCGCCGTTCTCGGTGCCGGTGGTGGTATCGGCCAGCCTCTGTCCCTTCTCCTCAAGCTCAACCCCCGTGTCACCGAGCTTGCTCTCTACGATATCCGCGGTGGACCTGGTGCGTCGAAGCTTAACCGGATCACTCATTTGGACCAATTGGGCTAATATCGAACTGCTTAGGTGTCGCTGCTGACATTAGCCACATCAACACCAACAGCTCCGTCAAGGGCTACGAGCCTACCGAGAGCGGTCTTGCCGATGCTCTCAAGGGCTCCGAGATCGTCCTCATCCCTGCCGGTGTTCCCCGTAAGCCCGGCATGACCCGTGACGGTAAGGAAGCCATTGAACACATAGCTCCGAATGGAAACTGATGCTCCAATGGCAGACCTCTTCAACACCAACGCCTCCATCGTCCGCGACCTCGCTAAGGCCGCTGCCAAGGCTTCCCCCGAGGCTAACATCCTCGTCATCTCCAACCCTGTATGCATTATCAAGACTCGGAGACATGGAAATCGTGCTAACTTTTTTCAGGTCAACTCCACCGTCCCCATCGTCTCTGAGGTCTTCAAGGCCGCTGGTGTCTACAACCCCAAGCGCCTCTTCGGTGTCACCACCCTTGACGTCGTCCGTGCTTCCCGCTTCATCTCCCAGGTCCAGGGCACCGACCCCTCCAAGGAGGCTGTTCCCGTCGTTGGTGGTCACTCTGGTGTCACCATCGTTCCCCTGCTCTCTCAGTCCAACCACCCCAGCATTGAGGGCAAGACCCGTGACGAGCTCGTCAACCGCATCCAGTTCGGTGGTGATGAGGTTGTCAAGGCCAAGGACGGCGCTGGTTCCGCCACTCTCTCCATGGCCATGGCCGGTGCTCGCTTCGCCGAGTCCCTCCTCCGCGCCGCCCAGGGCGAGAAGGGTGTCGTTGAGCCCACCTTCGTTGAGAGCCCTCTCTACAAGGACCAGGGTGTCAACTTCTTCGCCTCCAAGGTCGAGCTCGGCCCCAACGGTGTTGAGAAGATCAACCCCGTCGGCCAGGTCAACGAGTACGAGCAGAAGCTCCTCGACGCCTGCCTCGGTGACCTCAAGAAGAACATCCAGAAGGGTATTGACTTCGTCAAGGCCAACCCTTAAATGATTTACGCTTGAAAATATTGCAGCGGCGTTCCTCCCTGTATAACAGTCTTCTCATCCTATCTACCCACATCACTTCCCACCTCATCGACTTGTACTACATTGGAGGAACGCGCTGCTGATAGAGTACTCTCTTATGGGGCGGTGACGGAAGATAAGACATGTATTTCGTGCCATAAAATATACATTAAAATCGTTATTTCGACTCACGATAAACTTGGTGTTTTATCTAGTAACTCCATCATTCCATGTGCCGGTCGTCATGATTATTCTTAAATCATCACATGGCCGATTAAGGTAGTACCAGTGGACAGCCCGAGCCCTGGCACAGGATGATATCTAGATCGCAAACAAATGTATTACCTAAATAAAGAACCTAGCACCGTAGCATAATCTTGATACGTATGAGAAAAAAAATCGAACCCATCATTCTTAAACCCCGGAAATCAGTGTCAATCGTAAGTCATCATTCGTTCTTTCGTTCAACCTGACAACTCTCCCACCTCTGAATCTTCTACCAACCTTTTATCGCAAACCAGGGGCCCAAAGCCCAGAATAACCAATAACGACAGTCAGAAAGCAGAGCGAGCACCTAAAGCTAGTAGCAGGCAAATCCAGAACCTGGGGGACAAAACGGACCACGGAACGAAAAGCGGAACGCGGCCATGGCCAAGGTGAACATATGCGAACGTAACAGGAGCTAAGTGTAACTCCGCATGGCGTCCACGTAACCCGTCCCGCCCCGCAGGTCGTGGTCAAACGTCTCGGCGACCTCGAGAACACGCTTGATGTGCTCCATGGATAGCGGGTTTCCTTCGTTGACGGCGAGGGCCTGGGCCGTGCGGACGGAGTTCTTGATCTATATGGTATTAGCACGGTGGAGGTAAGAACTGGAGACGGGGATGGACGGGGAAAGCTCACCTGTCGCCCGTTAAGGTTGTGGCGGCATAACATGTCAAAGTCCTTCTCCGTAAAGCTGGAGCTCTGTACTCCCTCGACGGCCTGCACCTTCTGCAAGAACATCTTCCACACGCTGCGCTTGGCCTTAGTGGTGAGATCGCCGTAGCGCAGTGCGACGTGGATGCGGGACTGGAAGGCGTCGTCGAACGTTTCGACGCGGTTCGTTGTCAGGAACAGGATCCCCTGGAAATATTCGAGCAGACGCAGGAAGATGCTGACAAGGGCGTTACGGTGGATATCCTGGATTGTGCGCTTCTCTAGGAAGATGTCTGCTTCGTCGAGGAGGAGAACTGCGCCCCATGAGTGTGCGATGTCCAGGATTTTGTTCAGCTCGCCTTCGAGTGTTCGTGAGTCTGTGCCTAATTCGCCTGCGCTGACCATGTATAGGGGTCGCTTTAGAAGCTCGGCAATGCCTTCGGCTGTTAGGGTTTTGCCGGTTCCTGGTGGCCCATGGAGGACGGCGACGAGGCCGCGCCCCTTGCCTTGGATTACGTCGTCGATGTTCTGGGCGGCGCAGAAGGTGTGGGACTCAACCAGGGCCTTGACAATAGACTTTTGGTTGCCTGGGAGAACGAGCGAGGAGAATGCGTCCTCATTCCATTGGATGTCGCTGATGCCGGAGATGCTGAATTCCAGCCAGAGTTTTTCACTGAAAGCAAACCCGAGAACAACTGGGCTTGCGATGAGGAGCTCCTCCTCTGTGAATTCTCGCTCGGACGTGTCCGGGACTTCGTCCATGACCTCTTTTTCGACCTCGTTACCATTCTCGTCCACTTCAACCCTGACCAGTTGGGGCTTGCCCTGCTTGTTTCGTACAAACTTGAGCTTTGTCTTGGGCGAGTCTGATTCGCGGTGTTGAGCGTCTGACTCGTCTGACTCGGATCCCGAGACACAACAGCACCCACCATCGCTCTCGTCTTCTGAACCGTCTAACAGATCGGGGTCCTTGGGACGCACGGTGCTAATGGGGTAGTTGGGGTTAATACGACGATGGATTGCCGGGTCAATCATGACCCGTCCATTGATGTTGACCTTGATGACGGTGCGCTTCTTTTTGTAGAAGGCCATTCCCTTGTGGAATCGATAACTCATACCCTTCAGAGACACGAATTTCCGACCACGTTCGATAAGCTTTGCCTTGACCTCCTCGGCATCACGGTGGTACTTGAGTGGGTAGCATCCTAGACTGGTGATCTTGCGGGCTCCTTTGAAAGACTCTACAATAGCTTCCATTGTTCCCATGCCGAATGTCTTGCCGTCATATTCGAGATATCGGCCCTCAACACTGTACCACTGGCCTTTCATGAAGGATGACTCCTTGACGGCGTATTCAATCTTGAATGCGCGCGGCTCGTCTTGATTACCGTATGTGGGTGCATAAGCGATGGTGTTCGGCTTGAATAGCGCCCAAAGCAGATCGAAGGTAATAGTGTTCGCTTCCAGCAATGGGTACAATGTCTTCTTCGTTTCGGCATAGTCCGTGTCCAGGTATTTGACGAGGACCTTGAGTTGATGCGCTTTGAGAGCCGCTACTTTTCGTGCTTTCTTCTTCTTCTCGGTCTTGGCCTGTTGTTTGAGCTCTTTCATGTAATCTCGGGTCTCTTCGAGATAGAGGAAGAGCATGTTGGGATCCACGACAGCAGTATCTTGCACCAAACTGACACCTTTGACCCCGTCCATAACCTTGCTCAAAGCCTCGCGGAGGTGCTTGCTCTTGAGGTCTACCACAGTTTCCATATACTTGCCCTCCCAGTCGAACTTGCGCCGGACGGTGAAAAGGTATTGATCCCACTCATTCGCGCCGGGATCATCGACGGTCTCAGTAAGCTTGAACTTGTGGATTGTGTTGTCCCATACTATCGTCTAGGGTCAGCTTTCTAGGTTTAAATCTGTGAAGAAGAGAGCACGTACGTTGGTCAACCCTTTTGAAGGCCATTTTTGTACCGGCTTTCCTTGGCAGCTTCTTCTGAAGGCCTTTCTGTAAGTAGCCTTTCTGGGGTTCCCCAAGGGCATCAGCAAGCAAATTTCGTCTCCCGCGCAGCTTGATACGTTTCCCTTCAGCCTCTTTCGTCTTGAGCTTCTCCTTCGCAAGCGCAAGCGACATATCAAGCAGATCGGCATTACTAGAGTCGAATTGCTGGTCCTCTGAAGAATCACCAGTGGTGTTAAGCATCCTGGCCTTCTTCAGCTTGCTGAGCCTAGCAACGAATTTCCTGAGCTGCTTCTCGTCGAAGGAATCATCCTGCTCAGTCTCCTCAACGTCAGACTCATCTTCCAAGTCATCGTCGTAGCGGGACTTGAATTTCTTCTTTTTATTGCGCTTCAGGCCCCGACTCAATTTGGCTTTTGTTCCCCTCCGTCGAGAATGCCGGTCGACTTCCGATTCAGAAAACTCCGAAGAAGACTCTTCCTCCTCTAAGATGGATTCGCTGGTGCTCGTGACTTCCGAGGACGAGCTTACATCTGAGGAGCTGTCGTCAGTTGGCGTGACTATGGACGGTTTCTTGCCCTTCCGCGACTTCTTCTTCGGGTCGCGTTTCCGGTTTTTGGGATCTTGTTCCTTCCCGGGATGTTTCTTGCAGGCTGTTTTCTTCGCAGCATTCTCTGAGACGGGAACAGCGGGCTTTGCATCGCCTTTAACAGCATTGTTATCGGCCACGGCCGGATCGGTCTTGGTATCGGTTGTCCCTGTGGTTGTGGAATTTGGTGTGTCGGCCATCGCTTCGGCGCGCTGGGGCACTGGAGATGGGACCCGCTGTGGAGCTTCGGGGAGCGGAGTTGGGGATGGGTTCGCGCTTGGATCTTTCTGCGCCTCAGGTCCTGCGAGAGTAGGCTGAAGACTATCTGAGGTGCAAGGAGGGGAATCAGTATCTGCGGCCATTATAAGAAGTCTACAGACATTGATTGAGGAGCATATAGCAAGGAAAACGCAGAAGTGAAAGGATACTGAGAGCTAAGGTTGAACAAGTGGAGCGGGAACTAACAGCTCCTGTGGATGGGAACGAAGAAGAGAAAAGTCTCAGAACGAAACAAAAAGGAGATCCGGACCTGACGCACCTCATATAATCTCGGTCGTCAGCTTGCCACCTTGCTTGAGGTGTTACGTGGTCCGGACTATTGGCTGGAAGAGTGAAGCTGTTCGTTCTGGCGGTGTGTTAGCCTGACCTCTCTGTAGGGAAGCTTGGACAAAACAGTACATACAACAAAGCTGAAGAACTTAGACAGACCGCAAGAGCGAGCGAAAGAAGGCGTTAATAAAGAAGAGCAAAGCAAGGTGGCCAGCTACGGTAATAGGCAGCTGACGAGAAGCCTGACCGGGCTGAGCAATAAGTGAGCGACGAGAGGCCCAAGAAATCAGAAAATCGACCGGAACCTAAAGTCAACAATGCCTGCCAGTTTGATGCCTGTTCGTTGCTGCGTCTGCCTGCGTGAGGCTGACGGAAACGAAGAGTCGTTGGCTGTTGGTAGGTAATGTGATCTCTGGAAATCTTCTCCTGCGCACCAACTCTTGCCCCACGATGCATGTCTGCCCTTTCTTGCGCTTCCATCCAAACGATCGTCAGCCTGAACAAGGCGGACGCCAGACTCGAGTTGACCTTATCAGCTTCATCCCTCATCAAACCGGTCAGTGTGGGATCAACAAACACCATCTACTTCTACGGTGTGCTGCACAGCTATAATACCACAAGCTTATAGACCAGGTCTACCCCAGAAAATTTACGGAGTATATGAGGTGGAGTGCTTCCCGACGTACCGGCCTTTGGGCGTGTTTTTGCCTTATTGACAACTGACAAGACTCCTAGCTGGCATTTTGGAGCAAGGGCCCAAGCCCGCGCTCATACGGCGCCCAGCTGACAACCTTCTACCCCAACTAGCACTTCGGCGAATTTTCTACAATGGCCATCCGAAAAAAGCAGTCCAGAACAAGGCAGCGATGTATCCTTGAACCGGTGATGATCTGCTACCAGCCTACCGATGCGAGATAGTCAACCCTGCTTACCGATACTTGCCAGATCCGGCGCTAGTCTAATCATTCTGAGTGACAGCTCATCGAGACGGCAGGGTGCTTGACCGAGAGAACAAGACTGGAAGGATGGCCGGGCAAAAGACTAGACCGTCCGGAAATCTGGAACCTCGTTACACGAATCGCTGATCGCGAAGTTCCCAGACGAAACGCACTTAAACACGATGGAGTAGAGCGGACGAATGGCGATGCTCGGCTGTTGCTCGTTGTATGCAAAGTTGTCAGTGCTCAGGGTTAGTGCAGGTACTTTCTTCCCACTCTTGTTGCTTTTTCGCCAGCCTACCAAGCCGGCGCCATCTGGTGTAACTTCTACTTCGTATCAGGATGGATTTGGAATCTTCAAGAACGATAAGTTCTCGAGCGTCTTATTACCGACAAACCTGCCTTACGGTATGGCCTCTCCAGCCGACGCGGAGGGCGCAACGCACAGCTTACCGGTAGTCTAGCCGACAATCTGGATGAGCTTCAATTGTTTGGCACGACAACTGGGCATCCGCATCGGGCGCGATTCATGAGCGGCAGATTGGGCGAGAGCCGAAGGATGCCGCTTCACTTTCTTTTTTTAGTCATGAATCGGATTGACAAGCAGCCAACTGGATACAAAGCAATCATTCAGGAATTCTCGCTTACATGTATGATAGCAACGCTCCAATCACTTTGGATTGCCGGCACCACGGCGACTGGAGCACAGAAGTATAGCAGGATCGGCGTCATCCATTGAATTACCTCCCTCGCAACCTACTTTGACCGGCTCTTTCTGCATAAGATAATGTTGATATGATCTCCAAAATTCAGCAATCAGACTAGCTTGTCTCGCTGCACAGTGTGGACAGAACTATCATTGCACTTCGTGAGCAAGGAGATAGATAGAAGGAAGAAGCACGGATTATACTGAAAGCTAGAGTGTTGGTCATCGCCTAGCAGCTTTATGACGATCAAATCTCAGTAAACCCCTGTCTTTGCTGGCACTCACTTGCATCATAAAGCCCTATGCCATATAAGGCGGCTTGGGTTCAACATATAAATTCAAAGCTACTGAACACAGGAATGATATGCTATGTTCATCTACAAAGATAGGTCAAGCCCTTATTGTACCCTTTTCAACAAAAAGGCAGACAGACAGCATGAAATTGTAGTTTATGTCAAGTAATAGGCTCATTCCCTGGCTGGACAGCCATTAGAGATACCATCCTCCAGTCTGCTCCTGTCCTTGCAAGATCTCACTTACATTTCAACGCTCTTCATACTCCTAGATGAGCGACTGGCTTGAGTCTGGCTAGCAAGACTAAGGAGATGGGTAAGATCCCACGGGCTTCAGGCAATCCTTGTTTCCTTCTCTTTCAACGCAACTCACTTTGACTCTACCGAGTATAACACTTCCCAGCAACACCACTTGTGTTCTTATACTGGTCAGGTCAAATCAAACCTCACCCTTCTACCAACCCCGTCTTCCAGGGCTCTCTTCTTCCTGTACTCTTCAACAAGTTCTCCATCTACGCCTCTCCTATCCAGTCCTAACCAATTTCCACACTCCTTCATCTACAGCAACTATCTCCCCTGCATCCTCGAACCAAAATTATTGCCTACTCAAGCCTCAGCCTCAACATCAACCAGTTGCCCACTTCGATCATGGACAACGTCGACACTGACTCGGACCTCTCTTTCCACGGCAACGAGTTTACCCCCATTAACTCTCCCCGTGGTAAGAAGATGGACGCGTTGAGAGGTATCGTGAAGAAGGAACACGGGGACGAAGACGAAGAGTCTGTATCAGCCATCAAAGATGAAGAGAGCGAGGAAGAAGTAAGTTACGCTGTGATCTACACCACCAGCCTGTACACCTGTTTCAACAGCCACCCTCTTCGACTATAGTCCTTAGCATGACCTTCGGGACAGGCGGATATTGCCTATGTGCAAACTAGCGGAGATAAGTGTATAGCACGAAAGAACCAAAGCTAACACCACTCCACCAGGCCACTACCCCCGTGAAGGCAACACCCTCGAAGAACAAGAAAGGAACACCCGGCTCAGGCAAACGCAGGGCCGCCGCCCCAGGCACAGAAGAACCCAAGACCCCCAGCAAGAAGTCCAAAAAGAGCACGGACAATGGCACTCCCGCCTCGGAGAAAGCATCCTACGCCAAATTACCTCCAATCCCGACCTCGCGCGCAGCAGCAGGCGAATGGGACCTCATGATCCTCCGCATGCGCGACGACGAAAACAAACCCTGGCCGCAGATCAACAAGGACTTCTTCGAGGCGTCGAAGATCAAGGTCGGTGGCTCGACGCTTAGAATGCGCTATAACACCATGAAGGCGAACTTCACGGGTGTCACGGAGGAAGATGTACGTACCTATCATGAACATGGCCGCAAGCAATCTTTGCTAACCACCGATATCATTGCCTGAACTAGGGAGCCCGCCTCATGCGCTTCAAGAAGGAAATCGAGGAGAAGTTTGAGCAGGAGAAGTGGCATCGCATTGTTAACGCCATTCAAGCTGATGGCGGGGATAAGTATCCTGCTGCCACCTTGCAGAAGAAATTCAAGGAGCTAAGCAAGAATGCTGCTGCGTCTGCTCAGGGTGCCGGTGATGACGAGGAGTGAAGTGCAGAGGAGGATCTCGATTTACATAAAGGCTATCTAGGGGCCTCGTTTTCTATTCCATTTCGTTTTGTTCATGCAGATACCCAGGGAAGATTTGGCCAGCGTTTCTTGCATTGCCGTGCTCTGGAGAGGGGAAAAGTTACTTATTGGGTCATGGTCGGAAATAGGAAGGCAATTCGCCTCGGGCACGCCTGTACGCAGGTTAACTGATCTTGGATTGCCAATTGAGCAGTCCTCAGAAGTTGGTCATGGTTATTTAGCAGAAACATTATTGCCGATTGAAAGCGTTCTGATCGAAAATCGCTCTCCAGTACAGTAACGTAACCCTGCCTACCTACAAACACCAGCAACAAACACACCCCAAATTCCAAAACCCCACTGCACCAAGCAAAAAAGATAAAAATAAAAGCGAGCAAGGAATGATAAGAACCGGATTGAGAGACATAAAACATGAGACCCCCGCTTTGTACCAGACAAACAACGAAGTACTGTGGACCTAACAAGAGAGACAAGATATCAATATGGATGCATCACAGAACACTCAATTCCCGCTGTAAGCTCCTAAGACTCAACTCCTCCGTCGTAGAACCATTTGTAGAGTCATCACTCGCTCGCGCAACAATCGGCGGGCGGATCTTGGTCCCCACAAACCCACGCCTATCTCTCCCTGTGCGGCCGCGCCCAAGCCAATTATGCTTGAGATCTTTGCTGAGCGTCTCGATTCGCTCCTGTGGGGTATCGTTGGTCTGCACGCTTGCTAGTACACTGACGCACTGGAGCATGCGGCCCACAGTCTCGGTGATGACGTGCGATGTGTCTGAGGCATTGTTTGCGCGGTGAATGATGGTGGGTTTCTGCGGAGGTGAGGAGAAAGACTGGAAGATAAGTTGGTCAGGGTTCGAGGAGGTATTTGAGGTGGCGCGGCTGCGGTTGTAGCCTGGTGATTCGGAAGAGTAAGAGCCAGCTGTGTTGAGGAGGTTGGACGATTGGGAGCTGTAACTACCGAAGCCGCCGTCTAGGGATGCGGCGGTGGTAGGACGGCCGCTGTTGATGGCGCTAGTGCTGTTGTTGCTGCTTTTCGTGGTGACGCTGAGAGCGGAATTGCCTAGTTTGATGCTATCCAGACTTAGGCGGGAAAAGGTGGCTTTGAGGCTGTCATAACGGTTGATGATGACCATGTCACGGAAGGCAATGAGGACGAGGTTGCGCACTTCGAGCTCGCAGCCGGGGTATTCGCCGTCTAGAGCGACCTCCCAGAAATCCTTTGCTTCTCGAACGTTCATGATCGAACCGCAGCCTTTGAATTCGAGATCGAGAGGGAGGAAGACAGCTTGAATGAATGGGAGGATTGTGCCGAATACTAGCATCCAGATCTGCACGAGATGAGGAACTAGCTTATCATCCGGTACGCCGTTCAGGGTATGATTCAATGTGGCGAACCCTGCCTCTAGGAGACCGCGTAGGTCGTCTACAATGGCTGTCGGCGTACGCCTCTGCACGCAGCGCTGTATGTGGATGAGAACGAGCTTGTTCAAGTCCTCGATAGCGATGCGCACGTCTTCGCCGTCAAAGATCACCAAGAGCTTCGCTTTCAGAAAGTCCCATGCATCTTCAGGGCTCATATTGTGAAGACCAAAACCTTGTAGTGTTTCCCGCATAGCGGCCTCAGCAAGGATGCCTCCTGTGCTTCCCAGCGACGACGGCCCAGCGAACCCTGCAGAAGCTGCCCCAGCCATTGTCGAGTTTATTAACCATTCCGGCTGTTCCTCGGCGAGCGCCTTTTCTTCTTTTTTCTTGTCGCGCAGCGCTCGCCCACCATGTAGTAAGTCCAACCCTCCCACAGACTTGCTGAATGACGTAGTGGTGGCACTGGGAGAAGCCGGAGTAAAAGAGTATAAAGACTGGGGGGCGCTAGGATCTGATGGTCTGGAGTTGCTTGCAGCAGAAGAGAGGGGCAGATTGAAATGGTCATCCTTCAAATCCTTCAGCTTCAGTTTTTGCCTTGACAAGAAATGATGATGTCGATGCGCCTTGTCCTTTTCCTTTTCCTTCTCTTTTTCCGGCACCAAAGGCTTATCAGCCGGCACCACAGTACTCGCTGACGCATTCGATAAACTGTACATAGACGAGTTATTCGACGGATACGTATCTCCCAGATTCGTCGCAGACGCACTGACAATCCGCGTCAAACTAGGAAGCTTGTTCGGCGACGGTAGTCCCTTGTCCTTGAATTCCTTGTCGCGACTGATACCAATATGCTTCGGCTTCGAAAAGAGTTTCATCTTTGACTTTTCCTTTTCGCCCTTCTTATGCTCTCGTTCTGTGGTATGCGCCTCCATCCCCGGCGGCGGTATACGCGGAAACACATAGTTCGCAGCCGTCGTTGCCGCAGCCGGTCCTACACCATTCCCTCCATTCTGATCACGATACGGCGAGCCCGCAGACCCAGGTCTTTGAGGCTGCGAAGCCGGAATCGGCGGAGGCGGCGACACGGATCCCGACCCGTCGTCCGAACCATGGCCATGCCCGTGCCCGTGTCCATGCACGGTCCGTTTCGGCGGAGGATGTAGAACCGTAGAAGACGAGTGTTGGCCTTGGCTCTGCATAGCAGCCTGGGCCGCTATTCTGGACGCCGAAAGCGTCGCGTCAGACGACGAGGCGGTCGGTAGCGAGGGCTCAAAGAACCCCTGCGAGTGATGTCGCGAGCGCTTGTACAGGTCCGACGGGTGAGCACGTCCGGACGGCTTTCTGCTCGTGGGATCATGATGCGGCATGAAGGAGGTGGGGAGACGGCCTGGGCCCTGCGCGGAGGTTGTGGCTGAGGCTTGGGCGGGTGGTGTGCGGAGGACGGTACGAGGGGAGTAGGAGGGATCCGGGTCGCGGTCGCGGTGATAGGTGGTGGTTTGGAAGGCGGTCGCATTTGAGATCACCGACGAGGCATCACTTCCAGAGGAGCCTGGACGGTCTGGGTCGTCATCGAAGTCGAAGGAGGAATGAGGAGTAGGGAGGTGTGGTCGAGAGGCGGAGCGCTCTGGGGAGACGGTGACGGGGGAGCGCAGCATTTCCAGCGGGTGGAGGTGGAGGTCGGACCGGATGAGTGAGGCTGTGTATGTAATCGGGGCAGCAAGGAGGTCTACGCCGCAGACATCGCCATGCTGATTGTGCTGAATTGACTGAGATTGACGCTATTCAAGAGAAATTGACGGAGCAGCCTGAGTTGAAAGACAGACCAGCCAGGCGATCATTAATCCTGTCGATCGGTCTCTGCTCCGCAACACTGGACTGCCTCCCGTTGCTAGTCCGCCCCGCCATCAATTTCTCCCTCCCTCCTCTTCTCGCTTCTCACGAACAGCGTCAAAGCCAACAAATCACAAGATACTCAGCATGGCTCCTATCACAGGGCCACAAAACACTCGCCTCAGCGCCGCATACAGCTCCCCCCAGCTGAACCGCATGTTCGAACACCCTATCAACTCGCCCGCACCGAGCCCCTCCGACGAAAATGTGAAGGTCAAGGTCGCATACCTTTCCGAGCTCCGAAAACTCGTTCCCGCGCTCCAAAATGACATCAATGTGTTCTTGACCGAGCGTATGGAGGAGGACAAGAAGGCTGCAGAAGCGCAAGGGCGTGGACTATCAGAAAAGGAAGCCAAAGAAGAAGAGAACTACGGAGAGGAGGTGGTCGAGGACGATGCATGAGGTGCGGGTTACTAGCCTGTGAAGGGCGTATGCCGAAAAGCTGCTCGAAAGAAATATATTGAGTCCTTGGATAATCTCACTATCCTGGGTATCAAGAACGAAAGATCCGCCATTGCACTCCAAGGCCTATCTGTATTGGAAAACAACGAAAATGCAACACGCTCTCAAATGAATCAAGAATCAACCCACATATCAACAAGCTCGAATCTATTTACCGAAAACGATACAATCATGAAGAAGACGACATGCGGCTGGCACAGCCTAGATGTACAACAGTATTACTGCGAACACGTTAGCAGAGACCAGGAAATGGAAAGGGCAGGCGGAACTCACTCGGGGAACACGTTTATCACACTACCACCAATTCGCTTGTGACAGACGCTGCACACCCGTTCTTCGGTGACAGTGACATGCCTTGATCTCGACGATCTCCCGTCCGTACCTTCGCCAACTAGCAGCTGCGCGCGTGTTTTAATGGTTTGGACCTTCAGCAGGTTGGCCGTGATGTGGCTCTCATTCAAGATTGTAGTGGCTGCACGCATGCGGCCTTTGAAGTAGAACTCGAGCTCACGGACCGGGAGAGATTCAGGAATTAACTCTAACGCAGAGTTGGCGGGCAACCGGGATCCATGCTTGGCTAGGAGTTCAAGGGCTGGGGCATATTGTGGCTTGTACCCGTGAGGCGGGGTCAAATACAAGGAAAGCAATGTGTGATAGATGGAGGGTTCATCGTCCGAGGGAGCAAGTGCGGAATACTCTGTAGCCGGTCTGCTCGGCGTTGGTGTATCTTCTGTCCTGTGAAGGTGGTTGCAGTATCTGTCGATGTTAGCATGTTGTCCGCAATCTCGAGTATATATCGTACTCTTCTGCTTTGACATAGTCTTCTAATTTGAAGACGTAAATCTCCAGTGCTTGTCTGTGTTGGCCCATCTTGCTAAAAAGTATTGCGCGAGCTTCGTAAAACTCTGGATCTATAACCAGTAAGCATGCACTCCTGATGCTTCGGGGAGACTTACCATCACGATCTAAACGACCCAGAATCTTAGACGGCGAATACTGATCGCTCGACCTCAACATCGTGATGAACTTTTCCCGCCACTCTTGATAGTCTTCCTCGCTCGAAAACTCATCCTCGTTGCCCTGGTGTTTCTGCAGCCGATCCAGATACAGAACAGCAAGCCTTTGATGCAGGTCCGGAGTCAAGTCATTCAATTCTCCAATGACATGCTCAAGATACCGAACAGCTAGCTTGACATCAATCCCTTGCAGGAAATCAAGCACTCTGTGTCTGGGCAGCGTTTCCGCATTTTCCGTATCCGCAAGGAAGATCTCCATGCCAAGGTCGGGGTCTTCCTTAACAGGCCACTCAGAGAATTCAAGAATCAGGTCGATATGCTCCGGAGACAAATGCTGCAGATAAGCGACCATCCTCTTGGGTCCGTGGAGCTGTGGCGCCGTTTCCTCTTCCGATTCAGACTGGCCGAACTTTCTGAGAAGCTCAAGAGCCTGGCAGTGCATCTTCTTTCCGTATAGAAAGTCGATGAGGTCGTTGTGGCGGCCTGTCTCCTCGAGCTTTTCCATTACCACCTCCGGATCGCAGAAATTGGCGATGCGGAAGAGTGAGCCTGCTAGGGATGGTGTGGCGTACATGTATACTCTGAACAGCGACGTATCGACGAGTCTTGCTTTCTCGCGAAGTTTCTCCCCAAAATCGTAGTCCTCTTCGTCCTGCGTTATGTCGAGTAACTTCATCACAGAATCTGTGTACTCATCGTTTGCTCCATCTGTTTGCGGGTCAAGCTTGAGTGAACCATCAGGATTCAGGAACCGCTGGAATCGCCTCCGAACATCGGCCAGGTATGCCTGCAACTCGCGAACTGCAAGGTTAAGATCCTTTCCAGTAAGAGCTTTCTCTAAGCGGGCTTCCTCCGGCTTCCCACGGATACTGCCTGAATCGCTGCCACTTCCTTCATCTCGACTCCGAAGAAAGGACATCATGGACGGAGTGTGATCCAGAGCCTTTACGGGAGTGGTTTCCTCAGAGGTATCTTCTTCGGCGGGAGCTTGACCGTCAGGAAATTTAGGTTGGTTTTCTGTCGCAGTCCTTTCCAGCTCGTCTTCTTCGTTGACAGAGGTGAGGTCGCCCGCAATGACCCTAGGGTAGAGTCGTATAACAATCTCTGGCGGCGCCGATACTTCTGTAAACAGCTCCAGCGACTCAAGGTACCTCCGCAGGCTGAATAGTCCCTGTGCCTTTTCGAGTTTGATCTCCCTTATTCGGCCTGCCTTGTCCTTAAGCAGTGCGTCTTCAAGCATACCCGCAAGACTTATAGCTTCATCGAGATATCCTTTCTCAACAAGCGAGTCAATCTGGCTGTCGTAACCAAGCGCTTCCATCCTCCATATAATGCGGTCGCTTGCGACCAGGAAACCTTTACCGGCATGCGCAAGACTTATCGTAGGTTGGCCTATGTGCATAGTGCTCGCCGATGGTAACGAAATGGATTGAAGCAGCGACAGCGTCTCGGGGTTCCGAACCTCCAAGATCCCTTTGGAAGAATCATGCAGCGCAAGTAAGAAAGGATACGAATACCCAATGTCGGCCGGCGCGCTACTCCACGGGATCTGTCGTCGACCAAGCGAGTTGCCATCGATATCCGTAAACTGCGTATTGATATCCTTAGCCAGCAACACCTGTCCCTCGCTTAGTCGCGTAGCCAGCGGTTTCGGCGCAGCACCACCGATCCCTATATAACTCATACTGGCGACTCCAACACCCGCAAGTCGACCTGTTTCCTGTCCCCCTAGGCCTCCAATGCTCCCCGGCCCGACTAAGTCTGTAACGGTCTTCGTCTCAATGTCCACCAGCACAAAATTTGAGCTTAATCCAGCCACCAGCCTTGTCCCGGAGACCCACGTAAGCGTCTTGATACCACTGACTAGCGTCAACTCCGCGGTATCATTGTCGAGCTCCATATCCCTCCACGACCACAGCAGTATCTTCCTCTTAACCGCCACCGCGAGCCGCGACACGATCGAGGGAACACCGGTTTCGGGGTCATTGACAATATTCGATGTCACAGCAAACGCGACAGCGCCTTTCGTCCGTGTAAGCTGCTCCTGAAGCTGGTAGTTCTGCAAATCGTGAATGGATACGTATCCGCCCGACAAGGAGACCAGCAGCTTCGCCTCCTTGATCAACGCCAGCTGCTCAATCTTGTACCTGGAGAACTTCTCCATTTCCCGCAGTAGATCCGTCTGTTTCGCTTTCGTCATTGTATTATCCCCGTTCCCATTCTGCGTGGGCGGCCGACTCCCGCCGTTCCCTGGCCCTGCGTCATGACCGTATCCGTTACCGTTGTTCTCCGTGGCATCGTGTTCGGCGTCGACATCGACTTCGTTAACTCGGTATATTCGTAAGCTTCCGTTGTTCAATCCGACAAGGACGCGGTCGCCGTATGCGAGGACGGATTCGATCCGCGACTTGTCTCGCGGTTTGAGCTCGACGAGCGGCCGAGCTGTGAATGCGGAGAGCATGGCTCGGCGGCGAGCTGTGCTGGTCGTGGTCGTCGCACCCCTTGACCTTCAGCGAGGCAAAATCGAGTCATGTCCGGGGCATAGACGCCGGGGTTTAGAGAGCGCAGCGTCCGGGGCAGCTCGTCATGCTGCGGCGTTTCGGTGTTGGAGCTTCGATGCGGCCGCCAAGCAAGAGATCATCACCGGGCATATACCGCCTCATGTGACAGCGGCGTGGACCATGACCAATTTCAACATTTACTAGCTACTGAAGATATAGGAGAGATTCGCTTTTCTGATGTGCTAGAATGCTGTCTCATTGCTATTACGGAGCAGCGCCTGTGGATGGAAGTACCCCCGCATACGAATGCCCTCCTGCCATTACACAGTACCGGGCCTACACTACTTGGCATTACCATCACCATTGAAGACCCTTTCACCCTGATACCAAGTCTGACAGACTCTCGCTTCAAGCAAGCGTTCTTCCTCCCAGAGCATATCGACAACTACGAAGTCCGCGCTCATCCCCGCCGTTAAGCTCCCAGTCCACTTCTCAGCAAACCGCGAATACGCCGCCCCCTCTGTCACTCCTGCGATAGCCTGCAGCAGCGTCAATCCGAATTCCGGGTTCAGTACATCTCGGCTGTCGCGATTGACAACCGAACGTCTGGTTGTTGCGTGGTAGAGATTCTGGAAAGGATAGTGCGGCGCTGTGGGCGCGTCCGTTCCGAGTGCGATGACAGCGCCGCCGTCAAGAAAGTCCTTGTAAGCGAAAGCACGTTTGCAGCGATGGGATCCGATCAAAGAAGGCCAAGCGGTGAAGTGTGCTGGATCGGAGTGGACTGGTTGGACGGATGCTATTATGCCGAGATGGCCGAGACGGGCAGCGTCGGCGGGAGAGCTTAGTTCCAGGTGTTCGATTCGGTGTCTTCGATCTTGTTCGGTTTCACTTTGATCGTTGGGGGACCGGTTTCTTGCGAGGGATGAGAGGATTTTGATGGATTGGTGGACGGCTTCGTCGCCTATGGCGTGGATAGCGACTTGGAGTCCTGCATCGTCTGCGCGCTGGACGACAGCAGACATGAGGTCCTCTGGCCAGATGGGTTGCACCGGAGATAAATGGCCTTCATATGGCTGGCTAAGGGCCGCGGTGCAGCCGTCAACAACACCATCACACATAAGCTTGATCCCTGCGATGCAAAAGTTAGGATCCTTGAATTGATGGTGAAGTTCTATGGCGCGGTCGACGTAGCTGAAGTTGACTTGTTGATCATCTGAGAAGGGAACAAGCCAGTGGGCAGCAATGTGGAAAGGTATTTGGTTATGAGCACGGTAGAGATTAAGGATATCCCAATGATCCTCAGTCATGGCCATGTCTACTGCGCCTGTGTATCCGGCGGCGGAGTAGGATTCGATAGCGGCGCGTAGGGCTTCTAGTTTGTCCTCTTTCGGCGTGACTCGGTCGAGGAATGGCCAGAGGAAGTTCATTACAGCGCCTTCACCGAGTAGGCCGGTGGCTCGTCCGGTTTCATCACGATTGATAGCGCCGCCTGGAGGGTCTGGGGTAGCATGTGCGTGCATCTCATCAAGCGCCGCGGAGTTGCACCAGGTAGAGTGAAGATCCGCTGCCTCGATATAGATAGGACGTGGATCGAGATCATCTATCATGCTCGCCAGCGGTTCTCCATTAACTGTTGACTGGATCCAGCCGCGGCATAGAATGCGAGGGGCAGAAGGATGTGAGTCGGCATAAGACTTAACAGCACCTCTGATTTGTTCCAGAGAGGTGCAGTTGATCAAGTCGACTTTGCACAGGGAAAGTCCGTACTGAAGGATATGGACGTGAGCGTCGATAAAGCCGGGCATCACGATTCGGCCCTGGAGGTCGATGATCGTGGCATCGCGAGTTATGTTGACATCCTCTGTCGACCCAACCTGGACGATTCGGCTCCCCTTGATCACCATGCAAGAGACGAAACCATCGCTCCCTGGAGCCGAAGTCGGCGAGAATATTCGGGCGTTCTTGAAGACGGTCGTCATTTAAACAGGTTGAAGTGTAGATGTATGCTTGAGTGGCGGGCATGAACGCTTATTAAGTCTGGTCTCTTAGCTTGTCAACTAATGACTGTTGGCTGCAGCTTTCCACCTTGCACGTTCAATCCGATTCCTGCCCATGATACTGGGTTGAATCAGTCCTGGCTCAACGTAACCTTAGGTTTTCGACGTCGGCTAGCTACTTGAGTGTAAACGTTGATTCCCGACCCTCAATGACCCTCACAGCAGAGCCACACTAGAAAAGCAGGTCTCAGACGACACGATGGCTTTCTGAGTCCAGACCAGTGCTCAGCGCCATTTTGTGCTAGACCAAGCTGTGATTGCAGGGTGGATTGTTCAGTGGTTGTTTGAGGCAATAAAGGAGCATCGACAGGTAATAATGAAGTGAGGGTCTCGTGACTCATCATTTCTATAGTGACAGGGCGGGTCTCGATGAGTCGACTCCTTCCGGACCGCGCCAAGTCTGTCCATTTAGTACCGGCTTCACCCGATGTGCCCCGGGCAGTCATGCGGGCATCTCAAGCGGTCGATCCAATGCTGAACAACAGTTGACGAATCTCGGCTCAGTTCAAGTGAAAACTGAATGACCGGCGCCGCGGCTCAAATATTAGCTCCTGAATATATTTGCTATATAACCTCGTGTACGGCTGAGGGGTTGAAGCCTTGCCCCTTTCTTCGACTCGGGCTGCCCCGCGTTACTTACTCAATGACCTCACCGCAATCCAAGTCCGCATTGACATCCACCCTGATCTGCTGCTATTGATCGTGTGATATTTTCCCTGGTCGTCTGTTGGTGAAGCTGAAAACACCGGAATCCTGTGGGAGAAATTCTGTAAGAACTAGGCAAGGAAATCGAGCACCAAGGGCCTTGAGAAACCCCCCAATAATCTCCTCTCCGCATCTCCGTCTCCGATACGCAATTACGCATCTGTCCGGTCGGGTGGTCTGGCCGGGGTCTGAACTGGGAACATCATGTCGTCCAAGACTTTCTTTGCCAGCGTACGTACTTTGTTTTGTCCGTCTTGTTGTTTCGTTCTTATTATGCTCTCGTCCTATTTACGTTCAAAGGCTAACTAGTCATAGTCAGATGACTCGAAGATATGTGTCGTCATGGTTGGTCTACCGGCTAGAGGCAAGAGCCTTATCGCCGGGAAAGGTATGTCGAGTCTACCTGGAATTAGGCATATCTGACACTGACGGCCTCAGCCATGCGGTATCTCGGCTGGGTTGGCATCCCAGCTCGTGTATTCAACGTGGGAACCTACCGCAGAAATGCAACGCCACAGCCAAACGCTAACTTCTTTGATCCTCACAACTCAGAAGGAGAGAAGATGAGGCGGGCTGCGGCCGAAGCGGCCATGGAAGATATGATCAATTGGTTCAACGCCGGCAAAGGCGTTGTCGCCATTCTCGATGCCACGAATTCAACAAGGAAGCGACGCCAATGGATTTATGAGTCATGTCGCGCAGCGAATATTGAACCCCTCTTCGTCGAGTCAATATGCGACGACGAGGATCTAATTATGAACAACATCCTGGAAGTGAAGACCACGTCTCCCGACTACAAGGGGCAGGACCCCGAAGTCGCTGCATTGGACTTCCGAAACCGAATTCGAAACTACGAGAAGGTTTACGAGGGTATTGGTGACGATGAGAACCACTATACCTATGTAAAGCTGATTAATGTTGGCTCTACCGTGGTCATAAATCAAATCAAAGATTACCTATCAAGTCGGCTGGTGTACTATATCCAGAACCTTCACATCAAGCCACGATCAATTTGGCTCTCTCGGGTATGTAATCCAAGTTATGTTGAAATGATAGGCTAGTCTAACCTTATTTAGCATGGAGAATCAAAGTATAACCTGACAGGGAAGATCGGAGGCGATGCGAGTATCTCTGACCGGGGAGAAGCTTATGCTCGAGCTCTACCCGGCCTACTAAAGAAATCAGGCGTACCGCCGAATACAAAGATCGTGATTTGGACGTCGACCCTCAAGCGTACGATCCAGACCGCTCGTCACCTTGCTGCGGAAACAGGCTACGAAAAGCTAGAATGGAAGGCTCTAGACGAACTTGACTCTGGAGTTTGCGATGGCCTCACGTATGAGGAGATTGCCGAGAAATACCCGGAGGACTTCGCAGCTCGGGATGAAGATAAATACAACTACCGCTATCGCGGCGGAGAGTCTTACCGGGACGTCGTGATTCGTCTTGAGCCTATTATCATGGAGTTGGAGCGCAGTGAAAACGTCATCATCGTCACTCATCAAGCTGTCTTGCGTTGCATCTACTCATACTTCCTGAACGTCGCCCAAGAGCAAAGCCCATGGATGGAGGTTCCTCTGCATACACTGATCAAACTAACACCTCGCGCATATGGAACCGAAGAACAACGCTACAAGGCCGACATTCCCGCTGTATCGACCTGGCGAGCCAAGGGGACATCTGCAAAGCACCAGGACTTTCCCAGTGAGGTGAAGGCATAACACCCGTCTGTCGGAGACTGCCCTTATAAATACGTCAGGCCACGGCCCACTATCTTCGTTTTCCGCTATTTCTCCTCTCTAAAAGCCTGCACTGGACCTTGTTGGAAGTCATACTTCTCTTCACTCTTTGCTATTATTTCAGGTCGGCATTATCATTAGATGATCATTTTTGTCGGGTCACAAGAGAAGGCGTTCAATGTTTTTGTTGTGTTGCATGTTCCTCTCATCTGGGGGAGTTGATTGATAAGTTGGGCATGGAAATAGTCATTTTTTAGCACATCGGAAAATTATGTAGATAGATAGACTCGAACTTGAATGGAGACTCGAACCCCGGTAACTTATCACTCAATTATGTGCGTATGTATTTTGTAAAAATTATTCCCATCCAGACAATGCTAGGTATCTACCCAAGGTATCAGTATCAAGCTATGCATGCCAAAGATTCAATGCTGTATATGTACGTATGCCATGAAATGCAATGCCATATCCCATTTCATTATTTTCGTTGAGCCCTTGCCTTCAACGCCAACAATCCCTGAACAACACAACTTTTATTCTTGCCCAATAGCGGCAATTCAGACCACGCCCATCCCTTGATAGGCGCAATTATGCCTCAACAGCCGTCTCGCCCGCCGCAGCAGGGGCAGGGGCAGGAGCATCCTGCCTCCGGGTGGAAGGTCCCCACCGAGCCCCGGGTCTCCTCTCCTCGGACCCGTTCTCGCCGCTCTTCCATGTCTCGCCGCGAGCCCGCTGCACGCGGATAGGGTTGCCCCAGGGGCCCTCGGCGCCGTTTAGCGCAGCCATGGCGTTCTGCGTCTCCTCGACCGTCTCGAAGTCCACGAAGAGGTAGTAGTGGTCGCCGGGCTCGAAGCGCTTGGCTGGGTGTGGGGTGAAGAGCTTGGAGACGTTTGTGCTGCATACTGTTAGCAATGCTTCGATTGGAATGGATTGGATTGAGAACGGGAAAGGTAAAGTAGGCAGGCTTACACAGTGAAGTCCTTGAAGAATCCCTTGATGTTGATAGCGAGGGCGTCCTGGTCTGTGAGTCGGGGCAGATTGCCGACATAGAGACGTTTGCTGGGGTCTGAGTTGCTGTTGGTGCTGTTGGAGTTCGTGCCAAAGTTCAACGCGCTTGGTTTCGTGGGCGTCGTGGTGGTCGAGCTGGAGTTCTCGTCCCTCCTCCATCGGTCCGCGTTGAATGGCGATGAGCCCGTTCTGTTTGCGCGCGGTGACCCGGAGCTTGATCCGTCGCTTGCACCGAGGCCGCCCATTCCCATACCCAGTCCAGTCCGTTGTTGCTGCTGCTGCTGGCGCTCACTTGCGCTCTTCACGACACCAGGCTTGATCTTCACGGGCCGTCCGAGCAAATCGCTTCCGTCGAGTTCGGCCATCGCGCGCTCGGCGAGCTCCTTTGTGTTCAGGTCCACGAAGCAGTAGGAGGGGTTGCGGCCGGAGAAGGGGTCGACGGAGATGTCGATGCGGGAGCTGTACTCGGGACCATCATTAGCACATCCCTCTCTATCCTCGAGTTTGCTCCAGAGACTATGGGGTAACGTACACTTCAAACCCACCCTTCGTGAACAATGCCGAAACATCCTCCATCTTTGCCGTGTAGGGCATGTTTCCAACATATAGTCTGCGTCCCTCGGAGATAGCAGCGGGCACTTCTCTCTGGCGTCCGAATCCGGGGGTTCGCCTGGGTGATTCGGTCTGGTCCTGGCTGGGAGTTCGGGAGCCAGCACCGGAGGGGCTCTCTTCACGCTTCATGCGCCAGTTGGGCGAGTTGAACGCGCGGCCGTTCGTTCGGACGCCATTTTGGAATTGTGGCTTTTGGGGGGCTAGAGTCGCTATATGTTAGCGAGAGAAACATAGGTAAAGGGCTGCATCTCGTCCGGGGGGAAGCCCTGAGAGCAGCGCTCATAAGCGGAAAAAAGGAAGTATTCACTTTGTTGTTGTTGCGATTGCTCGGGGGCGTCCATTTCTGCGGTTTGTAGAAGGTGGTTTGTGAGATTATATGTCTGTGTTGAAGAGGGTTGTCAGCACCTATCGAGCCATGTCTAGCAGCCTCCTATCAATGTCCAATCTTTCCCCAGTCCCATTCAGACAACGCGGGGATGACATGAGGGGAATCAACAAGTATAGCAGGTAGATAGTTTCTTACCTCGACTCTCAATGGCACTCAATCAAGCAGATACCGACACAATGAAGCAATCTCAGTCTCAGAGAACAGACTTCAAACCCCAATCAATCTCGAACGGAATATAAAATGTTGCCTGACACGGAGCCCTGTCAAACCCTGCGCCAAAAAAATTAGAATCTAGAATTTAGTATCTGCTGCAAACACGCCAAACACCGCAGATAAAAGAGACAGGTGGGGATTCCGGCGAGAGAACATCCTCCGATTGGCGAGGTAAGCGAGTGCTAACTCCCTTTGGCTAGTCTCCGCCGGCTGATCGGAGATTTCAGCTGTTGACTTTTTGCCCAAGTGAACTTCATCCGTTGATCCTTCATCCTCGTCCTCGAAACTTCGACTTGGGACTTGGGACTCTTTTATGCGAGAAGGTCCTAGGCTATGATGCTCCATTAGTATACGTCTCTCTCTCGACTAGCATCTCAAAGGTACGAACGCGAACGACATGTCTTTTTCCTCTTCTTTCCCTTCCCAGCCAAATGATGAAGCAAGATTTCACACAGACCTGTTCTGAGCATTCTTCGGAGTATGCGGATCAATAATCGTACCAACTGCTGTCTGACATGGCTTTTTCAATCGCTTTGCTGTGCATGTTGTTTTGGTGTCCGTCATATACTGACTGGCCTTTACAGATACAGATACATATCCCAAGTTGTCGCTCGTGATCAAGAAAGGACTCGAAATAGGTAGACGGGCTAGCTGAAATGAACATCGTGTTATCCATACAAATACACCGGGTATATAACTCTCGGAAAGCCAAACGTTCTCATGATATATCGTATACATTCGTAACTCGTCAGACGTTAACCGTTTCTTTAATAATGGTGTCATGTTGAGGTCAGAGTCAGATCAGACCAAGCCAACCCCAGCCAGATTCTCAAACGAGTAATCCCGCTCATACAGAATCTCCGGCTGCACATTTCTCCTCAGAACAAACCTCTTGAAGAAGAACGGGATCTGACGCAGCCCGTACCGAGCATGGAACCTCGTGCTCACGGAAAACACCTGGTCCAGCTCCTCGAGCGTCTTCCCCTTCGTCTCAGGCATGAACATGAGTATCAGCAACCACCCCACAATGCACCACCCGGCGTACCAACTAAACGCGCCTTGGTCCTTGAACGCGATCCGCAGTGACGGCCACGTGATCGCGAGCACAAAGTTGAACAGCCATGTTGTTGCAGTCGCCAGCGCCATCCCGTACGACCGGACGTACAGCGGATATGCCTCTGCGGAATATGTAAAGGGGACTGGACCCTCGCCGACGGAATAGAACACGCCGAATAGGTATGTTCCTAGCGCAGTGCAGCCGAGGCGCGCGTTATTGCCCGTTTCCTCGGGGATCCAGAAGCTGAAGCCCGTGAAGAACATGGAGAGCGCCATTAGCGGGAAGGTGCTTAGGAGGAGGTTGCGCCGGCCGAAGGTGTCGATGGTGTAGACGGCTGGAATTGCGAACAGCCAGTTTATCAGGCCCCAGCCCAGCGAGGCGGTTAGGGCTTTGCGTTGGTTGGAGACGGTGAGTTTGCTGTGTTCGCTGGCCGTTTGGAGGAAGATTTCGGAGCTGTAGTAGGCTATTACGTTGACGCCGCAGAACTGGATACGTAATAATGTTAGCTGCATATGGGATGCTAGAGGAGTTGGGATGCGGCGTACCTGCTGCATGAACATGACAATCTCGGATGCGACCATGGCCCGCCGGTTACGCGGGACATTGATCAGTTCTAGCAGCTTGTTCTGGCCCAGCTTCATGGAGTTCTCGGCTTCAAGCAGTGTGTACATGTAGTACATATCGCGGGCCGCCTGGACTTTGTTGAAGCGCAGACTGCACATTGACCGGTATGCGCGGTCGTACAGATTGCGGGACATATACCAGCGCGGTGACTCGGGGCACGTAAAGACAAAGCAGCAGACGATGACTGCGGGGAGAAGAGCGGAGGCCAGCATCAGACGCCAATTTAGGCCAACGATGCCGGAGGAATCAGGGACCTGGAAGAACGCTAAGTCGGCGGCATATCCTGCTCACGTTAGCCCTATCTCGCTTGACGTCGCCAAAAGCCTACCGAACATGATTCCAAAAGCCGTCCACCTGGAGTCTGTTAGGTGATACTCTAGTATCTTATCTTGAAGGACTTACATTTGCCACTGCATTACCAAGGCGCCTCTTATGGCTGGAGGAGCTGTCTCACTGTAAGAACTTGTTCGACCGCATTGAACGCTTCAAGTCTTGAGCTCACCTGTCTCCGCTGCATAGACCGGTACTGTTGCGGACTTCGGACCGATTCCAAAACCAAGCGCAAAGCGGGCGATGAACAACGACCACCAGGTATTGCAACATCCTTGCCAAAGACATGTCGTCGCCGAGAAGATGCAAGTGATGAAGATAGTTCCCCGTCGGCCAAACCAAGAGTTGAAGGGAACCGTCAGCCAACACCCGACAACAGCACAACATAGGTACGGAGCGGCATTGACCAATCCCGATATCCAATTATGTCTTGAGATGGTCTCGTCTGCAATTCCAAACTGATGCTTGTAGAAGATCTGCGCGCCGTTTACCACGGTTTCGTCTGACAAATTAGTCTCCGTACTGACACTCGGTGTAGTTTGACCAGCCTACTTACCCATTCCCTGGACAGCAGCTGATAATGAGCACAAGATGATAACTAGATACATTGTCCAAGGTTGTGACCAGCGGTGTTCAAACTCATGTCGCAAAACCTCGAGTTCTTGCGCGGTCAACCCAGGGACGTTTTCGAACTTCTCTGGCGCCTGAGCCAGCATCGCCCCAATTCCAAATGCCCGAATATCGCCCTCTTCGCCAATGTGGTTTGTGATGGCAAAGTTGATTCCCTGTCTGCGCAGCTCTTCATGCGAGTATCCAGCAAGCGGATTCGCCAGTTTCGCATTTAGGTTCCGACGAGCACGCTCTGCAGCCGTTGCGATTGCGCGCCGAGGCACGAAGCTGTCTTTTCGCTCCGGCGCATACTCCACATTCTCCGCTCGAGGCTGAACGAGGTCGCCCAGAGGGCTTCTTGTAAAATCTTTGCCTTCCATATGCGCGCGCGACGTAGTTGCGATAATGTTCGGTGGAGAGTGGATGGCGCAAGGCTGGACCGTCTATATCAGAGCGACAAGACCTCGCCCATCGAATGACACAGTGACATGGGCGGATGATCAGCGCCAATCTCGGAGATCGGATGACGCCAGGCTGGGCTCATCAAAGGCGAGAATAAACAGGCTCGAGGCCTGCTACCCTAGGATTCTGGCGCTGGCACAGACAGGCACGGACAAAGAATAAACCTTAGCCACGCGGGAGAGCAGATGGGCACGTCCCACCGGGTTTCACACACAGGGCAATCCTTTCACTTGTCTTCGCATGCGTAGATAACTAACAAAGGGTGCCACCACCACGTGTATCTAAATCAAGCTCGTAGGGCGCTGGACAAGTAAGATAGAGATGAAAACGGTCAGAGATCTCCAGATTCGGAGAGAAGACATTGTGAGATGAGACGGTGCTGGCGGACGCAGGATTAAGTGAGTGCCCTGAAAGCAGCCAGTGCCCCGAACGGGCTGAAGGGCACGAGATGACCCGGCTCGTTAAGAACCGGGCGATCATTCGCTCGCAACATAATTGCTGGTGACAGCGCTTGGTCAGTGATCGTCAAGCTGTCGTGATTGGAAGACGGAAGAACAGGTGCAGCTGGGAAGCAGTGAGATTCGCATTCTGTCCAATAAGACTGCCATCGATGGCGAGAGGCTGTCTTCAGGCCGGAACTGGCACGGTCGGGCTCAGGCCCGTGGCGGTGGACTCGGACTCGAACGAAAACAGCTTGTCCCTCGAGCAAGAAGCGGAGGACAAAGACAGGAGAGTCGCTAAGAATAGTTGATTCGATTCGTGTTTGGGTGCGACAGGTCGGGAGGATGGACGCAGACGTCGCAGAGGCCAGAGTATGCGGCTGCGCTACAGTCCACTGTCACCGTAGCCTACGCTAGGTAGACGACAGGTCGGACTCGGTTTAGTTGCTTTTTCTGCTTATTCGATAATCGGATAAATGCTTGCGCACAGCTGACTAGCAGGAGAGTGCTGGTCAATATTGAATCATTGATACCAAGACTTCCCCAGAGGGCCCAGACCCGCTCTTATCGCTCTCCATGCGGGGAATCGCAGGCGGTTATGGACTGGCAGGCGGATCGACCGCCAGCATTCGGATGCTGTTCCGGACATCGGAGACGACAGCTGGCTCAGCAGCTGGCACTGGCAGCTATTGGAGAATAGGGTAGATTCATACGGGGTAGCTCACCTTCCGAAATGAAGTCATCCAACTCTTCCCTTCCTAGCTCTGTACAATCCGATCGGAACCCGGCACGTTCACCAGATATATAAACCTCCGTCCACAGTGTAACCATCCAATCTCCACGACACTCTCCTAATCTCCTGAGCACAATCCCCTCAGCTGCCATTGCTTTAATTTGAACAAAACCCAAGATGCTCGGCAAAATCGCCCTGGAAGAAGCCTTTGCGCTCCCTCGCTTCGAAGAAAAGACCCGCTGGTGGGCGTCGCTCTTCTCCACAGACCCCGAAACACATGTCAAGGAGATCACGGACATCACCAAGATCCGCATCGAGCACGCAGACAAGCATGGCGTCGGCTACCAGATCCTCTCTTACACTGCCCCCGGTGTCCAGGATATCTGGGACCCGGCCGAGGCACAGGCGCTAGCCGTCGAGATCAACGATTACATCGCGGAGCAGATCAAGGAGCGGCCTGATCGATTCGGAGCATTTGCGTGCGTACCTTCTCCCCCAAAATACTTCTTCTACGCCTGGATAGATGAGCCAAGCTAACACACGCAGAACCCTATCAATGCACAACCCGCAAGAAGCAGCCACCGAACTCCGCCGCTGCGTCGAGAAACACGGCTTCCTCGGCGCCCTGGTAAACGACACCCAGCGCGCCGGGCCCGACGGCGACGACATGATCTTCTACGACAACGCCTCCTGGGACATCTTCTGGCAGACCTGCACGGAGCTCAACGTGCCCCTCTACCTGCACCCGCGCAACCCCACCGGCACAATCTACAACAAGCTCTGGGCAGACCGCAAGTGGCTCGTTGGGCCGCCGCTGAGCTTCGCGCAGGGCGTTTCCCTACACGTCCTGGGCATGGTCACCAACGGCGTCTTTGACCGCCACCCCTCCCTCCAGATCATCCTGGGCCATCTGGGCGAGCACATCCCCTTCGACATGTGGCGGATAAACCACTGGTTTGAGGACCGCAAGAAGCAGCTGGGTCTGAGGGAGACGTGTAAGAGGACGATTCGGGAGTACTTTGCGGATAACCTGTGGATTACGACGAGTGGGCATTTCTCGACGAATACGTTGAAGTTCTGTATGGGGGAGGTTTCGGCCGATCGGATTCTGTTCTCTATTGATTATCCGTTCGAGACGTTTAGTGATGCGTGCGAGTGGTTTGATAGCGCGGAGTTGAACCTTGTGGATAAGGCTAAGATTGGGAGGGAGAATGCGAAGAGGTTGTTTAGGTTGGGGGCTTATAAGGATTCGGAGGCTTGATTTGGCTTGATTTGGTGTTTACTTTGACCTTACTTCTGAGACGAGATGAGCTTGTCAAAAATCAGAGAGAAGTGAGATGACCAAACAATAGCGGAGTATGGATTATGCGTAAGGTAACCTAAAGGGTCCAAGGGCCAAAGTATCCAGCGAGGTTCTATCCAGGAACAGTGGACCAAGTACCTTCAGACTTGTTAGCCCTACATGACCGGCCCTGCACTGCGGCCCAGTACATGATGGCCTCCCAAAAGTCAAGCCATCAGTTCCATCTTCCTTCATTCCAAGGCATCGACCATGGTCCCGTCCAATTGGGCCATTGGCCGAAGCGGATGATAATAATAGCGATCATGCGTGCTCGGGGGGATGGGTTCTCCGAGAGAGATTTTTGTTTTCACATGTTTTTGTCTTTTGTTGAGTAGGACACTTTTTTCGATGAGTTTTTGTTTTTTGATTTTTTTTTGTGTTTTTGTTTTCTTTTCGGGATAAGATATAGCGTTCGCTTTGCCTTGACTCAGCTCTCACTCTGAGCTTAGAATTGACCTCATTCACACATCAGAAGTGAGAGTCCTGATGGTGCCCGCGATAAATAAAAGCAGAGGGCGAGGCTTCACGTTCGTGGTCACGGTCTGACGAATTGCCTCGACGGGTAACAGGACGCGGCATGGGAATCGGCATAGCGACACGGCGAAGCTGAGGACGAACGGCAACAACGCGAAGGGGACGGCCAGTATTCTCATCCTCACCCGCTTCAAAAGTGAAGCGCGGGTACTCAGGCATCGGCGGCAAGATGGGCGAATTGTTGTCATCGCGCTCAACAACTCGCCGCTGCGGTGCCGAGACCGCGGGCTGTTCCTGTGCCTGACTATGGTCAAGGATAGGATACTGAAATTGGATGACTGAGCGCGGGATCGTGGAGAGGGAGGGTTGGGGACGAGGTTCGGCGAAGGAAGGCACATTGTTGGCAGGGTCCTCATATTCGCCATTGTCGATGGAGTTTTGGCGGCGCATGTGCGCTATGGCTTCGAGGCGGGCTGTGAAGGTGTTCATTGGGGCTTGAGGGTATGCGTCCTCGTGGTCGTGCGGAAGCCAGTCGCTACCGTTATCATCAAGGTCGTTTGCAACCGCATCTTCGGCGGCGTTGAGATCCAAGATTTCACTGTCCATATCATCATCATGCTGATGCTGCTCCGGCTCCTGGGGATGCTCGGTGTGAGGGAGCTGGACGCTTACAGCGTGAGTGGTCTCATTTTGACAGGTGGGACTGTGTTCCTGGAGACGCTGGTCTAGGAATGCATGGCGGGGCACGGGAGGTGGCTGGACATCATCATGTTCAGGAACATGCTGGGCGCGCTCTGAAAGAGCAGGTTGAGATGCCTCGCCGTTCGCCCGACGGATTTCGTCCCAACAACGGTTGAACTCAAAGCTGGACATGACCTCAGTTGGGGCGTATTCGGTGTCCGAGTCATTGAGATTGTCACCACTGTGATCAGTGCGATGACTCCCGAAGCTGGAGCTTTGTGCAGCCATCGTGTAAGAAGACTGGGAAGAGAATACATGGGATTCTTGAGCTACAGTGTGCGACGATTGCAGGTCACGACGGTAACTGCTCGGTATTGGGATAGGACGCGCCAGGGTAGCTGGCTCGCTGGTTGGACTCACAATGAATGGCGAGGAACGGTAAACCAGAGGAACATCGGATGGTCCAAGACGCTCATGGGTCGTTCGACGACGAGGCTGTGACCTGGGGACCTGGGGGCGATGCAACGTCCTGTCAGCGGAGCTGCGTTGATGAGAAGGCCCATCGCTAACGCCATGAGCGTGATCTTGTGATTCGTTGCCTGCAGGGTAAGCCGTCAACACAATAGGGTTGCGGCTCTGGGAATCGTGGCGCTCAGGCGTAGTCTCGGCTTGAGCGTCACCAATGATAGAAGCCAGTTCTTTGTGGATTTCGCTCTGATAACGCTCGTGCTTGGGCTCACAGGGAAGGTAGGCTGGCTCGTTGATGGGCTGGCCGTAGGGATCATCTGTACGCGCCATCTGGTCGACGACAGGGCGGATGAAACGGTCACCAATATCGCGATTGATTTTTCCGAGGACCTCATAGTCACGAACCATCTGTGCAATCATGTTGTATACCGCATTGAGGAGATATGAGGACCGCTGAAGGGTCGGAGGAATGTTCGGGATGTGTTCGACAAGGAAGTTGTTATACATGACGTGGAAGTCATCGTACAGCCAAATCTCGAAAAACTCGTTGAACAGCTCGAAGAATGTCTGCTCACTGGGCCGGGCATGCTTGAGGTACCTATCAGGTCGGTACTAGAGTTAGCTCAGGTGCCGTATTTGAAAGGAGCAGAAAACCTACTGAATGACGACCTCGGCCATTCCCTTGAACCGATCCAGGAGGGTAAGTCCAGGTTTCGCGGCGATTTGGGAGATCACGACTCGAGCATGTTCTGCATTGTTCCTCTCACGAAATATGAGCCCGCCAACAACCGACAGATACTCAATTATCTTCGTGGTGTGATGGAAGACCGTTTTCATCTCCTTTTCGGTGGTATAGCGAAGAGGATCTTTGGGGAAGCCCTTGCCGCGGAATAGAATATACTCCATGTGCATGATCATATCAGTGACAGCAATAAACTTCCTGCTGAAGCTCCTAGGAACATCTTTTCGCTCCTTGAGGAAATGATCAATCCGCTCACGGATAGCGCGCTTGTGTGCTTCATGCTCAACGCAGAAGTGATCGTGATGAGACACCTCGGGACATGGGTCGACACCTTCAAGGGTGAACATGGAAAATCGGCTGCGAGCAGTCTCTTCTTCCTCGAGATAGAAAGCTGGCCCATGGATTGCAGTAACGTGATCGTTGATTTCGTTCATGCGTAGAATCTCTTCAGCCACTTTTCCCAACGCATGCTTATAAGCTTCCTCCTGAGCCCTATAGGCAAGATCAGGAAGCTCAGTGCTCGACTCATCTAAGTCGGGAAAGGGCTCCGTAGAGATCGTGGAAGCACGAGAACGGGGGTGCAGAGGAAGGATGGTGTCCCCCTCGCTGGTCATAGAGCTCTCGGACGAAGTAGTAGTGACCACCTCGTTCTGAGTGTTCCCATGCTGTTGTCCATAGTGCTGAACTGGGAAAGAATGAAGATGAGTTTGCTGGATCTCTTGCTCCATCGAGCTATCGTCTTCGGGCTCATCAGGTATAGGGGACAGAGTAGGAATTGCCGCTGCACATCCCCCAGATGCGCGTCTGGAATACGGCGGAGACATGACCGATGGGACGTAGAGGAACAGCTTCAATGAAGAACGAAAGAAGTTTGTAGCGATTGAGAGTTTTGCTTTGAAGCAGGAAAGAAAGTATGGAGATAGGGTTAGATGAACGGCGTCAAGGACAGAAAGAGTGTTTGAAGTGCGAAGTGCAAAGAGGGAAAGTTCTGAAAAGTGCAGAAGATCATATCATTGACATGGAGAAGAGATTTCTCATGAAGATTTGTCTCTCTTGCCTTTGTGTTGCTCAGTATAATTCACGCATCTTCCATTTCTTAGCGCCATTTGACCTGCAGGAGAACCTGGAACACCAGGCAGAAACGGATTTAAGAGGAGATAGCTTTGATTTCCGCCAATGAGCGTGAAGTTGTGTGAAACAATCTGTCCAGCCTTTTGATACTCCACCTGGCAAGGGCCATGGGCCTGTTCGTGAAGAGCGCATTGAGGGTCTAGACAGGCCGTCTCAGTGAATACCTCGAGTGAGTCAATGATAAAAAGTGCTGAGCCTCAAGATGACTTGTATCAACCTTCCACCTGCAGCCAAAAGAGAAAAGGGCAAGTTCGCAAGACCGGAAAGAGTCGAGGGGCTTGCAAGTTGATAGGGCCTGAGACTGAAGTCGACAAGTAGGTAGATCAGAGATATGCACATGTGAATAACTGCGAGAACCAGATTGCGTCGAGCCCACTTGTAATATCAAAGATATCCTTCACCGTGGCTTTGCAGACACTCATTCCCAGCCACTTCTGCCTCAGGACTTTGCTCTAGAATATTCGCTGAGGATAGTAGTATGGAGACGTTGAAGGAGGAACATCTGACTGCAACTTGTAAGCACTGGAAGCACTGAGAGAACGCTAATGAGTCTGAAGGTCTGTCTGAACTGAGATATTCATTTCTAGTCCATTTCACTAAATAACAAATGATGTACCGCACCTCAATCGAAAACGCTCGTAGCAAGAGCGCCGTAATGGCGAGAGCGCCGGAATGGATCGAGTTTTGCAGTTCGACCCTCCCACAAAGGATACCTGGTTTGACGAGGCAGAGGGACAGTAGGGAACAGAACGTTCCCAATAGTATCTACCTCCCAGACTCCTCTGAGGTTAAGAGGGACAGTGTCGTTATTCGCACGTTGACTAATTGGCACGTCATTGAGAGGAGCGTGACAACTTAAAGTTGTGCGTTGTCGGCATACATAATTGCGCTAAACTGGAACCCAGACCAGCAACCAACTACTCGGGATTCGGCCGGGTTTCCTTTGCAGCGTCTATTTCTTCCTCATCATCAGGCGACGGAACGTCTATCACACGCCCACTGGCCTTGTCCAACGCCAAGCGGCTCCAGGCCCTGACGCCTTTGTACACAGCCTACCAGCGGTCAGCGGACGTCGAGAAACGGTTTAAATGGGGAGTCATACCCAGAAAAAACTGGCGATACCGATTACGACAACAAGCCAACGTATAGAAGACATTCGATCTCTTCCGGTGTTGCCGCGACCACGCGCAATGGCGGACGATCGTACTGAGTACCACGGAGCAAGCCCCCAAAGTGCCTGAATGAAACCTAACAGTCCTAGCGACGTCATTCCCTTTAGAAAGTGCTCGACCCAGGTGGGCTTTTTGGTGCCGGCTAAGCTACTGCCTTCCCAGAAATCGCCATAATATACCGTCTCCACGGGGTCGATGTAAAAGTTAATGATAGGGTCAGCAATGAAACCAAGCAAGAAAATAGTCAACATTAAGACGAGGGTAGTCAGAGCCACCTGGCTGAGTGTGCTATTAATCCAACGCGACCAGGTGAGGCGCTCTAGCCGGTATCGAAAGCCACAGGTCGGGCAATTGTAGAAGCGTGCATTATCATGACTGGAGAGTCGCCAGGTCTGAAGGCAACCCTCATGGACATAACGGGATGAGCCTTTACATTTGCACGGTTTGAGAAGACGTCCGAGCTCTGGATCTTCAGAGAGATACACGACTTGAGGCCCGCGCTGGAGGAAGCCAGGCACATGTTCCGAAGGGGGAACATAGGTTGGAGGCACGGACTCCAGGCAAATGCGACAAAGGCGATCCGGATAATGTCTCTTAGGAGATTCAGAGGTAGCACCTGAGTCACCAGCGTGCTGGGTATCTTCAGGGTTCTGATCTCCCTCGGATCTTGCGGAATCTGTTGGCAAGTCCGTAGGGAAATGCCACGTTGGTGTATGTAACCCTTCCATGGTACTGTCAAGTCAAGGTGGCTTCATAGTAGGTTCATCAGATCAGGCGGTCACATGGACGGCAAGGAGAAGTAGACGTGATGAGCACCAACGACAATCAAGTTCAAGGAAGTGTGGGAAAAAACAGAGAAAAAAGCAAGAGACGAGAAGAGACGAGACGAGGTTTGAGTGGGCGAGTGGAGATGGAGGAGCTCCGAGGTACTGCCACCGCCTTCCGCTTGAGGCCTGGTACACTGACCTGAGCTGAAGGCTCCAGGCTCACACGTCAACCCGCCAGTGCTATCCTCCATTCCATCTCCGCCATCTCTGCTCAATCTCCTCTTCACCTCTCCATTCGTTCTGTTACTTTGGAGCTTGTTGAGGTACACAAAAGTTGCGATGGCCGACAGATACTCTTTCTCCCTGACCACCTTCTCCCCAAGGTAAGCGGAGCTCCAATGACGAACCACCACAGCTGCTAACAATCCTCCAGCGGGAAGCTCGTTCAGATCGGTATTATCCCAACTTGCTCTCATCAATTCGAACGGCCATACTAATCGATTAGAATATGCATTGAACGCGGTCAACCAAGGTGTAACTGCCCTTGGAATCAAAGGTACGGTCAACCGATCCTTGACTACGCTATACAACTACTAAACGCTCATTGTAGCTACGAATGGAATCGTTTTGGCCACCGAAAAGAAGTCCTCCTCGCCCTTGATCGACCCTCCCTCTCTCTCCAAGATCTCCCTCATTACACCCGACATCGGCATGGTCTATGCCGGCATGAGTCCTGACTACCGAGTGCTCGTCGACAAGGCCCGCAAGGTCTCCCACACCGGCTACAAGCGCATTTACAACGAATACCCACCGACCCGGATATTAGTGCAGGATGTTGCCCGTGTCGTCCAAGAGGCGACCCAGTCCGGTGGTGTCCGACCATATGGTGTTAGCTTGCTGATTGCGGGTTGGGACGAAGGCATTGAGCCCGAGACAGCTCAGGCTGAGAAGGGGGAGGAGGAGGAGCCTAAGAAGGCCACCGGAAAGACAGGAGGCACCCTGAAGGGAGGCCCCAGTTTATACCAGGTCGACCCCAGCGGCAGCTACTACCCTTGGAAGGCGACGGCCATCGGAAAGCACGCCACGAGTGCGAAGACGTTCCTTGAGAAGCGTTACACCGAGGGCCTCGAGCTTGAAGACGCCATCCACATCGCTCTGTTGACCTTGAAGGAGACAATCGAGGGCGAGATGAATGGTGACACGATAGAAATTGGTAAGTTTTTAGAAAGACACTCTCACATGTCGCAACTGAAGCTAATTGTCGCGATAGGCATTGTTGGCCCTCCCGCCGACCACCTGCTCGGCTACGAAGGCGTCGAAGGAGCCCGTGGTCCCCGATTCAGGAAGCTGACGAAAGAGGAGATTGAAGACTACCTGACCAGTCTATAAATTATTCGCACATGTTGATCCAGTCGAGACTTGTAGCATAATAGACGCCTATTGAGTCTGACAAGATTTCCACGCCTCTTCTCCCCTACATTGTGTCACCTAGTCCCGGAGCGTCGGCTCCGCCCATGACCATATGAAGCGCTTGACAGCACGGTTGAAACAAGCCACGCCTAGGATCTCCCATAACAATCTAAAAGACGACGAAATGGACATGCATAGTGCTTCCTTCAACAAACAAGCAACCTCCCGTAACATCATAGCGCAGTGGCTTCCACAGTAGCAGTCTACATCTAACTATATCACAAAGAATCAACCATGAACGACCGAACCCAGCTCCCTGCACCTGCACCTGCCATGAATCGATGCACACCGTACTCTCTACCCTAGCTACTATCCTTGACTGCGGCCCTCGCCACGCCCTCTAAGCGTACATGTAGCACTATCCCAGTTCACGGAACCGGCTTTCTACATATGTTACACCGGTGCCAGGTTGATAGCCGGGGGCTCATGCCATTGCCATGGCACCCTGGCCACTACAGTAGGTGGTGGTGCCTAATGCAGTGTGGTGCAGCAGACTCTCTTCCCACTCCCTGCAGCTTTGTGTCGAACTTCCTCGTGTTTTTGGGGTTCTTGAAAGGGTGGGTTACGCAGAAAATCCATGGTGTATTAGTTGACCCTGCCATGAATTACTTGGAGATTCTAGCCGAGTACGGAGTAAGCCTTCCTATTAGACTCATTACTGGCTTTTGAGATGTGGCTTCGCATGCCCTAGTCCCACTCGACCTACCTCGCCCGCCGTCACTAACTGGCCAAAGCTGCCCAGGTATAACCCCTGTCGCTCATGCCTGTTCTTCATCAGCCCCAGCTTCTAAAAGCCTAGCCAAAGTTTGTTTTGATTGAATCATCCATGACTATTGATAACCCCGGATTCGCCCGCACACGCCACAAAATTTCGTATCCGTGACCTTGTCACTTTGTTTCAATGATCTGCAAGCGATGCCCTGCGCTTTGTTGGGATTACAGGAGTGATAACCCACGGCATGAACCCTGCCGTTCTAGTCTAGTTTCCAACCTCTAGAAATATATGCATGAAAGATGACATTCAGTGGTTCTGTACGACATCATGACCCTGAGTCATTGTTGCGCTGTTTCATCGTCGCGGCGCTTCACTGGAAGTCTGGAACTGACCTTCGCTTTGGGCTCGTGGTGTTTGGGTTCGGGACGAGTGTCGGTTGATCGCCGCTGTCACCCTGTGTCTCGAATCCTTGCTCTTTGTTGTTTGGCCTCGAGGGGGCGTCTATAGGCAGAGACCTGGGCATGGAGAGGCGTAGGTGACGGTTCGAGCCCTAGTCAGCATTTGCCTTTGCTGTTGCAAGTCTCGAGGGAAGTTCCACGTTGTAATTGCTGATCTCATTGTTTGCTTGCAATTTGGTTGATGGATACTGGGGAAAGAGGGGACGATACAGTGGTCCGTGTGCATTGTATTATTATTCTGCGCGGTATAAAGGTAACCCAAGACAACGTGGCTAGCGATTTGGTACTTCTGCGCTTGATAAACAACTCAAGATTAGATGGTGGGTGCTTCCCTTCAGGCGGTTTTAAAATCCTCTATGTCGGGACCCTTCTTCCTGATGGCAGGGGCCGCATTGGGTTTCCTTTCAAATTGCCCTGATGTTGACTCAAGTCCAGATGCAATCACGTCCACAATATGGTGTCAATGTCTCAAGACATTTATGCTGGAATTTCGGGGTCGCTTACGGGCGAGGATAGGAGCGAACCACTCTTGGCGGTTCTGACGATTTTCATTGCGCTTTCTTGTTATAATGTTCTTGAACTCGTGGTTCTGGTGCTTTCGACTTTTCGGCGGTGGAAAGGGCTATACTTCTGGAGCCTTCTGATCTCTGGACTTTTCGGCGTCCTGCCGTACTCGCTTGGCTTCCTGCTGAAATTCTTCAGTAAAGTTGATTCGACGTTTTCTGTCAGTGTACTCACTATCGGCTGGTGGACGATGGTGACGGGCCAATCTTTTGTTCTGTACTCCCGGTTGCATCTGATGCTTCGAGATGAGAAAACCCTCCATCGCGTGCTCTGCATGATCATTGCCAACGTCTTTCTTCTGCACGTGCCAACAACCATCTTGACGTATGGGTCAAACGTCGCCGCCGAGCAGCCTTGGATTGTAGGCTACAACGTCATGGAGAAGATTCAAATGACCGGATTCACAATCCAGGAGGTCATTCTTTCCGTACTATACGTCTGGGAAACAATCAAAATGCTCCAGCTTACCTCCAGTCGCGAGAATCGAAAAATAATGCATCAGCTGGTGGGGATCAACGTGGTGATTGTCACCATGGACTTGGTGCTGCTGGGAATCGAGTACGCCAGCTTGTACGCGATCCAAATCACGCTGAAGGGGGTAGTCTACAGCGTGAAACTGAAGCTGGAGTTCGCGGTTCTCGGAAAACTCGTCGATGTTGTGCATGGCAATAAGCGCACTGGTTTCAGTGGGAGTCCAATTCATTTAGGTTCCTTCCATCAGGCCACCCGACCCCCAGGTAGCGTCTCGGCGGTCGCGCACGGTGGAATCAACTTTGCTCGCAGCTCAGTCACGAATACAGCTTCTAGAGCTCATTCATGTCAAACAAATATTGAAGTGCCGGAGGATAAGATCCTGGCAATGACTGATCTCTCAACCTGGGTTGAGCGACGCCCGCAAGACGAGGAAGTCTGAGGTAACCAATATTTCCCCCATTCGTTCCAGGTGTTTGGGCATCCGCCAAATGCCCTATGAATGATGTATATATACCGGTATATAACCAATGAAGAGACTGCAACATCTCGGTTGATATCCGTAGAGTATTACTCCTCAAGTCCGTCGTCGTCAACCCATCCGTAATCAGCGTCGGAGTCTGCCTCATCCTCACTATCAGCAATTTCGTCCACTTTGCGTTTCCTCTGCAGGCTTGTTTCCGGCGCCTTGTCTAGATCCTGAGCAATTGTACCGGGGGACGGATGGTCATCCAAAGCGCGCAGGCCATTCTGTTCAATGTAAGCCAGTGAAGTATGGCAGAGATACGCAGTCTTACCGTCTCAACCACAAATGGTATGATGTTCTCCGCCGCCCGTACAGCCAGCATTCTACCTGATCTTTTCATCACCTCCGCAAAGCGAACACTTCCAGAAGTGGTTTCTCCAGAAGTGGTTTCAGTGGCTGGAAAATCACGATACAAGACGAGGCGAGTGCTTATACTGCTCTCCCACGCGCCACCGGCTAATACCGGGCATAGTGTGGCACGCGGTTGACCTTTGATTCTGGTCCGAGTTTGGTTGATAGCAAGGACCGCCATATGGTGTGTTGTTGCTAATTTTATTAGCTGATTGGCTAGGTCGCTTGTGATATTCGCGTTCCGGTTCATCAGCCATTGAACCTGCGCTTTATCGACTGGCTTGGACTGCGCAAGACGGGTTTTTAGTTCCGTGGGGTTCGGGAAATACGATGCGAATGGGCCTGATGCAGAGTCGATAACTAGTAAACTGCAATCCTCGGGTGGAAATCCTGATGGGCAATGAAGTAAGAGCGCAAGTAGGTGAGGCAAAGACTGAGCTCGGATGTGAGTCAGGTTCTTGGAGGATTCGATCCTCCCCTGTAGGATATCGCGCAGACGTAGCCTGGGTAGCGGAGAACCAGTATCTAGGTTTGATTAGTGTATGTCGTCGACTGATAAAGGAGGAATACCAATCCAAACCACCTTGCCCCCGGCCCTAAGAGCATTCGCCGCTATGCTCAGTCTATGATCACGTTAGGCTCGCGGTTCGCTCGTGCTGGTGAACAGAACAACATACGCTAGAGACGTCTTTCCAACGCCAGGTGGCCCAAATACCTCAGTCACTTGACCACGGCGGATTCCGCGCGAATTCATGGTGCCATCTTCCTCTGGAGATGGCGGGCTAATTGCTTCATCTAGCTGAGGCAAGCTAGTTGAGACGGCACCAACATTGAGAGCCGCTGATGCCTGCAGATATTGTGATGCAGGGAATGATACAACAGAACCTGACGTCGTTAGAGCGAGCCACCAGCCGGTGAGGGAAGGAGCGTAGGTACGGAGTCTCTGAGCCGCCGGGCTGAGCAGCTCTTGCGTGTTCATCTTGACAATGTTCAATCGAGCATCTTCTTTTACAAAGAGGCTAATGAATCAAATGTGTTTTTGTATGTGCAAGGCCAGATTATTGACTGCTGAGCTCAAGGCCGCACTTTACTCCGTACCCAGAATGGAAACCATCTCAACCAGAGCCACGTGACTGCTTCGGGTCTTGAGCCCCATACTAAGCGCTAGTCCCAAAATAGCCTGCGGTTACAGCCAATAAGAGGCAGCCATACAGATCTGCATCTAAGATTCAAGTCTTCAATTCACTTTCGACCTTAACCAAAGCTACCAAACTTCTACCACGTTTATATATATATCATCTCCCGAAGGCCGGAGGCCATGGTTTATCTACCGCATTGCAACTTATCTGAGGATTGCCTACCTACCGCCAAAAATGCTGCAACTACTCAACCAAAACGGCATCCTAACGAGCGCCGGGGCCATTCTCACCGTATCTACCGCTCTGCTTTACGCCGTGATTCAATCTATTGTCAAGAGTACAAAGCGTGCACCTAGGGGTTGTCGAAGGCTAGGCCTCCCAAAAGGTCAAAGCAACCTCTACGACGAATTTGACTCAAAGTACAGCAGTGGCGTGCCAGAATCCAGTGCAGACGAGCAAGGCCTCCCAGCATGGCGTGTCAAAGCACTCTTCACATACCCGATCAAGAGCTGCACGGGCGTGGAACTCGTGGAGTCCGATGTTGTGTCAACAGGATTCGCATTTGACAGGCAATTCTGCTTCGGCGAGCTAGACGAGACAAGAAATTGGATTGCGAGAACGCTGCGCAATAAGGGCTTCAACAGACTCGCTCTCGTTCGTCCGGAGATCTGGGTTCCGGATCTTGATATGCAGGGGTATAGTTATGATCTTGAGGAGGTGAGATCTGGTGGCGTGATGGTGGTATACTATCCCCGTCCGAGTTCAAGTCCTCGTCACGGTGCTGCTTGGAACGCCATATACTCAACCATCATCAAGACCGGAATGTATTTCGGCCTCATACCAAACGAAACGTCATTTATCGTTCCTCTCTTCCCATCTACAGACTCTAAAGGCCCAAACACAAACCAAAAGTCTGGCCTCCCCCTCACAAACGTCAAAATCTGGAAAGACAACCCGTTAGCTTACAACTACGGGCAGTACATCCCGTCCTCATTCCACGACTTCCTGTCCGAGGAGTTCCCCGAATCTAACAACAGCACGCGCAACAAACACAGCTCCGCCAGCATCAAAAACCGTCAAGTCACTCTCTTCCGCGTAAACCCCTCGCACCCCCGCGAAATCTACCGCAACGCGCCCCGAAAGGAAGAACTAGGCTTCCAGCCCACAACGGGCTTCGCGGACGCTTACCCAATCCACATCCTCTCGCTGTCCAGCGTGCGGGATGTCAATGCGCGTTGTGCTAAGGATATCCAGCATCTGAGCATCCGCCGGTTCAGAGCGAATGTCATTGTCCAGGGGCCTGCGGCTTTTGAAGAGGATGATTGGAAGGTTATCCGTATCTCCCCAAGCACAGTAAAAGCAAAGGCATCTGGTGAAGAAGATAACGATGGTCAGGAGAAGGAACTAGTGATCCACACAGCCTGCCGCACAATCCGGTGCAAACTGCCCAATGTCAATCCGGACACAGGGATTCGGCACCCGTCTGAACCGGATCGCACGCTGAAGAGTTATAGGAAGATTGATCAGGGCGATCTAACGAATGCTTGTTTGGGGATGCAGGGGGTTCCAGCTGTTAGAGGTGAGTTTTGCTTATGCTTATCTCCCCGTGCCAGAGGATATGGACCGAGTTGTTTTTTTGTTGTATTATGTGCTGACAATGTCGATTTAGAATCACGCATTCGAGTAGGTGATAAGATTTCCGTTGTGGAGACTGGCGAGCATCGTTATATCAAGATGTTGGCGCCGGGGGAGGTCGTGGAGGGGGTTTGAGCATTCTTTGGCGCTTGATCTCATCTCAAGGCTCAAAGCTCTGTATCATCATTTGCATCCATGTGTCATGTAGATAGAGTAATATGTAATCTCATAATATGTTCAGAAGCGGGTATCTATGTATGTAGAGCGATATCTATCTATGTCTAATGCATGTGAGATAATGAATCAAGCCTTTAAATTTTGTCCAGAAGATTCAGGCTCGCTGCCCTCCTGACTGTCAACCACAGTCCTGACCCCCTCATCCTGATCTTCAGACTCAACAACATCTTCCTCCAGATCCTCAGGCAGGATCAGGTTAAGCAGAAGGCCCAAGAACCCCGTGATGGCGAATCCATTCGCCATGACTAGTTCAACCGCCTGCAACAGCCCCTCAAGCGCATGGTTATCACCGCTGTACGTAAAGAAGTACGAGAACCAGTCTGGCACGAGTGTAGCGGCCATACCAACCGCAAAGGAGGCTGTGAGGATGAACCTGTTGCGGCGGGTCCAGTCCACGCTGCACATGATCCTCACGCCTGAGATTGCAACAGAGGAGAAGAGGAATGTAGTCATGCCGCCGAGGACGGATGAAGGAATTGCCACCAGGGCAGCGGCGAACTTCGCGAAGATGCCCATGATCACGAGGAAGAAGCAGCAACAGTAGCCGGCCTTGCGGTTTGCGCAGCGAGTGAGGGCAATGACGCCGTTGTTCTGAGCGAAAACGGACATCGGGGTGATGGTGCACAGGCCGGCGAGGAGGCATGTTATACCGTTGCCCAAGACGCCGCCTTGGATGCGGGAGTCGAAAGTAGCGCCCTCGACCTGGAGGCGGGAGACGTCGCAGGTGGCCGTGATGTCACCGATGGATTCCATCATAATGACCATGTACACGGCGAGGAGGGGGAGAATAAGCGGCGCATAAATTGTAAGTGGAAAGGTTTTAACCCAGATGAAGGAGGCGACAGGAGCGGCGTCAATGCCGGAGCGGTCGAAGTAGCCGCAGGCAGCGGCGACAATGCAGCCAACCAGCAGGCCGACGATGACGGCGCAAGATTTCATGATGGGGGATCCGAAGCGCTCGCAGAGTATGATTGTGGCGAAGACTAGAAAGCCCAAACCGATGAACTCGGCACTACCCCAGGGGAGTGCGTGGGGGGCGTCAGCACTGGGACAGAGGGCGCCGTTGCCCGGGTTGTTGCTGCAGGTTCCAGAACCGCCGGCCCAGTCCTTCATTCCGTTAGAGATGAGACTGGCACCAATCAGGAAGACGGTTGGACCGGTTACGATTGGCGGGAAGAGGGTCTTGAGCAGCCTGCTGCTCATGAAGGATAGGCCGATTTCGAGGAGGGAGCATAGACAAGAGGTGGCTAGGAGCGCACCGTAGCCTTTTGGACAAGGGAGTCTGTTTCCCGAGTCATCGACTGGACAGTATCCGGTGGAGTACATCTGGTTAAATGTTCCTGTTGCGACAGTGATTGTTGCGAATGAAGTTCCTACCACCGAAACCAGTCCGGTGCCGACGTAGTAACGAGTCTTGTACACATGTAGGCGGAACATTTGGATAGCAGACAAGAGCCCTGATACAATCAAAGACGTCGAGACAATGTACTGCGACTCTTCAGAGCCAAAGTTGGCACCGGATGAACCAGCTAACTGAATAGGAGGAGTGATAACTAGAACGTAAGCATGCGTCAACCACTAAGAACAGGTATAACTACCTCCAGCAAGCATCGCCAGCGCATGCTGCAAACCTAATAGCAAAGCCAGAACAACCGGGATCTTGTCTTCAAGGCCGAAGAACGGAGCAGCTCTCCTCTTCTGCTTCATGAAAGGAAGCCTTGGTGTGAAGAGAAAGGCATAGTCGTAGTCACCAATCAGGCCGTCTCTCGTGGTAAAAGAATGGATAGCTCGTCGCACGCGGTCCTTGAATGTCCTCTTGGGGCTGAGGTCTGGCCCGATCTGGTCTGGGCCGTCCATGATGTCGTAAAAAGATCAATATCGAAGTATCATGCGTAAGATTGTGAACTCGCGGGGATTGACTCCTTTTTCCTGGGGAAATTGACAGGCTTAGAGAACGGCACGACCACGCTATATAGATTGAGCGCGACTCGCCAAGGTAATGATTTCGGAGGCCGTGAGTGAAGCAATGAGTAATGCGAAACGTTATCGCCCGGAGCTGAAAAGAATCGAGATAAGCCGTTCGTCTGAAAGCGCCCCAAAGCTTGTCGGAGACAGCCAAGCGAGGCGGGCGGCGCCGAGTCTGCGGCCGAGTCTGCGGCCGGAGTCTGCCACGTTCTTGCGGAGGAATGCTTGTTCGCTGAATCACTACTGTCAAGGCAATGAGCTGTTCTATCTCAAATCCTAATGCGTTCTTGCTCAGCAATGCGGGGGAACATTGGAGTTACACTTTCAAATCGTTCAGAATTCCAAGCACAGCCAATCAGACAATGTCGTTAGTCAAGGACTTTGCTAACTCCCCGCAAACAGGCGTTTCCATCAGTCATAGACTCATAGTACTCCGTAAAATGGGCAAACTGTGCCCACTTTAGCCTTACTTGAGTCGAGCAACATCTTGTGTTTGCCACAAAGCAGCGTGATTGTGCACACAGAAGGCTCTATCCGGGTCTAGAACAAGCTGCTGGCCATGACGGTTCGCTGATTGACCTGGAAGTTGCCTGGATGGGCTGGATAGTGTCATGACGATGTAATTGATGCTCCGAGTCTGGTTCCGAGGCATCCCGGTGCATAATTCTATGCGTGCGCATTAGTAATTATGCCCCTGTGCAGCGGAAGTGGCAGCCGCAGCCACAGCTCAGCCACAGCGGTGCCTGAGCCACTCTGTTGGGGACGGCCGGGACCTGCATTTGTCGCCTCGACCCAACAAAAAAGATACAGATTTTGCCTCCCAACAAGATGGAATTTCCAAGCCCGCCTATCAATTGGCTGCATCCGTCTTTCCCCGTCCCTATCATGGCTACCAGCAGTCCGTCTTTAGACTCTTTACCTCGGGATCTTATGATATCTCATGATTCTGCCTTCCAATAAGCCGTCTGGCCACTCGTCTTCCTAACTTTCCGGCCCTCGCTGAGTCGCCCGGCTTGCATCAGCAATCGCCGTTTGATCTGCTCCCCCAACATCCATTCCCACTTTGAGGCCCTCCCAGTAGTGGACCCCTGCGAAGTCGACCTCGCCCCCGCCGGCCGACTTTTTTCTTCTTGTTTAAAAGCTCGCCCTGCCTCGTCTCTCTTATCGAGCTCTCACGACACCCACACTCAGATCAGCCATCATGTCTGCACCAACGGCGGACGCCCGGACTCGCGCTCCGGAGGCCAAGAAGGTTCACATCGCCGACACTGCCATCAACCGCCAGAACTGGTACAAGCATGTCAACTGGCTGAACGTCTTCCTGATCATCGGTATTCCGGTGTATGGTTGCGTTCAGGCGTTATGGGTGCCACTACAGCTCAAGACTGCTATCTGGGCCGTTATCTACTATTTTTTCACCGGTCTCGGTATCACAGCAGGTGAGGCGAATTCGAAGCGCATCTGCCCAGCATCAGAAGCTAATCTCAAACAGGTTACCACCGTCTTTGGGCTCACTGCTCGTACTCCGCCACCCTCCCTCTGCGCATCTGGCTCGCTGCCGTCGGTGGTGGTGCCGTCGAAGGCTCTATCCGCTGGTGGGCTCGTGACCACCGTGCTCACCACCGCTACACCGATACTGAGAAGGACCCCTACTCCGTCCGCAAGGGTCTGCTCTATTCCCACCTTGGATGGATGGTGATGAAGCAGAACCCTAAGCGTATCGGCCGCACCGACATCTCCGACCTGAACGAGGACCCCGTCGTCGTATGGCAGCACCGTAACTACCTCAAGGTCGTCTTCACGATGGGTCTCGCTGTGCCTATGCTTGTTGCTGGTCTTGGCTGGGGTGACTGGATGGGCGGCTTCGTGTACGCCGGTATTCTCCGTATCTTTTTCGTCCAGCAAGCGACTTTCTGCGTCAACTCTCTTGCCCACTGGCTCGGTGATCAGCCCTTCGACGACCGCAACTCACCCCGTGACCACGTCATCACCGCCCTCGTCACCCTCGGTGAGGGATACCACAACTTCCACCACGAATTCCCCTCCGACTACCGGAACGCCATCGAATGGCACCAGTACGACCCTACCAAGTGGTCCATCTGGGCCTGGAAGCAGCTTGGTCTCGCCTACGACCTGAAGAAGTTCCGCGCCAACGAGATCGAGAAGGGCCGTGTCCAGCAGCTCCAGAAGAAGCTCGACCGCACTCGTGCGACCCTTGACTGGGGTACTCCTCTCGACCAGCTCCCCGTCATGGAGTGGGACGACTACGTCGAGCAGGCCAAGAACGGCCGTGGCCTCGTCGCTATCGCCGGAGTTATTCACGATGTCACCGACTTCATCAAGGACCACCCCGGTGGTAAGGCCATGATCAAGTCTGGTGTAGGCAAGGACGCCACCGCCATGTTCAACGGCGGTGTCTACTACCACTCCAACGCCGCCCACAACCTCCTCTCCACCATGCGTGTCGGTGTCATCCGCGGCGGCTGCGAAGTCGAGATCTGGAAGCGCGCTCAGAAGGAGAACGTCGAGTACGTGCGGGATGGCTCAGGCCAACGCGTCGTCCGTGCCGGCGAGCAGCCCACCAAGATCCCTGAGCCCATCCCCACTGCTGATGCGGCGTGATCGGTTCTCTCTATTTCATACATCGACATTTGTCCCTTTCCCTCGTTCAGGGTCTGACACTTAGCACACTGGCGTTTTTAATCGTTCCTTAAGAGTTTGGAGTTCGCGGAGTTTCTGGTCCATGTCTGGTGTAGTGTACCCATGTTAATCCGTCTACCTAAAAGCGAGACTTGAAATGAGATATGCCATGAACTTACACTTATTCTTCCTCATGTCGGTTTTAATTAGTAGTAGCTTAAAATCCATAGACAGCTTGAACCCTGGCCGTCGTCCATTTAACCTTTGAAACAGTGGGGGAGCTCTTGCTGACATGTGCCAGTGGCCCAGAGCAGGTGTAAGGGTCCCGAGGTTCAGGTATCTGCCAACAAAGACCAGAACTGCCAAGCCCAAGACCTGACCCTTGGCTGGGTTCAGGAATCAGGATGCACCTGGGTTTAGAGCTTCTTGGACCCTTTTATTACTATTTATCTAAGCCTTTATACGCATGTAAGCCCTCCAACCCAAGCAGGGATTGAGAATAAGAAAAGCTCCCTTAAGTAAGGGGAAAGCCCTTGATATCCCGAAGGGGTTCAAACTAGGGTCCCCCCTTTGCAATGGACAAGATACACCTAAATAAAGTGAAGGTCTTATTAGAGGTCTCGTCTTAAATAAACCTTATCAAGGTTTAAATTAAAATCTTAAACTTTCTAACCCTTGCCATAAGTTTCTCTGTTCCTCGTTCTGGACCTTGTTGGGAGCTGGAAAGGCACGCGATAAGCTGGAAAGGCACGCCTCAGAAATGACTTGACTATTCCTGACAGCAGCCATGTAGCACAATACTTATTTATAATGCTAGACCGCACACGTTCAATACTAGATGTTTATGACACCTGGAAGGTGTAAGTTCGTGAATCGATATTTACAAGATCTATAAGGCAATAAAATTCACATTGGGAGGGCACATCTAAGTTAGCATCTTCACGGCTGGAAGGTTCAAGACGCGGAAACTTTCTCTTCATCGGCGGGGGCAATAGGCTTAGGCTTAAGGCACATTAGGCAGACGCAGCTTGCGAATCTCGCACGTCCACATTGACCAGCGCATGTCCCGGGCGATAGTTAAGACTTTGGGTAATTCAATGAGACCATATTCGAGACAATCGAGCAGTACCGCGTGGCAGAGCACCCTGCTGCAGTCGGCCTGATACCTCGTGAAGATATGGTCATACTTCTTCAGGTCCTTTGTCTTGATTACCATGACCTGGTACTTTATGGTCTTGTGGTCACACCTGTAGTGATCAGGCGGGTGATAGTTTTCCACATGCACCCACTTTTCTCCTCCTTTTCCGTCACTGTGAATAACTGTGTAGTTCCACCGGCAGACCTTGCTCTTCGTGCCGTGCAGAATAGCCACGAACTCAGCTTCTGGGGTAGAAAGGCGCGGCCAGGGTCGGCCAATGTAGAATATGTAGTCTTCGGGCTCAGCTGGAGTAACCAATTCGCTCTCCGGGAGGGGATTGTTGCCGGCCTGGATAAGCCTGCGCTCGAACTCATACTTGGGCTTGGAAGCCTTTGACGACATCGCGGAAAGCAAGGTGGTACTAAGTTGAGTCAGGTTGATCAGAGTCGTGATTAGCTGTTTGGTGCGAGAATTGTGAGATCGGGAAAGAGAATGGGGCAGTGAGAAGTCCGAGGCCCTATTTATGATCGTCTTCCGAGTAGTTCCAGACAGTGACCATTGATAGCGCCGTGAGAGAGAGAAAGAGAGGCAAAAAGTCTTTGGCCCGGGCCGAGTTGTAAGTGCAGCTTGCAGTCCTTGTTACTTTGGAATAGACAAGATTCTTGAGGACAGCGAGCGGCCGAAAGCTCATCACACGAGCAATGCCAAAGAGAACTGGCAGAATGACTTTGTTCCGATACACATAATGAAGAGACCCAATCGTTCTGCCTTGCTACCCTCAGCTGCGCAAAGCCCCTGGAGATATTCAGGGTTGTTTGCACACGAAATGGAGCAGAACGGCAGACGGACTCGTCCTAGGCCAGGTTCAGAGCCACGTGGGGAGAGAGTCACTCGCTCACTGTTGCTTTGATGACCGGACAAGGGCGCCTAAACAATATCAAGAGCTCATGGAATGTATGACGCCAAAGAGAATATGATGGTTGGATTCCGAAGAGGTTTGAACTGTAGCCAGTGAGAGAAGGACCGAACAGATTAACTGGATGGCTGATGACACAGCACGCACAGACAACAGAATAGTCCTGACACGAGTGATAATCCTTGAAGCCAGAACCTTAAGCAAGGATGTTCTTGTGAAAGCAAGAGGCTGTTCTAGATGGGACACTCGACTGGTATGCTGCGATATCAGCGGGCAAGCTCATGCTGGGGTTGCATTGGCAGGTGTGAGCAGTGCAAAATTCGGTTGGCTTCCAAGGGGAATAAGCGCTCATACCCTACTCATATCTTCCCTCCAATGTCGACGGTCCGACCTTACTCTGGGAAAGAGCTCCCATTCATTGTTTTGACGGACGAAGACTAAAGGTAAGAGCACGTCGAAGTAGAAGGTACTCCGTAGCTTGGTGGGGACGAGAACCTTATCGATAAGCAAGCCTATCTTCCACCGATAAGATAAGAGCTCGTCAAGACTCAAGTGTCAACCGAAAACTCCAGCTCCAGCTCCAACTCCGCCAGCAACGCAACCCAAACAACCACTTCACAGCTCTACCTTTACCTTCAACTACCTAGCTCACCCCCACTCACCCCGGCGCTCAAATCTATCTCCGACTTCTCATACCCTATTCCCCCCAATCTGAAAGGGAACAAGACCAACGCCGTCCAATTCGACCAAGTCCAAGCCCATCTCCAACAATCACAATGTCAACACCCAACCCCTCAGACATTCCCTCCCCAGCAACCCTCCCAATAACGACGCACCACTGCCGCTTCTGCGCAACACTGCTAATCGCCACAACGCGCGAGATATCAACTCTCCCCACACGAGCCAAGAACGCCGCGGACGGCGCGCGGATCCTCCCATTGCGCTCTTACGAACTCCCATCCACATCTGAGGCTCCCGAGCACCAGGCGCAGACACACTACACAATCCTCCTCTCCACGAACAGCCGCGACCGCAAACCCACCATCATACGACGGAGCGACGGGTTCGAGAAGAGGTTCTTTCTACGGTGTGGGCGGTGCAGGATTCCGGTTGGCTATTTTCTAGACGAGGTGCATTTCCCCGTTTCCGGGGGGAAGGGGGCGGTGGCTGGATCTGGATCTGGATCTGGGTTGGGGGAAGATAATGCGGGGGTTGAGGGAGGGGAGGGGGGTGAAGATCGGGCTGTGTATTTGCTGCCTGGGGCGCTGATGGAGACGGCGACTATGAGTGATGACGAGAAGATGAAGGCTGTCGATCGGGAGTGGGGGCATTGGTTCAAATAAATGACTGCCTGCAGCTGAGAGGTCAAGTCATGTGTATTATATGCGGATTCAGTTGTATGTATTGATCAATGGCTAGGCTAAGCAGTCTGCGGATACATGGAGCGGTAATCGAATAGATTATGAAGGTAGTGTAACAGCATAAACAGAATCATGAGGACGTAAGGGTATCGTGTCATTTAGTTGGCCAGGATGGTGCGAACGAGATCTACACTCATTAGCACCCATGCATCCTCCAACAGAGACAGAGGCAAACATACCGGTATAGTTGATCTCCCCAGAGCTAGTATCAACCGCCTTAAGCAGCTCGTCAACCTCCTCATCGGTCATTTTCTCGCCGAGGTTCGTGAGGACTACACCAAACACAACACATTAGCATCGCGTCCGCCATCCCGCCTCAAAATACATACTATAACGCAACTGCCCGACCCCAATAACCCCCGTCATATCCTTATCAAACACCTGAAAGCCCCGACAGTACTCCTCGGGCTCGCCGGGCTCGCGGAAGCCACCAGGCCGGTTCAGCACCTTGAGGAAGGACTCGAAGTCGAAGTCGCCGCCGACGTTCTTCTCCAGGTCCGCGATCTCCGAGAGCGTGGGGTTCTGGCCGCAGGCGCGGAGCAGGTCGCCGAGAGACTCGAGGGCGACACGGCCGGTGCCGCGCTTGTCGAAGAGCGAGAAAGCCTCTTTGTAGTTTGTGGAGGCCTGGTCGTGGTGCAAGTCTGGTGAGCGGGTGGACATTTTGAACGCAGGGAGAGGAAATGGGTTGACGAAGGAAAGGAAAGGAGAGGAGAGGACAGATGGAATGTAGAGGAGTGAGAATAGATGCAGGGGTTGGACTGGATTAGATCGTGAGATGGTCTGGTCTGGTCTGGTCGGAACCGCCGATACGCCGACCACGGCTGAAGGTGAGGCTAAACCAGCTAGGCTATAGTAGGGACAACAACACGGGCGCCGAAACAGACGGGAAGGCGCAATCCAGGGCTGGGAAAGCCCGATGCTCTTGTAAATTGCAATTTGCAACAAGAGCACTTTGTGCTCACTAATGCAGGCAATGACAAGACCAGACCAGACCAGACCGTCCCTCGCTCCAGTTATGCAGGGGCAGACGAGGGGAATAATTCAGCAACCGGGGCGACATACCATGGTGATTATTTGGTGTGTTTCGGAGGGTTATGGAATGCGTTTGGTATGAGAACCCCGATTGTAGCTGGAATCGAAGCTCGGAGTAGAAAACAAACTGTCTGAGAGTCTGGGACCGGCGGTGGAATGCAGGAGGGGACAGTTTTGATGTTGGAGAGATTGGGGGGTCGGGCCAGGCTGGTTGTTGTGGTAACCACGGAGCTCCGCTTTGTTGGCCACGGCTTTCAGGCAGAGACCAAGTACAAAGCGAAGACTATACTCAAGAACTGAAGACGAATTTATGTAAATAGCGGGATATATACTTTAATCGTGGTCGTAGCACATGCAACACAGAAAAATAAACAATGATCCCGCCTATCCTCCGTACTCCGTTTCCATATCCATAACCAAGCCATGTACAAGTCCAGCACCCGCGGACTCAGGGTATCTAAAAACAACATCTAACTTTTAATTCATTGCGAGACGCCCCTCAGCTTGTCAATGCAACTGCCCAACAGGTTTGCAGCTTCAGCCAACAACTCCCATCGGGCGTTGGAAAATCCATCTCGCAGGATCATGAGCAGCCCGAGACACCGGTTGCGCCCTTTTATGATTTCAAGGTCGCTCGGCTCGCGACAGCCTCCCACCCGACGCAGAAATGACTGCATGTCTTGTCTCTGCTCTGCGACCGTCAAGAGCTGAGGAGCGCCTGTGATCGGCCCCTCCAACGCGTATCCGTAGCACCAGACGACCAGGGCAGCCACGTAAATTACCCATGGACGGTTGAGAAGGTAATCCTCGCGGCCACAATACAGCTCTCCCTCATCTTGTGTCCCATGCTGATCCAGAAGGCACTCGGCGAGGAACTTTAGTGCGTAAAAAGTAGCGTCGCGGGCGGATGCCTTGGTTGCCCAGCGTTCGACCATCTTCTCGCGGGCAGCATTGTAGTCACGCAGGGTGATGGCACGACCCATTAGCCGGCGAGCACCAGCAAAGATCTGGCAATCGACGACGTCCACGTGCGATGCCATGTGGGCTAACCCGTGCATTACATCGCGGGACTCAAAAACGTTGTCGTCATCCAGCGCGTACCGGCCGCGATACCCGTTGGAATATGAGGCCATGCCTGGCTGTAGCGCCTCGTCAAAGTCGCGCCGCCAGTTGTCAAACGCACGGAGCAGAGCAGACCTCCACTTGTCCCGGCCTCCTAGGGCATGTGCAACTCCGAGAGAGCTGACTTGCAGGTCACGTTGATTCATATGCCAGCCCACGCTGAGAAGGCCAGACATAAGAATGGTCCTCCCAAACGCATTTGTTCGCACCTTTTGTCCATTGAGTGTCCGCTTGAGCCCGTCAAGGAACATAACTGGCCTGACTCCGTTGGCCTGCAGACTTGCCTGCACCCGAGCCACTTCCGTTGCACTAGTAGCAGACCACAAGGCCTCGTCGCACGGCAGTGGCAGACGCAGCTCATGCGCGACCATCTTTGCAGAGTGTCCGAACATCGTGGCGTGGGTCGAGTCGAGGACAAAGGCTGCAAAGGCCACTCGCCGGGTAGCTTCGGTCTTGATCCAGTGTGTCCATGACTCATCAGCCGCAAAGTCCGGTGTCATTGTCGAGCCTGGAGTCGACCGGGCCTGCCGGTCATCTCTCAAACTAGCCGGGGAGTCAAACGAGTGGCGGCCGATCAGAGAGCTACCGCGCCGCATCAACGTCAAGGTTGTGTCATGGTGAATGTGCGCTCGCTCGTGGAGCGCACGGGTAGAGTACATCTTCTCATAAACTTCCAGGAGCAGCAGCGCCTGGAAGATCCACAGTTTTGCCGGTGGTCGAAAATCTCCTTCCATGAAAATCTCCCATCGCAGATGCCACATGATGAAGTCGGCTAGCTCTGACGCGGCCTCAGTGACCTCCTGCCCATGGATACTGTCCAGCGTTGCTGCGCCGATTGCAACGACGGCCAGCAATAGCAGGTTCGGTGCTTTATCAGCTACAAATGTCGGCCGGTGTAGAATCGGCAACTGGGCATGAAAGTGATACCAGTAAGACCCAATGTAGGTCTGCATTTTGGACAAGCTAAGAACGTGGCTGTCTTCGTCCATGTCACCATCCATTAGAGCATCTTTGCGCTTAGCGACTGCAGAGTATGCGGCCTCGTTAAAGCGGGTGGACATGAGATCAAGCAATTCCTGGCGCTTCTCCTCGGACATGATGGCCCGTGGCGAGCCAGGGTCGAGGATACTGGTCACACTCATCGGGTGGGCAGGGATGACGGTGTTGAGAAAGCTTCCGTACGCAGGATCACTCATCAGAAATTGGTTCTGCACCTGCGCGTCCATGAGTCCGGGTACCATACTCGTCGATGAAGCCATCGATGACCCAGGCGCCGGCTCGTTGAACAGCCACGCTGTGAAATCGTCGGCCATATGGAATGGTGATCGATTGCCCTCGCCACCGAAAACCGGATATACAGAAGAATTCATCCCATCGAATTGCATATCCCCTACTGTCATCCCTGACATCGAGTCAAGAGCAAGCCCGTTTGCTGGGTCGAGCGGGGCAGATGCTGACGAGGTTACCGGTGCCATGCTGATATCGGAGTATCCATCGACAGGAATGTGCAAGCCCGCTTGAGATGTATAGGCAGACGGGCTAACCAAGGACCCTCCAAAATCAGTCGGGACAGTGTAACCGGTCCCAAGGTCTTGTGGCCTACTGGATACGAGCGTAGACTCGTCCAAAAGGCCCGGGCGTGAAGGGCCCAGCTCAGTGGTGGGCGAGCCATTCGCAGCATGGCGGGCAGCGGTGAGACCGACGTGCAACGAACGCTGCAGTGGCGGGGAATTAAATGCATGAGACGTAGTAGGGGTGTTAGGTAAGTCGTGAGACTGAGGGAAGGAAGAGTCGGCTGGCTGGGTATGCTGTTGAGCAACGGGCTGGTAGTGGAACCGATTGAACCCGGCAGAAGCAGGAGAAGAGACAGGAACGCTCACTGCAGTAATGGGCTGATCTGGACCAGTAGAGCCTCGCTTCGAGTCCGGCGGCGAAAGAACAGGAGGAGCACTGTGAGGTATCTGTGGCGCGGTTTGGAGGTTCTGAGACTTTGCAATCCCGCCGGTGCTCGTAGAGGCGGCTTGCGCAAAGTGGTCACGTTTCTGCAGCTGCGAGCCCTGCGTGGTGTGACGTTCGCGATGACGAACGCAGAGGTCCTGTCGCACGAAGGAGCGATAGCACTCGGGGAAGTCGCACCGGTAGATTTGTTTGGGGGCGTCTAGGGCAGCCAAGGATCAGCATCCATGCTAGCGGTTTGGGAGAAAGGCATAGGCATACGGTTCAGTTGATGGCGGTACAGATGCTCTGCGCGCGAATAGCTTTTGCCGCACCCCTCGTATGAGCAGTCGTATTTACGGTCCACCTGGACCTTGCGGGTCCTCTTCCTCTTGCGCGGAGGGGCAGTGGCCTCATGGACGTCCGGGCTCTCGGATCCCACCTCTGTGTCTTGTCGTGCGCCCCGGTCCAGAGAAGCCATAGGCGTAACCGCAAAGGTCATTCTGAGCCAACTGATTGCCTCCGAAGGTTCTTATCTTTGTTTCTCTATGTTCTTCTATTGTTGCAGTACGTAGGAGGCTTAGCCGATACCCTTCAGACGACTTGCGGAGATTCGGCTCTTATCATGCACGATCATCGATTGGGAAGGAGGGTACTCGGACGGGGGGTATATGCGACAAAAGTAATCTGATGAGAGGAGCCATGAGCTCTAGAAACTCCGTGTGGTCGGTGGTCGGCGAAGCCCCGTGGGGGAAATGGGCGATCGGACTGTCGCGGTTAGGCGTTCGGCGATAGTGCGATAGGACAAAATCCCTAATGATCAAGATATGTCTATTGGAAGCTGCGACAGCAGGAATAAATTGAAGGAGGCTGGAGAATGAGGTCTGTGAGATGAGGGGAGGTCTCGTCCGGCGATGGTCCGATGTCTGGAACGACGAGGGGAAGGCGGCAGCTCAGCTGGACTGGCCTGGACTGGACCTGAACCTGAACCACGTTGACCCAGCAGAAGAGAGCCAAAGTCAAGCTCGAGCAGAAAACATCTCGGTGACGGCAAGGAATGAGGTATAAATATCTGGCAAGAGAAAAATTCAGCTGCAAGGCTGCAACAGCGAAGACGACTTGAGCAGTGGGGCCGGGCAACCAACAAGCTACTAAGGATGAGGCCTCCGAGGTCATGGTACTACAGCCTGCAACGATCTCTTTTTTATTCAGAATAAACTCCCAAAAGGGCAGGACTGGAAGGGGGGGGGGGGGAAATGCACTGCGAATTGCTGCCCAGAAAAGACTATCAATTCGCCAACGAAAGCACGAGGCGAGTAAGAAATCGCTCGTGCTAGCAAATCCGACCTCGTCGATTGGACTGCGATGCAACTAGAGCCCTGGCTAGAAGCAAGTCCCTGAGACTAGCAAGAACCCAAGAAGGAATTTCCGCTCGAGCGTCATTGTCAGAAGACCCAGCGACAAGATCCCTGCAAATACGAGGACATGCGAAGAATCATCATCTGCACTGCGGCAGCGGCGGTTAAGCTGGTCTACTCTAGGCTGAACTCAATCGAGCGATCAAGTCCTCCACCAAGCCGACCACACTGCGGAGACGATCTGCGGGACTGTCCGCTGGGCCGCTCAATCAAGGGTTCGCTTTAGCGAGGACGGCCTCAACACGGAAAGGCCTCTCTGAAGATGGAGTGCGAGCATACCCCGCCGTAGACAAGGTAGGACCAGGGTATTTTCGCATGCGTCGATCGACTCTCGAGTGTGCAGAATGCAGGCAGGCCTTGGTTGCACTAACCCTCGTGCTCAATATCCAGCTATCCGTGCAGGTTGGTATGGCTGCGAAGTCTCCCGATGATCGATCATGGACGGCATGGCCATGAGCTGATGTGGTTCCATTTACGTACATACCCTGTACGTGCGTACCTGGCAGCAATGTCCCACCGTCAACGGCAACCTAGAGGCCCTTGCATTTACCACTATTCCGGAGGAGGACTAGAATCTGAGGACCCGTGAATCAGATGATGAGAACTGCAGGTCCAGCTACTCGTCAAAATGCAAGTAAGTGTCAGACTGAGTTTCCTTTTGTCATAATTGGTGGAGATGCATGCTGAGAAAGACATGTATTTGCGGGAGCTTGCAAGATCTATGTAGTAACAGTGTCCCAGTTGGAGTTTCATCCTTGTTGGCAGGTTCAACTGTTCTGAGTGTATATTCAGAATCGAATCTCAAACAGCTTGCTTGCTTACGCCCGGGGATTGGCGCTCTCCGCTAGTTCCCCAGTTTTGCGACCCGACACCGCGGAGACAGATGCGCCATCGGCCCATCGCACCTGATAAGCAGGGATTTCTACCTGATGCAAATCTATGACTGATGAAACCGGGACCGAAACCGGCTCAGCCTCGAATACCTGCGGCGTACCATACTCCATAGGTAGTTCCTCGGAGAACATAACCCTCCGACCACTAGGGAGTAGGACTACTCTGTACAACCAAGTCCCAGAATCTCGGAATTGCAAGTTCTATTTTTCGGGATTGAGCTGAAGATCGTCAGTGTCACCAGATACCTCAAAATCAATCAAATCTCGAAAGCCGTGCCAAGCACATGCGATCGCCCTGGCCCGTCTCCAGCACGAACGAACCATGAACCCCTCGGCAAAAGATCGATGACTCCAGATGCGGAGTCCGCGGGTCAGTCCCCAGCTCGCAAACCCCCGTCATATCAGGAAATGACGGCTCAAGCCGATGCGACAACGTGCAGCCGGGGGTGGAACCAGGATACAGTCTTGCTCTAGCACCATGCAGCCTGCAGCGCCAACCTCGTGTATGGGGAAAAGAAAGCATGCTACCTCATTTCCGGTGTCGGGCGACGAACCCGCTACGAATCTATTAGTTAACAGGAACTACAGGAACTACACTGACTCGACCGAGACGGCAGAGAAGAGAAAAAAGCAATACCGCTGGCCCGCAGCCTATGAGATATTCCGTGCTGTAGGCGATCTGATCTAGATCTCCATCTGGCACTACTGTACACCGGGGATGCAGGATTACGTAGGTCTCAGCTAACAAAGGGTAAAGTTATTGTGACTGGGGTTATTAGTTGAGGTTTTGTTTTCTTGTACTCCATATACTCCGTACAATGGTGACTATTATTATGCCTCCCCGCTATAAACGCCCAAAAGTCGAGTTGCCCAGCTGCCCTATACCTGGACAAGAAAGATCGCCATCGGTCTAGAAATAGAATGAAATAACATATAAGCGAACCAGAAACAGATCACGAACTCAGGTTAGGCAGCTAAGCTAGCTTCAGCTCGAGCTCAGTCGCTGTGTGAGGCAGCTCGTATACTACGACGTTTTACATCCAATCAGCACCAATATATATATTCACCCGATGAGTCCAAGCCGGGCTTCCTGGCAACAAGAACGAAGTACATCTCCATGGACATGGACATGACCAGAAGGCAAGTAGTTCCCGCGGAATCTGTTCGGAGTGCGCATGCCATAATCAGAGTACCGAAAGCAGAAAACTCCTCTGTACTGTCCCGCCTCTCCATCCCTCGCCCTTCCACTCCTCCAAGAAGACGCCCAGAATGTTCCAAGGCACGTGGGCATATTCCTTCTGCAGGGCGTTGACATTAGGATACTTTCCTTTCACCGCTCGCCTCCTGCTATTTATGCCATCAAGTACCTAGTCTACCCAGGTGCCGAGAGGCAAAGTTTACCTACTCCGTAACCTTAAGAGCGAGGGGGTACCTACATTAGGGTTGTACAATTTACCGTAAAGAATAATTCCTTACCTAAAATTACTAATAAAGGTTTATTTATTACTAACAAAGTAATAAATCACGTGATATAAAAATAGGTTTAAACTAATTAATTAAAGTATAGCTTAATGCTTAGCTTTTTTACTAGCTAATTAATGTAAGACTGACAAGTCTCAAAGATTTTTACTAACAATAAAGATATTAACAAAGGAATCTAATTAATAAGAATGGAGTATTTTAAACCCCGCTGGATAATATTAAAAAAGTTACTTAAAGATTTTAATAAAGGCTAGCCTTAAGGCTATTTTTATAAACTTTTAAGTTATACTTAAGCTATTCCTAATTAAAAAGTAAATATAGGTTTAAATACTTTACACATGGGTTTTTACTTTAGCCTATATTTAGGGCCTACCCTAGCCTTGCCTAACTAGTAGCTAAAACCCTAAATACTAATAACCTAGTTAAGTTATATAGCCTAATATAATAATAAGGTATACCAAGCCTTGGTAGCCTAAGGCTAAAGCTTAGGCTACTTAAAGTACTAACTTTAAACTAATAATAAATTAGCTCTGGTAATATTAAATAAAAAAATATTAGCCTTAATAATTTTTTTTTTTTTTAATTAAAAGGTCGTCCGCGACCCGCTGCTAAATTAAAAAAAAATAATAATAAAATACTACTATTATTATTAATATTAATACTAAACACAGCTTTATTATTGCTATTTTTAACTTTATTAAAGTATTATTTAACGTATTAAATTTAGTATCTTATTCTTATTATTTATAATGCTTTAAATAAAATATAATATTTATTTATAACTAAAAGGGGAAAGGTAGCACTTTAATAATACCTAGTATAAAAGTATAAATTATAGCATAGTTTATAATTTTATAAACTTTTAAACTTATTAAACTTTTTACTAAATAAAAAGTTACCCTTTTTTTATTATAATTAAAAAAAAAGCCTTTTTAGGCGCTGCCCTAGCTTCCTAGTAAGTAAAAAAAAAGTGCCTAGTTATAACTATAGTAATTTAAAATACCCCTACCTCTGCCCCTTATACTCCTACTATGGTATAATTATAAAACCCCTTTAATATAATATTTTTGCTAACTTTAGAAGCCCTTGGTATTTTTAATCTTTTTTTTATATTAGTTCCCTATTAGTTTTAAAAATTTTAATTTTAATTAGTTTTTAGGTAGTAATAATAGCAATAAGTAATATAACTTATATTTAATAAGTATTTTTAAAATATATAGCAAGGTTATAGGTAATAATTTAATAAGTTTTTTTTACTTTAATAACTACTAACCAGTGGCGCTCCGCCGCCGCTTTATTAAATATATTAACTTTTAATTTATAGTAACTACCTTATTATTTAATTGCAGCCCCCGTGCCTTTTAGCTTGCCTTTTTTTACTTTACCTAGCGCTATACTAGCCTTTATTTTTATTAATACTTTTACTACGGGTTTTATGCTACCACTTTTTTAAGCTTTTTTTTTTTTAGCCTCCGGCCTTTTTTTTTTTATAAGTATTTTTTATTCTTAACTAGTTTACTAGTAAAATAGCTTTAATATAAATATTAGTTAATAAAAAATAGGTTTACTTACAGTGCGCGAAATATATTTAGGTATATAAAAATAATAGGTTAATTAGTAATTTTAACCACTATATTTACCTGGCTATTAGGTGTAACTACTTTTATTATATTTATATTAAGGGCACTTGCCTCCCCTTGCTATTTTAT